ATAGCCATTATTTTTTCTACAATATTTTATAATCTTTGTCAATAATGTACGCGCATGACGGGTCAAAAATTAATATTAAAGCAAGGAAGCATATTAAGGGAAAACTTTAATGAACACTCTGTATATTCTAAAGAAAAAAAACAATGTGATTAAAGCACAAATGAAAATACGTTAATAAAAATTTTGCTTTAATCACATTGTTTATTGCTTTCCCATAGCACAAAGTCCACCCTATCCTTTGTTGGACTANAATGTTACTATACTGAGTCCCTTTCTATTTTTTTTTTTAAAATATGTATAAATTAGAAAATGAAAATGTGTACAAATAATCCATATTTTTACCAACTAAGTCAGATACATTAAAAAAAAATTCTTGAAAATTTTTATTACATAGAGGTGAATTTCTTAGCGATTTCTCTCAAATATAATTGAAGAAAGAAAATTTTAATTTATGGTTTTATTATAAACTGTTTGGCATTTGACCTATTTCAAGTGTTTGAAAGTATCGGGGTAGGGGTGGGTGGAGAGATTATAAAATTTTCAAAACCATTAAAAACTAATATCAATCCAATAAATTTTTCTTTGCATTTGGTTTGAAGGAATATCTAGATATATTTGAATTTTAATTAATAATTTTCTTTTAATTTTTATGTCCGAAAAAATGTATTAATTAGAATCGTCAATTTAATATAATCAATCTTTTTTTTTCCGTTTTATATAAAAAGGTATAATTTAAAAGAATGCATACAAGTGGAACGAGAATGACAGCCATTATTTTTTCTACAATATTTTATAATCTTTGTCAATAATGTACGCGCATGAGGGGTCAAAAATTAATATTAAAGCAAGGAAACTTTAATAAACACTCTGAATATGCTAAAGTAAAAAAACATTGTGATTAAAGCACAAATGAAAATACATTAATAAAAATTTTGCTTTAATCACATTGTTTATTGCTTTCCAGTAGCACAAAGTAAACCCTATCCTTTGTAGCACTATGTATATACTTATTATTAGGGGGACCGGAAAGTAATGTCATTTCGGCGTATTAAATATTCGTTAGTCTAAAAAATCAATTCATTTTTTCTACCCACCAATGACAGGTTGTTGCTAATGTGGGTGAATACATTATTGATTAAAAATAAAATCTTGATAACAAACATCAAATGCACCGAAACGATATTACTTTCCTGTCCCCCTAATGCATATATTTCCGAACTAAAACAAGGTATATTATCTAAATAATTTTCTTTTCCTCGGAAATTTTAAACACATTATTAAAGTACAAATTAAAATCAGTAATTTTTTCTCATAAATTTAGTAGAAAAAAAAATAAAGGATTTTAATTTATGATTTTATTACGAACAGTTTTGTTGCGGTTTGTAACCTATTGCAAATCTTTTTTATGACATTAGGGAACGGTTTCCGGGAGTAGGGGATTAAGAAAATTTTAAAAGCCATTAAATCTAGATTATATCTCTAATAAACATATTACTATGGGGTCGATTCTCTCATTATGCAAATTTTAGGGGTGAAATTAGGCAGCTCTCCCCTGTCAATGTTTGCCTAAGGTGTGTTATTGTCAAATATACACGAAAGCGCTAAGGATCATCCTTTGTTCATTAGATTGCGTGAGTCAGCTTAAACTTACTCATGTTACATGAATCATCATCAACTATACCCGAGTCGGGAACAGCTGATTGAGATGAAGTAATAAAGGTGCCCAGTCCCTTTGGCGTCATGGGTGATTGTGACCATATGGATAATAAAGTTCATGTTTATGCCAGGCTCTAAAAACATAGCATGGGATTATATTACGTAATTTGCGCTCTTGTTATCTTTTAAGTAGAAATTTATTTTTCTTTAATTATGAAATCTGGGTTGATTTTGCTGATACAGTTTGTAGCTAATTGCCTTTTTTTTTTCATTTTTTTTTCATTTAGACTTTTTCTCACTCTCTTTTTTAAATTTTTTTATTTATTTATTTATTTAACTTACTTATTACCCATTCTTGGATATTTTGCTTCTTGGACATTATGGGCAAGAAATGTTATAAAAAATAAAATAAATCTGTATTAATAAAAAACTACGCTATAGTGCACATAATTGGAAGGGTAACTTAAACCTAGACAGATTAGAAGAAAAAAAGTTAAGATAATAGTAATTTATAATTATAATTATTTATTGTCTTTTCCACTGTGGTTTTACAACATTATAATATTAAGAAAAGAAGTTCAACTTAAAAGAAGAAAAAAAGATTCCAAGTTCAGTTCAAAACAAAGAAGGGCTGACATCACACCGTATGTATATATATATNGTGTTTCGATTCCTGTGTGTGGAGTGTTTTAATGTTTTCGATGTATATTTCAATATTCTAAGTTCATCTCCGATTTCAGAAAATTGTTGCAAATTCTAACTGAATTATGAGATATCTAAACGTTCCACCATTAGAAGTTTTAGTTCCAAGCCCATACAACAGCCGAGTCAGGTAAAAATTTATGAAACATTCTTTTTCCCGCTAATTGCTAAATCAATTATATATATATATATATATATACACGGTGATGTCAGCCCTATATATATATTTTAAAAAACTAATTTCACGTGAAATAGGTATATTTTTCGAAAAAAAATATGCATGATGTATGTCTGCCTATAAATATATAAAGGACATTTTGAAGTATCTTTTATTTTAATTTAATGCAAGAACATTGAGCTCATCAGGGGTGCTAAGATCGCCATTTATATAATATGTTTTAAGTAAAGTGGAAAGCTATAAACTGCCTCGCTATAGAAAAATCACGGAAAGCGACCAAAATAAATAAAGTAAAAATTGAAATTTTTATATATTCAGCATTTCTTTATGACAGTCTATATATTGAATTTTTTTTTCTTTTTCAAAAATCATTTTTTTAAGCTATTTTTCGTATTTTAGGGTTGATAGTTTCAACAACGGAATGAAAACATTATATTTATCAAGCTGCTTTTTTTGAAATTCGCATATTGTTTCCTCAACAGGCTTCCGTTTTAAAAAGTTAAAAATTTTTTAAATATTTATACACCTGTGAACACAGTAGAGATCGACATAGTCTTAATTCTTTCCGAAATTTCTCATATTTATTTAGAAATATTTTATGAACATGTGAAATCGAGAAAAGAAATGAGGCGTACCTTAATTTATCTACTTGCCTTACTACCTCAGTGCCTTATTTAGTACCTTACTTTAGTATTTTGATTAAATTGTTTAATTGAGCCTTCTTATTTGATATTATCTTCTGATTCATTTAAATAGTGTCAGTTTTTAAGTCTGTTTCCTATATGGGTGCCCTATATCCCCCTATTATATAAACTGTGTACAGTAAAAAATTATTACCTTTTTTTTAAAAATAATATAAACAAAGTTTTATGATAAATATTTTCAGATACTTATCAGAGAAACAAATCGATCTTTACGCTTGCAAATAACCGAAATAGAAGATGATATTCAAATTAAGAAATTTACAAAGTTTGGTATTATTTTATAATACAAAAGATAGTTATGATTTAGTGCTTCGGTATCAATGTAGAACAATAGCGCTTACAAGTGATTTGAATAAGTAAATATTCACTTGACCATGCTCAACTGTAACATTTCTCATGGCCTTAGAGTCCCGCAGTGGACTGATCGTTAAGACACGGTTCCCAGCAGATCACCGAAGTCGAGCATCACTGACTGCGGTCAGTGTGCGGATGGGTGACCACTTGGATCAGTCTGCGTAGGGACCGAGGGTGTGCGGTCCTCGTTAAACTGTTCTACTGTAAAGTGCTCGACTTCGCGTGCAGGTCGTCGGGCTACCGAAGCGGGGGTGCATTCCCTGCAGGGGATCAAAATTGTGATGGCATGTCGTCGGATCATTCTCAGGGATATTTCCCAGACCGTCGCCAATAGCCCATTGTGAGACGTAAATGAACTACAAGAACAAGAACATGGCCTTAGCGGTATAGTTGGTAGGCTCTTCACATTCAATGGCTTATTCCTTGAAAGAGACAGGTTTGACTCTCTGGGTATAAACACAAGGAAATAATTTAAATGAGTACCATCCTATTTATGCATCTTTTATAATGATAATGACTTTTTTGAAATTGAATCTAATGGAGTATTCTCACTGTATGCGATCTCCAGACAATTTGCACTCGTGTCTAGGAATAATATAAATGTTCCCAATTGCAAAATCTCCAGCGTGACAATTTCAAAACCGGAGAAATCCAGTCAGAAGTTTTTAGGGAGCGTTGGTGGAAGCGAATGATAACCCTCTACCTTAAGGGCTAGTTTAACTGGATGCGATATTTTTTGCATGCGAAAAAATCTTACGGAAAATTAATTGGGAATTTTTCGTGGATAAATATTTTTAACCAATCCAGTACTCTTTGGAATGTTCAGACACTCAATGTAAGACGAACTGCTCGTGCATATGCGAGTGCTCTATTGCATGTAGCTTCCAAATATTCGTCCCGCAGTGGACTGATCGTAAAGACACAGTTCCCATTTGATCATCGACGTCAAGCACCACTGGCTGCTGTCAGTAAGCGGGTGGGTGACTACTTCGATCAGCCACATAGGGACCGAGGGTGAAGGGTATCGGTCCTTGCTAAATTCTACCGTAAAGTGCTCGGCTTTACACTCAGGTCATCGGGCTACTAAAGCAGAGGAGCCATCCCCCTACAGAGGACCACAGTTGCGATGGCATGTTTTTGGATCATCCTCAGGGATGTTTCCCAGACCGTCGCTAATTGTCCATTATACAGCTCCAGTGCGACTTATTTGCCTCACTGCATGAAAATTTTTAGATACTCGAATTAGAATATAATGGGTTATTTTTTTACTTTTTCCCATTAAATTTGTTTCACCAATTAGGATCTCGATTGAATTCGCAAATGTAAGTTTTTTTTATACAGCGAAAACGGTTTCTAAGTGTGAAAAACTTGCTTTTTCTCCTGAGAGATAAGTATAATATAACTGTAACCGTTTTTAAACTGTAACCGTTATACTGTTTGTTTACATCTGTTCTCACTGTTGCAGACAATATAATTTTCTAATTTTTTTAATTTAATTAACGATTTTAAATTTCTTTAACTGATTTAAAAACAGATCCAACATGCCTGAAAAGAGAAGTGCAACCGATGGTGTTATGGTGCCTTTTAAAAAGCCAAGAACCGACGTAATTCCTGGAATCAATGATGGTCCTGAGCCTGCGGTAAAATTAACATAGTTTAAATTTTGTATTTTATCAATTTTATGAAGAAAACTTTAGCGCCTAAAATAGGGTTTGGGGGACTATTTTTATTTTACAGTACTTATTCGTTACCTTAATATTGAATGCATCTGCAAAATTTAAAATTTTAACTACTTGTACCGGTGTTTTCGAATTACTTTACTTTCTAATTCTTCAGTTATATTAGTTTATTCAAAGTTTATGTTTGAATTTTTATAGTTTATCACATTTTCAATTAGATTATGTTAAATATATTAGTACTATTTTAAGGTTATAATAAAATTCCGCAGGTTGTATATAGTTTAGATATTCCATCATTTGCTGATAACAAGATAAAAGGTTATATTTCTGTACTGGTACCTAGGCGCACCAATTACCATCGCCAAGTTGCCAAATAGATTTTAAACTTTGAATTTTTTTTAAAGAAAACATGTAGATATTTGTTCGAGGGGGGCTATGAGTTACACCCTTCAAGTTGGTCCCTTTCTTTGATGTTTTTTTTTTTTAGTTTTTCGCGGGCCGCTGCCCGGAACTTGCCAAGACTTGGCGATTATTCCTCTATAGATCACGATACCGAAATCTCCCCTTTTTACCTGCTAAAATTTAAAAAAAAAAATTATTTGTGCGTCACTGCCAGTTTTGCTAAAATTTGGCAGTTTCTGTCTTTGTGAATTCCATATAGTATCCCATGAAAAACTGGAAAAAACATAGTCAAGGGGAAAAAATCAGCATCTGTTTGCACCATCTAGCACAGGCAACGAGGGTACTTTTTTTGGCTACAAAAAAATTGAAAAAGTATGTATTTTTTTGCCAGAGATTTGCTATTAGTCATAACCTTCCTGTTGGTCCTTTTCTGTGATGTTTTCTGTAGACCAAAATTTGGGGACTTTTATGTCACAGGTACAGAAATCTTCCCCTGACCATTATGGGAGAGTTACGGATAGGGAAATTCTCCTAGGTAAATTTGGATTACTATTGTTCCATGAAATTTCAAAGTAAAATTTTATTCAATATAATAATTGTAGCAATATTTTCTTATTTAGTAGCATTTTTATATATAGTACTATATTAAATTATATATTATACTAAATATAATAATATATTAAAATATAATATAAGTAAATTAAATATAGTAGTATTTTATTTAATATAGTAATGTTTTTTTTAAGAATTTAGCTTATATATTAAAATTATTTCTTCATAAATTTTTTTTTATTTTACCTATTGTTTCATTACAGGGGCCTCACAGATCATCAAATCTTCTTGCTCCAATTATGCTTCTTACGGGTCACCAAGGAGAAATATTTTGTGGTGCATTTCATCCAGAGGGGAATTTTTTAGCTTCAGGAGGCTTTGAAAGAGATATATGTAAGATTTCTTATTTTAAAAAAAATTAGCGTATTTTTTCATGGATTCTTAGCAAAATTTATTACCCTGTCATCTTCATGCAGGCTGCATAGTGTTTTTAAAAAGCGCTTAAAGGTGCTTATTTTGGATTTTAGTTTTTTAAAAGCCCTTAAAAGTGCTTTTTTCATTGGGTGTTTTTAAAAAGAGTTTAATTTTCCCTTTTTCAAAATGAGATTTTCCCTTTACCATGTAGATTTTAGCTGCGAATTATGCAAAAAGACTCAGTTTACATTGTTCTATTATTACGTTTTCGCAATTCATTCAACCCCAATCTATTTCGGCACATTGTCAGTCCGTAGCGTATGAAAACGCCATTCGTTTTTTATGATTCAAAACTTCCATGAGTTTTAACAATTGCCAAAAGTTTTTTTTTTCTTTCTTTTTTCGACATGATGGTTAAAACAAGATAAAACTGTCAATTGTCAAGATTTTTCAACCTTGCCCAATTATAATATTTTTTTAAAGTGTTTAAAAATGTTTTTTGAGTGCTTAGAAGGTGCTTATTTTTGTTGAATAATTTGGCTACGCACCTTGTCATGGCTAAGTCTGTTTGATGATTTCTGTAAATGCAAATGTACGTTAATATCTGATAGCATAGTTTATATTTAATAAATTGTTTTTTCTTAGTTAGTGAAAATAAAACAAAAAGGAAAATTAGTGTTAAGGGCTCCAAAATTTCCATTGCTCTCCTGTCTGAACTATTTGCACCACATTTTTCAAATTGTAGTTGACCCCAATATTTTTAGGGTCAAGAATCCAAATCCTTTGAAAAGTTCGGAAGAAGTATATATTTTTTTGTCTAATTTTGTAAGTTTAAATATCATTTGCAGTAACAAATCAGCATATTTAAAATTAGGTCTACAAACCGTTAAAATAGAGTCCTAGTACATGAAAATCCGATTGTTAGATCAATAGTTATTACAGATCTTTGCTTTTTTATATTGCGTCCTGTACATCACCAAACTTTGATAATTTCATTGTTTCCTTAATGATTTTATTTATGTTTAAGTACATTTTAATATTTAAAGAATTTTCATAATGAACTTAACATGTAGGTAAAATTATATAATGCTATCTTATTAATTGGTCAATTAGCAGTATTGAATTAAAAAGATTAATGATTTTATTCATTGATATTTTATTTATTTATTAACTTGGCATTTAAATTTTGTTTTAATATTTGGTTGTGCTTTGCTCTATTTTTCCACACTTTTTGATGGGTCTTATGTAGCAGAAATGCCAAAAGTTCCATCCACTTTGTAACACTGAAATAGAATGAATTTTATATATATGTATTTTTAATGTTTTTGTAGAAGAGAACTTAAAAAGTTATTTATTTTAATTAGTGTAAAACATTCTTTCTAAAATAAATAAATAAATGAAGTCACTTGAAATCTGAGATCATAAAAAGTGTTTTTTTTTAAAATTTGGTATATTGTGTTACCACTGTTTTGATTATTATATTTTATTATAGTTTTTTGGAACGTGTATGGTGAATGTGATAATGTTGCTGTATTGCCAGGACATACAGGAGCTGTTTTGGATCTGAAATTTTCTACAGATGGCAGGTAAAAATTGTATTTTTAAAACTGATGCTAATTTCTGGAATAAAACCTTTTTAAGGTTTAGAAAAAATCTAAAATTTAAAATGAAAATTCTATTTTCTTTTTTTAAATTAAATTATATTTTTTATGCACAGTAGATCTGTTTGTTTATGTATATAATTATTATTTTTAATACTGATTACTCTTTTTTTTTAGGTATAAATTCTGTTTAAATACTCAGTTTCCTTTATTTTTTCTGAATTTTTAACCTGTTTTTATTTTTTGTAGTTTTCTATTTTCTGCATCCACTGATAAGACGGTCAGTATTTGGGATGCTGAAGTCGGAGTACGTATTAAGAAGCTTAAAAGTCACACTTCTTATGTAAACAGTTGCAGCCCAGCACGCAGAGGACCACAACTTATTTGTAGTGCAAGTGATGACTGTACTGTTAAAGTAAGTTGAATTTATGTGTTATGTAATAAACAAGTGGCCACAGAACGGAGTTTTCACAGTCTAAAAAAATTTGGGAAAATATCTGGGAATTTAACTAAAGTAGTCAAATAAAATTAATCTATAGTAGTTGAAGGTATCTAATGTGCTTAGTATTTTTTCCAAAACAATTGATCTTGTTATAATTTAAAAAAAAATTTATTTACATTCAACTCTACTGGCAAATATAAATGTTTTGTAGCATATTTTATGTGTAAGAATAAGGCACATCTGAAAAATTAATATTAAAATTTATGCCATTGGTTACAAAAATCAAAGAAATTTCTTTTTTTAGAGTTTATGGCCACCTGCAATGGATATTTTCTTCAGAATGATTTAATCTTAAAATGTATTAATTTAAAATAAAAAGAATTAGTTTTTTTTTTCTCTCTCTCTCTCTCTCTCTTTAATACTTGATGCAATTTTATCTTATGTGTGTAGGTGTGGGATGCAAGAAAAAGAGGGACATTGCATTCTTTTCAAGATACTTATCAAGTTACAGCTGTAACTTTCAATGATACTGCTGAACAAGTTATATCTGGTGGTATAGATAATGTAATAAAGGTAAATGCATAGTGATAGAAGTAAAGTAGTTTTTCCCTTGTAATTTAATTAATTTATTTTTTGAAAAAATCTTCATGCTTTCTATAGTAGTTGGTTGTATTTTAGGTCTGGGATATGAGAAAAACAGGTGTTTTATATAAAATGATGGGCCATACTGATACAATTACAGGCTTAGCATTAAGTCCCGATGGTTCATACATTTTGTCTAACTCAATGGACAATACTTGTAAGTGATGCATTGTTTAAAATATTTAATAAATAAATTATATTTAATTAGTGTGGAATTTATTTTTAATTATTTTTTATCTTTTATCAGTGAGAATATGGGATATTCGACCATTTGCTCCTCAAGAAAGGTGTGTTAAAATATTCCACGGTCATCAGCACAACTTTGAAAAAGTAAATAAAGTTATACATTTATTGATATCATTTTTCCTGTATAGAATGACGTAATACTATAATTTCCTGTATAGAATGATATAATAGAATGACATAACTCAAAAAGTTAAATATTTTTGGACATTGAGGTTTTGAAACAGCTTGTATCTAAGAAACTATACAACATAAATTAACTTCTATTGTGTAATCTAACATGATCTACTATATTGAAATTTTGAATGAATAAAACTTGTAAACTATGATGACATAATAATTTAGCATGTTGAAATAGTTTAATTTCTTACTTGTTGTTCATGTTCATATAACAATATCCTTTGCTTGTTAAAATTAAAATAATTTCTTTGTTTAGTGGTTACAATCTTTGATATTTATTTTAAAAGGAATATGTTAACAGATCCATGCATTTATATTTTGTTTTAATGCTACTGTATATCCTGATGTATAAGTAAACTTTTCTAACCCCCAAAATTGTACATAAATCAAAGGGATGACTTATTCATGGTACTAAAGTCTGACTTCCAATAATCATAAAATATCAATGCTTTATAAACAATACGATAGATACGATTAAATGTATAGTAATTTACTCCTTTCAAAAATTTCTTACTGTGTTATATATAATTTGTTTTGCATTTTCCCTCATATATTCTTTGCGTGTAAAAGTTTTTTTAGAAACGATACTTTAAATTACATTCATAGAAAAAAACAATATCAACAAAAATTAAGATAATTAATTATTCAAGAGTATTAAAGAAATGTAATTCATCATTCGAAAGCTAAAAAATTCTGGTTCCCCATCTGCGTTAGATTTAATAATGTTTAGAAGCGTAATTATACAGATTCCACTCTGCAATGGATTTTACTTTATTCTGATCTGCTGAATCTCACAAAAAATTATCTTTTTCTGGTCCGAAACCCAATAGTTGTAGAATATTGTTTTGGTTATTATTGTGCCCCTACATAAAGGTTACATTTTATGAAGATTTTATATACACTTTTAAAAATAAATGTTATTTTTTAAGCTCATACATATACTTTCATTATCTTTTAAAAATATACAAAGTGTTAAATTGAAAGCAATTTTTTTAATGTACTGTTGTAATCTATATAGGGCAAAATCAATGGTCACCACCAGCCACAGGGCGAATAAATATACGAAATGTTTATTAAAAAATTGTCTGGTAGTCATCCTCAGATTGACACTGTCTTCTTTGAAACCATGTGCATATCATTATTATTTTTTTAAAATATTTTTTTACATTCTGAGAATTATTTTATTTCACCCTCCTTTCTTAAATTTTTTTTTATATTTCAGAAATCAGCCTTGTAATATTTACCATGTTTTTAGAAATGGTTTTGAAAAAAACACTCTACCTTTTTATTATTATATAATACATTATAATTCATTATAAATATAGAGTTTTTTTTAATCTTTTAAAACTTTCAGTTTTCAAAAAAGTGACCTCAAGTTTTAAAGTGACTGCTGTTAAAAATGCTACTACTAGCCAGCAGCAAAGTGACCTAATTTTGACCTATATTATCTGCCTACTATATCTTTATAATATGAATTATTTTGGCTTCTATGTTCTATTTCTTCAGAGTTGAAAGTAAGGAAATTTTAATTTTAGAATCAATATAAATTTCGTAGTTTTGCATTGATGATGAATGAAAGAATACCTATTTTATGGCTGTATAACTAGATACTGTTGAATATTTTCAGCTTCTTTTTGTGGGATGTTTCATTATATGTGCTGGCAAATATCAATGTATGCTGGAAAATCAGGTCACCATGCTATTTAAATTTGTTATTATTTAAATTTTTTTTTGTTAAGTTCTTATTGGATCATTGCCTGAATTAATAAATATGTTCTATATTTATTTCTATGTTACAGAAATGCAACTATAGTGGGTAAAAAAACGTTGCTCGAATTGTCTCTCAAGTGTAATTTTTCCCCCACAGTGTATATGATCGAAAAAATAAAATTATTTTATTATTTACCTCCTGTAAAAAAATGGTCTTCATATTTAAAGGCAGGGAAAGTGTCTTACTTGCCCCAACCTGTAGCTAATGCCTTTGACTCAGTAATTGTGAAATTCAGAGTTTTAAAACAAAATTTTCAGATATGAGGCATATTTATTTGCTCTGCCTCTTAATATTTCTTCCAAGCATAATTTTGATTTCCTGTTTCAAAACAGATTTTTTTTCAATTGCAATTTTTAACTTTTTATTTTATTTTATTTTAAACAGAATCTTTTGAAATGCAGTTGGTCCCAAGATGGCCACAAAATCACTGCTGGCTCGGCTGATCGCTTTGTCTATGTATGGGATACAGTTACAAGAAGAATACTTTATAAACTTCCGGGGCATAACGGATCAGTAAACGAAGTTAATTTCCATCCTAAAGAACCAATAAGTAAGTTTTTGCTTGAGTCTAATAGATCAAGTATTGCATGTATGTTAATGAATGTTATGACTAGATTGTTTTTTTTTGCAAATTAATTGTACTTCTACCCTTGTACCATTTTTGCAAATTAATTGTACTTTTTTTCATACCTGTTCTATTTGTACAAAGTTTGCTCATTTAAAATAGTTTTTGGCTATTTGTTGCATGTTTTTAATTCTTTTTTATTGTGTTTTTTTTACTGCAAATTTATTCAAAATTTTATGTAGATGCCAAAATTGATATGTTAGTCCCGGATAATAATTATATTGTAACTGAAAGGGTTAAAATATTTGTAGTAAATTTATTCATCTATCTAATATTTGTCTTTTTTCCTTCTTTTTTTTAACTGTGAGTTTGTGCTAAATTCCATTTATATTACAAAATTGATATGACTTCAATTCTCAGACGATGATTAAATTGCATTTGAAATAGTTAAATACTAATTAGTTTTCAAATTTTATTGACTTAATGAAATCGTTTCTTATGTGTGATAAAAAGTGAATGAAAAAAAGTTTGTTTTATTCTAAGGTGCCATTTTTTGCATGTTTTTGACAAGAATTTCTTAACTTTTAAGCTTTTTTAATATCATTCTTTTGTAACTATGGTAGCTAATACCACATGGCAGTCATAATATGTAACTTGTGTAGCAGTATAGTATCATAGTATTGTGTAGCAATGTAGCCGCAAGCATAGTATAGCTAGTATCACTTGTTCAGCAAGCACAGATCCAAATATCACAGATCCACTATTTCCTCTCTATATTAGGTTTTGTTTTTTAAGTTTAATATTTAAATTTGGATTTTTTATTATTATTTCAGCATTCACTATTAAACAATCACCTCGGCATGCATAAGTTATGTGGAAAATTTCTGGAATATCATTTCATAATTAATGTATATATTGCATAACTTACACCAAAGGGTCTATTTTAAAGAAATATTTTAAATTTCATTATGCTTTTATCAGGTATTATCATGATCTCTATGACACTAGAAGTAGAATCATAATAATTTCCATTTATTTCTCAGAGTAAATGAATATAGACAGGTTTGACAATAGTAGGCAATTATAATATTTCTGGGATAATTATGTTTTCGATTTAAGTTCATTATCAATATATATATATATATTGCACCACACTATTAATTTGAAGTAATTTCACAGATAAAGAATTATATTTTCGAAAAAAATAGGCATGATGCATGTCTGTCTATAAATATATGGATTTAATATGAAGTGACTATAGTGTAAAAAAAAGGAACATATTTTTTTTCTTTATCTTACCTTTTATTTGGAACCCTGTCAGGCAAAAATCTTATTTCACGATTTTTAGAATTCTTCCACTTTTTTTTATTTTTATGTGTTTTATTTTATCATTATTAATGATAAAAAAATTTCTATATTAAGAAAATATGACACATATTTTAGTAGATAATGATTAGCAATTTATTTGTTTGTAAAGAAAATGAACATTGTGAAGATTATCTTCATAGTGAAATATTTAAGGATTAGATGAGAAAAAAAATTAATGTAAGCTTCAAAATAGCTTATAGTTTGAACCAACATGGAATGATTAGAATGTGGACACCTTTCCTCATTGAACAGAGATGTTTACCTTTGTCAAAATCACTTTTCATTAGAAAAAATTGCGAGATAAGAATTTTTCTAAAAATTTCTTTAGAGCATTTCAGTGACATCGTAACTTTATTCAACACCCTAAAACCTGCAAAAGAATTTTTGTTTAAATGTAAAAAAGTTTTTTAGTACTTTGTTATTATATTAATGTTTTGCTAATTTTTGTTCCACTTGTTAACCCATATTAGTTAAAGTTTTGAAAATTGTAACCACTTCTTTCAATATCTGTGCCAGTATATCTGTGGAAAAAATCCATTTTCTTCATTGAAACATAAAGAATTAGCATTTGTCTGAATTTTTAAATGTATTCAATGGTTAATGTATATGGGTATTTGTATTTAGCAGTATAATTTAACTTAAATCGCAGAAAAGATTAAGTAAAGTTTAAATCTATTTAAAAATTGGATTTTTAATTGGAAAAGTTATTTTAACTTTCAATTATTAATGTTTTTATGTTTACATTTTCAGTTATGTCTTGTTCTAGTGATAAACAAATTTATTTGGGAGAGATTGAAGGAAGCTGAAGTCTTTGACTTATCATATTTCACATTTGTAAATAATCATTGTTGTATTGTAATGTTTATATGCTTTTGTCAATTATCTGAAAATAAAATACTGAAATTTTCATAAATGTTTTTAGTTTATTACATTATATAGAGTTTTAAACATATCTGTATTTCTTGTAGGATTTTTTAATTAGCTTAAAATTTACATGTCACATGGGTTTAAATTNAAATTCCAATGCAATCAATTTTCTATATTAAGAAAATATGACATATATTTCAGTGGATAATGATTAGCAATTTGTTTGTTTGTAAAGAAAATAAACATTGTGAAGATTATCTTGATAGTGAAATGTTTAAGAATTAGATGAGAAAAAAAATGAAAGTAAGCTTCAAAATAGCTTATAGTTTGAACCAACATGGAATGATTAGAATGTGGACACCTTTCCTCATTGAACAGAGATGATTACCTTTGTCAAAATCACTTTTCATTAGAAAAAATGCAAGATAGGAATTTTTGTAAAAATTTCTTAAGAACATTTCAGTGACTTCTAAAAAATATTTATTCGACACTGTAAAATCTGCAAAGGAGTTTTTGTTTAAATCTAAAAAAATATTCTGTACTTTGTTATTATATTAATGTTTCGTTAATTTTTTTTTCTGTGCCAGTATATTTGTGTAATAAGTCCATTTTCTTCATTGTGACATTAAAAATTAGCATTTGTCAGAATTTTTAAATGTATTCAATGGTTAATGTATATGGGTATTTGTATTTAACAGTATAATTTAACTTAAATTACAGAAAAGATTAAGTAAAGTTTAAATCTATTTAAAAAAAAAATTCATGTATATTTTTGATTCGAAAAGTTATTTTAACTTTCAATTATTAATGTTTTTATGTTTACATTTTCAGTTATGTCTTGTTCTAGTGATAAACAAATTTATTTGGGAGAGATTGAGGGAAGCTGAAGTCTTTGTCTTATCGTATTTCACATTTGTAAATAATCATTGTTGTATTGTAATGCTTTTGTCAATTCTCTGAAAATAAAATATTGAAATTTTCATAAATGTTTTTAGTTTATTACATTATATAGAATTTTAAACATATTTGTATTTCTTGTAGGATTTTTTAATTAGGTTAACATTTACATATCACATGGGTTTAAATTTTATTATGAATATTAAATAAATAATTATTGCAAAACATATTATTTTATAGCCTGATCAAAAAGTTGAAGAAAAAGGCATGTTTGTTTCTATACTTGCTTTTTTATTGCTGAATCGTTTTTTGCTTACTTGCTTGTTTAGTGGCACATAGGATGCTCTGTTTATTTTGCCATTTCAACTGCTTCTGACTAGCCTTTCCATGCTTGGTTCCTCTCAACTCATCCTCCAAAATTCTTCTCCGTGTTAATACAGGTTTTTCTCTTCCTCCCCTTTTCTTTTTTTCTTAAAATACGAACAATCCCCTTTTTTTCTTGAGTTTTTTTATGAGCAGTTTTTGTTATATATGTAAATCTATCAATATCTTATTAAACAGTTGAGCATTATATATATTTAAATCTATCAACATCTATTTTGCCACTTCAATTTTTACTGCATTTCCATACATGCCAAGTCTCCTGTTTTTAAACGAAGACTCCTGTATTTTATGACCATCTCCTGTTTACCTGTATATTCTCCAATTTCTCCTTATTTGTTGAAGAAATTAAAATTTTTTTTTTTTTGCTGATTAAATATCTGCTGATGGCAAAAATACTTCTTTAATTCCTCAGCAAATGGTTCTATTGGCAGTACTGCAGTATGTTGAGTGTTTTTAGTTTAAGTAATTATAAATAATGGTTTAAAAAAATCTTCTTTAGATTAAGATTTATATATATATTTTATACTTTGGTAAATCTAAGTGCGTAAATTATTTCCAATTTTGAATTTTTTTTTATTTTTACTTACATGATTATGCATTATGTATCAAAACTTTGCTCGTGGCTTAAGGAATACTGCTAGTAAAATCACCGTTATTTTATTTCTCAAATGTTGGGAGGTATGCATTTCCCAACATATTCTCATTTATTCCTTTGTTTATTGATTTATGTTAAATAATATGAATTTTTTTTTTATTTCATTATTTAATCTGTAAACCGAGTAATAAGTTTTTGTTCAACTTGTTTCATAATGGGACTTTTTTTTCATAGTTGTAAGTAATATCATTGCACCTCAAGTAATTTCCATGACCAAAAATGTCGTGTCCAATGTAATAGTATTTAGTGTATGACAGAATAGTTCTGCATACCCAGTAAACAGGTTAATATTATTTTCCTAATGAGGATGATTGTTTTAGAGGATGAGAATTAAACTTTTTTTTAAAGTATGTTGTTATGATCGGTTAAGTATAAGTTTAATTTTTGATATAAAATGTTATGATTTTATATTTATTGTTACTATTGAGTTACACGATGGGCTACTGGCAATTGTATAAGATATTTGCTTAGTTAATATTCAAAAATAATTGAACATGTATATCAATTTAACTGCTCCATTAGAATTCTAACAGGCTTTGAATTTGAGCAATTACATTGTCATAATATTTTAAAAAAGGCACCAATTTGAAACAAGTATAGATGCCACTGTCACTTAATGTACTTTTAGTACAGGTATTTTTCTATGTTTAAGTTTACGCTGACATAAAGACAGTTTTGATTCTTGTTAATTTGAATACTCTTGGAGAAAAAAAAGTTTGAGAAGAAAAAACTTAATAAGGGCCCCAATTGGAAATGTACAATTGTTGTTTTCTCTAGATATACCTCTAGTAGATAAAATAAATTTGTAATAAATGAATTTGTATTTGCAATCACAAAATTTGTCAAGCTTTTACAATATTGTATTAAACAGTCTGTTAACCATGATAGAGTCGTGAAAAATATTTTTATACTTCTACAAAAAAAAATTAATGATAAATAAATAAAAATTCTTGTCAATTGGTCCTTTCAGTTGTGACAGACCCTATACATTAGTATAATGATGAACCTTGAACTATAAACCATTTTTTCTGCTAAAAATATTTAACTATACTACTTTTCTGTTAACACTAGATTGCCCAAGCAAGTCATTTTGACTGCTTTTTAATTTCAAATAGAAAAACAATGATGTATGGATGGGTGGCCTAATGTAAACAATAACAAGCGTCCTTAAACCGGAAGAAATTTAGAAAATTTCCGCTGTATCCCTCCGCTTATGTTATGACTACGAGGCGATGTATGAACAAGCCTAATATTCTATGCAGTTTTGTTATTGTAATTTGGGTTCAAATCTAAACATAATTGTACCATTCATAAGAGCTTTCAGAAATGTAGTGATTCTCAGAGGTCGAAAGGCCAAAATAAAGTTTGGAAAGTTAATATCTCATTGTGAATAATTCTTAAAGTTTGCCATGTTTTGTATTTTATCCCTTATTTGGCTACATTTGAATAAAATGTCGCCAAAAATATCTTTAAAAATATCTTTTTAAGTTAGCCTAATTAGAAAATATTCTAATGATTATAATATTAATATGATAATGCTGAAGTTTAAAGGCTGAAAAAAAGAACTCGGTACATGTGAAATACTGCAAAAGATATGATGCAATATGATGGTGCGTTTTTTCAATCTGCGGCGTAAAAATATTTCGGAAGCAGTAACCCGGAAGTCTTGTGAGAGCAATTTAACCACTAGCGCCACCACCCTTAGCTTTACATGATCACCCATCCATATAATGACAAAATTTCTTAGAATTTTGTCACTTTTTGTACGAAATATAATATTTTTTATTGTTAATATTTACTAATAACTTGTTATATAACTGTAAATATTATAAGAAATATTAAAAATTAATTTTAAACAAATTTCTTTACACATTAGTTTTTTTTTCATAATCCAGTCATTTTTACTACTTTTGGGCAATAAACGTATATACTAAGTTTCAGTCTTTCTAGTGTTAAAGATATTTACTGGCAACTGAATTACTGACTATACAAGCAACTGAAAATACTTTTATAATTAGCTTGCTTTTAATTCCGTACATAAATAGTACTAAAATTTAAAAGCTTATTATGAAGTTGCAATTAGCCACATGAAAAAAGTGCTTATACACTTATAATTTAGTGTAAGTGAATAGTTTGTTGCTTTAATTAGTTTTTAAATGTCATGTTAGCAAAATGGTAAGCTTTGACATAATTACCAGGGCATATTAAACAAAATGGTTGCCTTAATAATTGTAAATGGTACACATTTCACTATTAAATTTTGAATAGAAGAGCAAATGATCTGAGGGAAAGCGATAGTTTACTACCCTCGAGTACGAATTTAGTTTTTGTATCCCCTTACGGTATGATATTAAAGTTAATAAAAGGAATCATGTGTCTTGGAGCCTCTTTAAGTTTTAGATTAAGTAAAAGCTGAATTGTAAAATGTACATTGAATGTTCAAACTTTAAATAACTCGATTACTACATAAATAAAAGATAATATAAGTTAAGTACGTAAATAAGTTTTCGAAATAGAAATTTGTATTTTTACCTTTGCAGTCAAGTAAAAAGAGCATAAAAATTGAATCGAGATCGTGGGCATTGTTGGCGACACAGTGATTACATGTCCCTCTCAATAATTAGAATTTTATAAATGTCTCCAATATTTCGGATAAATAAAGAAAATTTTTGGGCATTATCAATTCGATTTAAATTATCTCTTTTAAGTTAAAAACAAAAAGAGCTAAAAATAATCTTTTTGCAGATATTTAATACAATTTAATTTTTTCTCCTTATGTGTAAAATTTAGAAAACTATTAGGACTGTGTAATTTTATTTCGTTCCCCCAAACATTGCGCCCCTGCGATGCCCATAATCCAGATGTTGGGCTCAATAATCTCTATAGCTTGATCTCTATAAAGGTTTAACAGAATTTGAAATCATTTTTGCATTTCTTTTGGTTTTACTCGTGATTTATCCTCTGATGCACTACAGGCGTGCCTGGAAGAGAAGATGGAACAATGTTCAAAGAGAAAATTACATAATAATTACCGCATTCACAATATTTTACAAAACATGCTGTCAGTAATAATTTATTGATTTTGCTTACATCAAGAATGATAGTTTCGAAACACATTGTTAACATACAATTAAGCGAACACTCAATTAAGGTCAGTTTTGCAATCAGTAAGAGGCCATTCTTAAGAAGGAGAGACTGATGAGGGCCTGGCAGAAATTTATTGCAAAAAAAATGGTGTTTACTAATTAGTTTTTTAAAAGGAAAATTGCCGAGAATTTCATTATATTTATATAAAAATTACAATTTTGTATAAAAGGGTCTTCAAAAAGTTTGAAAAATGTGAAAATAACACTTATTGTGCTTTGAGGGGAAGAGACCCGCAAGAAATTTCGTTCCAGCTCCCATTAAACCTTTGTTCATCTTTGCCATTAACTAACACTAACAATATGAACGTGATTGGTGAAATGTTATCTGTGAAAATCTCAGCGATAGGAGGTGCGTGAATCGCATGCAGTGAGAATGAACATACAACTGCTTTCTTGAATGGATCATTCTCACTGCACTGCATTTACGGATTTTTTTGTGAAACTAACGCGCATGTCCATCCAATGTTTCTAGCGAAAATAGTGCCATGAATTATTCGGTTTTATGAATGAATCAATTTTGCCGTGACTACTTTCGAGCAGACAACAAACAAAAAAGTTTTAGTCATATTTTTTGTGAAACTAGTTTTTCGCTTTAATTGCGAATAAATTTATAATTAAATAATTGTTTTTTTATCGACAAAAATTTCAGAGTACAAGTTATATATATAATGTCCTTATATAAGTAACGTGTGACAATTTATTTCACGTAAATTTTTATATTTTTAGTTTCGGTCCTGCTGATCCGTTAATTAATATAACCTTTAAGCTAATATAAAATGTTATATAAATTTAAGGTGAATAATGATATTTTTTTGTTAGAAAAAATTGTTTAGTGTTATTTAAATAAACGAATAATGGACTATATAAATAAATAAATAATTTGAGCTATTTAAAGTATGTTTAGTATTAAACTAAAACGTGTTTAGTTAAGTTTATAAATAAAATGACTTTTGAAAAATTTATAATTAAAATACTCTTACTTTGAAATGAATGTTGAGTATTATATTTTTAAGTTTATTACAATTGTTGTGTGTTCCCCCCATGTGTTTAACTTCTCAGCTAATAAATTTAACTTAATTCTATGTGTAAAGTCCACAGGCACAAAAAATATTAATTTATGCTCCTCAACTTGACAAAGGCAATTTACAACCAAGATAATAAGAATTCAGATATTCAAAGTTCTGCTGTATTGAATTTTTCCTTAATATTTAATGCATATTTTCGTAATGTTTGAAAATGTATTTTATTATTTATCAAATGTTTAAAATTCCATATTTATTTTTTATAACTATCTTCTTGTTTAGGTTGAAATAAATTGTTGATGTCTGTTTTATAAACTTCTTTTGAGAATGACTTCTTTAAGATCTGCATTGAATTGGTATCATAAGAAAGTGAGAAATATTATAAATTTTTTTTAGTAATTATTTTAGGTATAAATTTAGACAATGTTTAATGTTATATGAAATAGGTTTTATTTCTAGGGTTTTAGTTTTGTTGTGTTGGTTTAAAAGGTATATATTAACAGCAGCAAGTGATTTATTAGCATTATATCTAGCATTTACAAACGAAAAATTAAATTCAAACATATACTTAATTGTCAAACAATATCTTAGATTTAGGAAAATAAAAAATAATTTGTTTTACTTTTTCAAACAACAGTGAAATCTTGGTTATAGCTGAAATCGAAATTAATTGGATAATCAAAATTTGCTAGATACATCATTTTAAATAGTTGTGTTCGTCTATGAACTCTGAAAATTAAAGTATCTTTTAATTAGAGTGCTAGATAATTAAATTTAGTTTTACTGTGATAATTCTATTTATATCATCTTTTTAAATACACATATTAGTACTATAAAGATATTCTATTATGAAATTGATTTAATTTAAAATTCCTAATTTTCTCTGAATAACTTTATTAGATGTTGATAATGTTACATATTTTTGTAAATTTCTCATCTTTGCAATTGCATAACATTATTATACTTTTCTTTTATAATTTAAAATTAAAACAATCTTCATAAATAATTTTTTCAGAAAATATTGATATTGGAAAACATGTGTTTTGTGGATCAAATATGTGAAATTTATGCCTTAATTGTTCTTTGCAAGGTTAAAATTAAGCTTCATCTGACTTCTGTCTATAATGACCATTTGTTTCTGATTATTATATAAACTTGAGCAATAGTTATTTTTTAAAAATTTTATTTCTTGGTAAACTCTCTAAAAAGATTAGTTTTGGAAAAATTGTTTTATACTATTATTTACTGTTTTGTTTTATTTCTATCCATGATTTAATCCATTAAATTTTTATGAAATTTAGATTGGTGCTTATGATAAAGAATTGTGGGAAAAATCTGTTGATAGACGTATATTGAGGGTAAGTTTTTTTAAAAAAAATTTGAATGTTTTTCATGCATAAATTCTTTCAAAGGATGGTGTTTTTTCTTCACTAGGGAACGCTGCAAGCTCGGTACCGCCTAAATTTCCGGGTTACTGTTTCCGTTGTATTTTAAAGCCATTTGGCATCATTGTGTTTTGAGATTCTTGCAAACAATGTATTTGATTACTTATTACTTGTGTTTACAATGCTAACAATACTGGTGTTTACATTGCTAAAAGTGTTAACACTAACGTAAGATGGTGCACAGCTTGCAACAAGAACAAACAGTAATAAACTTATGGAAAGAGGCCGTATCAAGACTGCCAAAAAGGGAGTTATTCAAAATCTAGCAACCTTGTCACCTTTTTTAACAATATATCTCTAAAAAACTAAAACAAATGTTCACTTCAAACTCACCAGAATTACATATTAGCATTAATATCTTATGAAATATGGCAGATTTGAGCTCAGAAATTATCTAATTTATTTCTTTTATTGAAAACAAAATTATCCGTTTGAAAACATCGCCTATCAGAATAACATGTAGTAAGCAGCTGCAACCTTTTTAACCGGAACTAGAGTAGGTGCCGAGCTCGAGATTGTTATTGTTTACATTTCTATTGAAAACACCATCCATTAACAAAAAATATTATTTCTTGTATTTTTATACTAAATATTTAAAAAAATTTTACTAAAATTATTAAATTTTATGTTAGTTTTTCTTTTATTCTTAGATATATCTATTTTTAAATCAGAATTTAGTTTTTTACTAATACTTATTGAATTTTAATGATTTGAAAAACATATCTATATTCTTATTTATTTCTAAATTTTAAGTTTATTGAATAAATTAAGATAATATGCAACTCAAAATTTTTTCAAAAATGTATGTAGGCATTGCGTTCAAAAGTAATTGTTTTATACTTATTATTACATTTGTATTTCATTTATAGTAAATAAATTTTAATAATTTTATATGACCCTCCAATTTGAGCTTATTGTAAACATTAGTATTTCCATTCAGTATTGTTATTTTCCTAAGTACCTTAGTACAAATTGTATTTTTTTTTTCAGGGTGTGTGTGCGATACCACGGAAAAGCACTAGGATAAAAACAGAGCTTATAGATGTTGATCTTGTGCGTGGTTAGTTTAAAACATTGCTACTATATTTATTTCATGTTGTAATAATTTAGTTTTTTAAAAAGTCATATCAAGACGGTCAAGTTCATGTCCTTTTATCATATGTTACCATAGCTAACTTTTAACTGTACATCAACTGAAGGGCTTAAAGTAAGCTAAATTTTTTTTATGCCAGACTGTTCTGTATTTTGCTTCCTGATAGGTTCTTAGACGCCCGGTGGATAAGTGGTAGTGCTTTGGGCTCTCGTGCCACAGGTCCTGGGTTCCATCCTCGGGTCGAGTAGGTTTTACTCAGCTTTTCATCCCTTCAGTGGGTCAATAAATTAGTACCAAGCATGCTTGGGAGCTAAACACTAGGGGTTCCTCATTCAACTGACCATTTAACCGGAACATCTGCTCCTATACCCCAGAGCCCAAGGTCAAGAAACTGAGATGGAATTTTTATTTTATTTCATTTAAATATTAAATTTTGGTATTTGAATATTCAAAAATTGACATTTTCTAAATAGAGGTTAAACTAAGCATGTTCCTGAAGGCAGTGTTCTTTACAGTTCTCTATTTCTAGAAATAAAAATCATGAAGTTAGAAAGTATAATTAAAAATTTTTCAGACGATTACTTAAGAAGAAAAAATTGTTTCTAAAGGCCTCAATTTTGATGCATCAATGGTAAAAAGCAAATGGATAAAAAGGGAACTATAAATCAGAATTTGAAAATGAATTGAAAAATAAAACAATAATAATCAAATAAATTTTTTTATTTTTTTTTAAATTTTTGTTTATAGAAATAAAAAAATTAAAAAAAAACTTATTATAAATTTCTATAATCTTAGGAATAGGGAAAATTATGATAGATTTTTCTTAGAGACTTGCAATTTAATTTTACCTCAGTTATCACTATTGATTTTCATATATTTTTTAAAATCTCTATATTTTTGATACAATATTATTTATTACAACACGTGAATCTCAACAAGGACATTTAATTAACTTCTTTTTGACACATCCGATTTGTGTGATTTCATCGTACATGCACGTGGTATTACCATCAATCTTTTTTTCAGTTAATGCCTTAGATTTTGCGGTTTTAAACTTTTTTTGATTCTACAACAGCTTGCAAAGTGCGAAAAAGAATGAATACATAATATTTTTAAATGTTTATATTCTTCTATGTGTTGATAAAAAAAAATTGATCAGACAAGCAGAATATTTTCTTCCTTTTTTAAATTTATAGATGTTGCTTTTTTGCATAAAAATGAGTCTTTTATTTATTTTTTGTGTACAAAATTGAGGAAAGAAATTTCAGATAATTTCTTCTTCTAGCAATCTCGTGTCCCATAAGCCATTTCAAAATGCTGGCGATTGATAGACTGTTTGAGAGCAACAGATTTAGTTCTATCTCTTAGGCTGGACATCTCTGTAATAATATTTTTATCTAAACTAACTAATGCTTTGATTTTAGGTTCTGCATTTGCTAAGGCAAAGCCTCAACATAGTTGGATTTCGGCTACAATTGCTGGAGTGAAGCGTGTTCTTTTGATGCCATTTTTTTTCTCATGGTAATTTCATTTAAGGAATATATGTGTATTTTTTAAAATCAATTATTGAAAAAAAAACCTGTTTTAATAAAATTAAAATTTTTTACTCTTTTTAGTTGGAACAATAACTTTTTATTTTTAGAATTTATAAAATTGTTGTATTAAACCCATTTTCATTCATTCATTGATTCCAAAAAAAAAAGGTAATATCTATGAAGAAAAAAGTACTGTCATTCCATTGGTCTTAAAATATCAAAACCTTAACTATCATGAGTTTTATTTTAATAGATTCTAGGGCTTTATTTTAATTGATTAAATGTTTTCGAGATGTGGAATATTAATCAAAGATTTTCTTACAAAAACAATAACTATAGAAAGACTACAATTCACTGCAAATATTTGGTTGATGTTTGCAATCAGCCAGATTTTAATGCAAGTAATTTGGTTATATTTTTATGCTAATCATGTGTTTTTCTTTAACAAATATCTGCTAATATGAATTTTTTTTACATTGCTTTTGTTGCATATTTTTAATTGCATTGTATTTGTATCACCAAATTTAAAGTATACAAAAGGCATTTGTCTATTTCCATTGGTTTATATTAAATTTTAAACTCAAACTTATATCGAAACTAATGTATTTAATCTAGGTCTATGAGGCCAAATCCAATTACAAATATAAAATAAACCGTTTTTATTTATTAATTTTTTTTTAAAATTTAAAATGCAAGTAGTTTGTCATCTATTACTCATTAACTCTGGAATGACTTTGCAGTTTCTTTTTGTTATCTTCACTTGCTTACTAGATAACAAAACATTGCAGCTAGTATTTTTGATGAAGCAATATGCTCATACTTAGATCAAAACTGTCTAGTATTTTAACAGTACACGGACTGCAAACTGTGATCTTAAGTTATTGAAAACAAGAATACATACAATAGTTAATATAAATATTGATATTATTCTTTTATATAAAAAAATATTAAATTTACCAAGTAAAATGATGATAATCTTATTTGTTTTCTTTTACGAAACGAATTGAGATCGAGAAAGGCTGTGTTAATTACAAATAACATCATTATTTGCAACTGTTATGTAATAGGTATCAGAAATTAAAATTTAGGTCAATATGTTAATTAAATTCTTGCTTAATGCTTGTTTGTCAAATTATTAAATAAATATTTGACACTAAAAATTGGTGTTTTCTACATTTGCTCAAAGATTTTTTTTCCTTATATTTATTATGCGCTTCATTTTCAGATAGTTTATTTTACCTTTAAAAGTAAATTTTTTTTAAAATCATGTTTGTTTTTCGTTAATCAAGCAAAACATCAAAAATATAAGTTTCAAAATTATGTTAGTTATAAGAAATGCGTGACATGTAATTACTCATATTTCATTAATCTAAATTTAAGAATACATTATTCCTTCAAAGGCCAATTTAGGTTGGAGGTCAACTTGACTGATTTCACTATTAATAAAAAAATGGTCTTCATTGACTTTAGAGAAATATGTCCACTTTACGCTCCGTCCTAATCAATAGTATAATTCTTAAGGAATTTATGTAAAATATATGAAAATATTGTAACATTACGTGATGTAGGTGTCAAGTGAAGTATATTGTAAATGTCAAAATATTGATGTATCAATTAATGATTTCATTATTTTTTATAGGTGGAAGGTCCAAACAAATTCTCTAGTCAGTGGTGTACTTGTCTTTTTATATATTTTACAAATTGGTGCTCTTTTACTTTATTTCTTTGCATCTGATAAAGATTTTTTAGTAAGTGAATTTTCTTTTCCAATTTTTAATTTTTTTTTTGTATCTATATTAACTTATTAAGAAATATGTATATGAGAAGCAGTTTGTTGTTTAATCTGACTCATGATTATGTGTTATTAAAATATATTTCTTTTATTATTCAAATGTAAATATATTACTAAATTTTTTGACTTGATTCGAATCATAAGTGATCATTAAAAAATGTTCAGATTCTCATCTCTGGGAAAAGGAAGGAGTTTCATGTAAAAATAATTACAAAATTAAGGAAATTACTTTATTTTTCATTCTGTTTTATTTTTTCATTCTGCTCTTACAAGAATATTTCTTCATAGGGAATTCTAAAATAATATTAATTAAATAAACTTGTTATGTTGCAGTGCATATCACATTAGTTTTATGTTGTGTCCAATTAGTTATCTAAATGAAATCTTTGCATGAAAAATTAGCTTTATTCTCGACTGAGATAATTAAGTGTACTCAGACTACTCCAAAGCAAAGAAAGTCAGATTCATTGTGGGAAACAGAATATTACGACAATCTTTTAGAAGTTCTTTTGACATGGTTTAGTTTCTTAATTTGATTTTTGAAGTTATAACCTCTATGATTCTAAAAATGTATGATTTTTGAATATAGTAGGAGATTTGTTTTTCAGACATATTAAATACCTGAAATATCATTAAGCCTATTTCTGAATTATGTGAAAATTTTCTATTTATGAGTGGAAATCCATAGACATTTGCACTAAGTGAATATTTTCTTCTTTTAGCTACCACATTAGTCTCTATTCAGTAGTAAGCTATTTGTATTATTTTTTAAAATGCATATCAAATTTTTAATATAAATATATTATAGAGGAAACAAACGTTTTGCTTAGTGAAGATACTGGCGATGTAAGAAATTTTACATCGAGATGTATCATCTGTTCGACATCGCAATATAACGATGTATCGTTAGCGTAGGCAAGGATCCTCGCGTGTAGTATCATTAAGCTGCGATCGTTGTCCTATATCGACAGCTTAAGTCAGATTTCTGATGCCTCGCCTAAAATGAAAGTCACTATATCAGCCTGCCGATCTATGTATTAAATCGATATTTCGCGATACATCGATTTATCACCCAGTCCTACTTATAATTAACTGATAATGCTATGCACTAATGTTTTGACAGTCTTTCCTTTGGGAGTAAAATGTCAGTTGAAATGCGTTTTATTAAATTACTAAGTTTATAAGCACCTTCGTGTCTTTCTTTGTTTTTAAATATTTTTTCGAGAGACATTGGAAATAGTAAAATAAGATGGTAATGTGTGGTGATTATAAAATATAATTAATTGATGAAGGGAAATTCTAAGGGTTAAGTTATTTACAAAACTTGTTTTGTTTGAAATATTTTGCAATGATGAGATTTCCAAAACAAAATTTTGATAAGAAGGAATCTAGACAGAAAACAGGAAAAATTCTTTCTGTGAATTCAAGTTTTTCTGTCTTAAGAAAGTTATGAAATTACACAAATGTGCTTTATTTTTCAGAAAAGTATAAAACTGAAATTCTAGAAACTTGTAACTATTATTGTTAAATAAATTATGTATAGAGGTAAAAAGAAAACATGATAAACATTTTGGAGTTGATTCATATTTGTGCTTATTTTCTTAAGAAATGTTAAATAATATTGATAATGGTTTGAAAATATTAAATAGTTTTAACAAAATAATTTTGTAGCAGTTCATAGGAGTTGGTAGTGAGTGATGTGCAATATAGATTGAATTATGGTTCTAAAATACTTACTTTATAAAGAAAAAAAAAACTATCTAAAGATTAAATTTATTGTCTTTAACACTAGATTGCCCAAGGAAGTCATTTTGACTGCTTTTTAATTTTAATTAGAAAAACAATGATGTATGTGACACAATTTTTTAGAATTTTGTGACTTTTTATACAACGATAAGAAATATTAAAAATTAATTTTAAACAAATTCTTTACACCTTAGTTATTCTTACACAATCCAGTCATTTTTACTGCTTTTGGACAACATAGGTATATACTAAGTTTCAGTCTTTATAGTGGTAAAAATGCTCATGTCAAGAAATAATTTTAGTTGCATATAGTATGTAAGAATAATGGAGTACTTTTAAAAGTTTTTTTTAACATTAAACACATTCAGTTATTATATTAAATCTTTTCACTTTAAGTTATTTGTTTATATTGCATTGTATAATATATTTAATGCATAGAAATTAAAAAGCTATTATTAAATTTAGGATAATAATTTAAATAATTCACAAATGCTTAGAAAAATGATAAAATTTTTATTTATAATGTGGTGACCCATAACTATTTTCTCTTTTCTTTATGCGTCAATCACAATTTTCGCGAAGTGAAACTTTTAATTTGAAACTGAAACCCAAAATTGGGAACTGAAACTAAAATCTGTCTATCAAAATTCTAATCCAATAATATAATTTCTCAAATTAAATCTAGCCAATCATTGCACATTGAAGGTGTGGCTAATTAATTTCTCTGGTGAGATCCGAACCGAACACAGCATCTTTCTCTGCTAAAACTCATTGCAAAAGGACGTGTAGTCCTATCTCTCTATAATCTTATTATTTTGCCGTAGCGTATATGTTTGTGATGTGGTTCATAAAATCTTAATGTTTAACCTGTAAACCTTCTGATACTTTAAGTGTACCTACACACCACAATACCATAATAAACATTTTTATTTTTAGGAAGTTCCTATTCTTGAAATATTAACACCTGCAGCTATGATGTCTATTCTTGGAATTGTTTTGTCCCAAATTGTTGCAACGTTTACTAGTAAAAAAAGACGCAAGCATCTTGCTCGAGATAAAAGGTTTATAATATTTGCCATTTCTTAAGTTTCATGTTTAATTTTCTCAAATAATATATATATTTATTTTTGTTATGAATAGTTACTTTATATTATTTTAAAAAATGTTTGTAAAAAACTTTCACAATCAAAAACGGAAAAAATGGTAGCAGAGTTAGGAAGTCTGATATGACACAAGTGAACTTATTTTCCCGATATCATTTGTACGAATGGAGTCATTGCTCTCACTGGCTTGTGAAAAACTGGAACAATTAATCTGTGTAAAAAATTGGCCAAATGAAAAAAATTTAAGCAAAATAATTTCTCTTCCCCCAATTACTTGATCTGAATGCAACTACTATCGACTATTAAAACTTCCAAAAATATTGCTATATATTTCTGAGCATAAGCCAAGAAATTTTTGAAAATTTTCAAAAGTTAAAATTGGAGGGAGAGAGGCGGCTTATGGGATCTACCAACTTCTAAAAATTCCAGAAGGACATTGCAATACTTCTCCTCTTGTTGACCACTACTGATAGTCAGTAAATATCGTGAAATGATTTGTTATAGAGCTGCAACCCTACATCTTATTTATTTCTTATTTATTCATATTAATTAATTGAATCTCCAATAAAGCTACAATAGCAATTGCTTGACATTATTGTATATTCACTAAGGGTTTTATTAGTATAGTATTTTAGGAGCTAACATTCCATGCTTGTAAAATTATGTGTCTTTTGTTAAAACTCTGACATAGTTTAGAATGAATTAGAATTTGAGTATGCTACATTGTAGTATGAATATTTTCTTTTGAATCAGAATTATGTTTTATGCATAATAATTATATTTATTATTAGATAGTCAAAAAATTTATAATTTAAAAGCCAAAAGCGTTGCTGTAACCTTTTATTCTCTGAGCAACCTTTCACACTTTTAAAACTGTGTGTTGGTTTTGTTATAGAGCTGCAACCTTCCTTCTCATTTATTTCTTATTTATTCATATTAATTAGTTGAACTTCAAATAAAACTGCAATAGCGACTGCTTGACTTCATTCACTTTAGGGGTTTATTTGTATATTTGTTTTATTATTTGCAGAAGGCGAATTAAAAGTAAACAACCTAAGAAACAAGTTAGCTGTGATTTAGAATCTAAGTCATCTGCAGAATCAGCATCAGATTGCGGAGAAGATAAATTTGATGGAACTCTATTCAAAAACATCCCTGCCTCAAACAGTCACAAAAAACTACTAAGATGCAACTGCTTGAAGACTTTAAAAGAAGGTAAAAATCAAATTAAATGAAAAATATTGGTGGACTAATTATGAAATTATCACAAACCACAGAAGAGACTACGTTTCAAAAATTTGTAAAAAAGCATCAAATCTGGTTCATATTTTTATGCGTTTGTACTTATATTCAGTAAAAATTCATATGTAGTAAATTAAACTTATAAGAAAGATTGCCTTTAAAGAGTTGAAAAATGTCTAGTTTATTATTGCTATTATTATAAATGACCTGACTGATTAATAAAATTAGTGCTTTGAATAAGAATAAGTTGTTCTATTCTTATTTAAAGAATGGAACAATAATCTAGAATAAGTTCTTTTTATTATATGTTATTGTGTTTATGACAATTAATTATTATTATTTGTATTTCTGTAAATTTTAATTAAGTCCTCGTGCTAAAAAACTTAATTAGCTTTTTATTAAATCAGTGTTAAATTTGAACTGTCAGTAGATAAATTTATGGCACTCAAAAGCAGCTTGATGTTGTGCATTTTGTGTTTTTAAAATAATGGAGGGCTTTTAAACGCAGAACTACAACTCAAAGTCCCATATCCATTTGCAGAAGGGTCTATTTTCTGAACACTTTTTAACCATCAAAATAAACTTTTTTCTTTTTTTCAAAGAAAAAAAAAAGATTTTTTTACACTTTCAATCTGTTAAAAAAAGTATGAAGGGAGGAAAATCTGCTCTCTTATGATTTTAAATTTGTTTTGTAATATGAGAAATTTTTTTTGGATATCACAGAAACTAAATCTGGAGTTTTGCGGTTTTAGAGGCATTTCATTGCAGCATGAAAAATATTACGTATTTTTCTCTCTCGTTTTGCATAAAAAGATTACTACCTTTTAGTTTCAGAATGCACAAAACTCCTACATTTTAGGAATATTGTGAGTTTGAGATAAAATTGTCAAGAGCGTTTCATAAAGTGATTATTTAAAAGCGCAATATGAAATATGCAGATCGTAATGGTGTTAGTATATCAAAAAAGAAAGCAAAATTTTAAAACTGTGTGGAAATCCTAACCTGTTGAAAGTAGGATCACCTGCGTAGAAAATAAAATTGTCACAAATCCAGTGTCTGAAAAAATGGTTTGTGAAAAACTGGCAATAACGAAAATGCGATCAATAAAGCCATGTGGTTTTATAGGTGAATAGTCATTAATTCTGTGCCTAAAAAAATGATTCTACAAATGCACGATTCGAAAATCGTCGAACAAAATAATATATTAAAACATTGAAATTTTTAATACCATGAGGAAATCTGGAAAAAAAAACGATAGAGAAAACCACTCAGATTCACTGTAGATTTGTGGCTAATCGAGTGGGTCGAGAAATATTATGAAGTAAATGCTTGACTCGGAATTCCCGCCATGTTATAATGCCATATTAAAATATCGAGATTTTAAAAATCAGGTGGAAATCTGTAATGATAGATGCCAAAATTGCTATTGGCAAGTGTTAATTTTTATTGAATATGGATATTTTGATGTCTGTTTACCTTAAAGACCTGTTATCCAAAAAAATCAATTTTCGAAACTTGTTGAAGTCCCGTCAATTCCGGAAATGGGACAGTTTACTGTATCTCTAGACTAAGGAGTTTTCAGTAACCTTTACATATTCTCTATCCGTAGTGCCTTTAGGATAAAAAATCATTTAGAAATTTACATTTTTGCTTATTTTATTGATATAAATGAATATACATCTTTTTTCTTTTTCAAATTTCGTTAAATACATATTATATTGTTGCTTCCTTTTTTTTTTAAATACGCAACTTTAGTGGCTCTAAGAAGTGAGGAATTTTGTATTTATATGCCCTGCTTAAATAATTTTAAGTTCCTTAAATCTTATAGACTACATAGTTTGGTGTATATGAAGTTTTTATGTGTGCAGCTGAATATTAACAGGCAGATATCACAACTGTTATATTGCAACGTTTTTCGAATATCACCTGTGCTGGGCAGTGGTTAAATGTCCTGCTTGCCCGTCCTAATTATGATCAGACAAATAAAGAAATCAGTTTTAAAAGTAGCTGTATCATGATGTATGTGGGACTAAAAAAAACAAACATTTTGATTCTTACAATTACATAACAAAACATACATTGCAAATATACATTATGACAGCAAAAATACATTTTGATACTTTATATAGCTTACAGTTTTGTTGCAAAACCAGATTTCTTTATCTAATGTTTGTTCAAAGCTTGTTGATTTTGAAGTGGTGCCCTTCAGTTAGTTTTTGATTTTTCTAAAAATGTGTTAATGGAGTTATCTTATTGATTTTTGAACTTTGAGTAAAATTTCAAACTATTTTAACTTTTTTTGTTATCAAAATACTTAGTTAATTGTTTCTAAATTTTCTAACCCTGCTTTATTTCTTAAGGTTAGTTTTTAATGAAATAGTAATATCTAAGGCAATGATATCTTTATAATACTTGTTTTTGATATCTTTATGAAACTTGTTTTTGATATCATTATGATACTTGTTTTAAATTGCTCGTGTTAAAAGCAATTATTGTAATTGATGTCTGATTGTAAGTTTCTTAACCAATTTTATTTTTTAAAGTTAAAGGAGATCTTATTTATTTCATGATGTATTTGACTCATTATGATGACAAAATGTATTTATAATTATAATTCATTATGAATACATGTGGAAATGATCTTATTAAACTTTGAGATTAAAAGAATTCTTTCAATTTGTAATTGTTCCCTTTTATTTTGCATTTTTAATTTGCATTTCTCCTTTTAACAATGCAATTTAATAATCATTTTTCTTTTAAATGTGCTACAAAAATTTGGAGTGATTGTTGTTCGCATTTATTTCTAGGTCGCAGTCTAAGGTTTTCCCTTGCTGATCAGAACAAAACAGAAAGTACTAATGAAGAAAGTGAAATTAAAGATTCAGATTCTGCACTTGTCCTTGAAGAATCCAGCTCACTGCTTTTAACAAATAAGAGCAAAAAGTTGCGCAACCTGAGTGAAGAAAGCCAGTTTAGTCACATATCTAACGATTCTGCCTTCCAAGATGGTGTAGATCACCCACCTAATGAAGAAGTAAAAACTGTCAATGAGCTTTCAACTGAGGCATCAAAAGTTCAGACGGGTGATTTAGATGTTAGAACACATCATATCAATGGTGATGGTAATTTAAGCTCTAGTGACGACTTTTTTGTGACCAGAAAATCCTCATCGTTGCCTGGTCATCTAAAAAATTATAAATTGGAGGAACAAACCAAGTGCTCAACCTCCAAATTAGATTCTGGTTCATATAATATTGCTAACAGGCGCTATTCTGATGAAGGGATTGTGCAGAGAAAACAGGAAAACTATGGTACATTCTTATCCCTTCAGAATCACAGATTATCTGCAGATAATATATTGACTCAGCGCAGTGGCGTTCTTAAACAGTCTTCTGATGTGCCGCTGCAGAATAATCAGAATGCAGCTACAAAATGCAACTGTAATTTTGGATCCATTATTCGAAAGAAAAGGCCAAAATTACCCGGCTCACTGAAATTGTCCATGAATATTCCGAGTTATTCAAGTTCTTGCGAATCTGAAGCAGATACTACTTCCCCAAATACACCATCTCAAGTATGTATATGTTTAGCATTTGCTTCCAATTCTTGCTTTGAATTTATTAGAACTTTGAACATTAGAGTAATATTTATTGTATTGATTTGATCAGCTTTAGAAAGTGTAGAATAGTAAATTATGGTGTATTGAATGCAATAGTTGAAGATCTTAGTTTTAGAACATGTTAATTGACATTGTACTGATTTGAGAAAATCGGCTACAACAAGTTGTCAACAAGACATTTTTTTAAAATTAAAATAAGCAATTAAAAATTTTGTTTTGTGTAACCTTGCAGTTGACCATGACATGCTGTTTTTAAACTTTGAAGTTTTAATGTTTTCAGAGTTTTAATTGATATTTCTTACATTCAGCTTTTTATGTAAAATTCAATCGTTAAATTAAGTTACTGTTAAGTCTATAATGAAGGATACTCAATGTTAGTCTTGTTATAAGGAAGATATGATGTGGTCCTTTATAGTAGAAAAATCTCTTGTTAAAGACCACTGTGTCTTTCTTTAATGTCAAAATTTTTTGATGTGTAGAAACTTTACTTTGAATTTCTATCTCAAAAAGGCAATTTTCTATGACAGGATTGGGAAAGAGTTAAGAAAGAGGAGGAAGATGTTTAGTTGGAGGATTTCTTAAATTATGAAGATGATGCTTAACAACTGATGGAGATGAAATTTATAAATTCATCTTCAGCAGTTGTTAAGTTGAATAAAAATACATGAAAAAAAGATAAAGAAGAAAGAAACATGAAATAATAAATGAGTCACTTCTGGTTCCTTAATAACAGATGCATCTAATACTATTGATGTTTTAAGAAGATATATTATCTCATCCAATGTAAACTTCTTCTTTCAAAAAACTGGAGAAAAAGTTATTAAAACGAAATCACAATTGAAGTAACACATTTTTTTAAAAAAATTCTTGCATTAATATAATTTATGCAATAGTAGAAAATAAAATCATGGACCATGGTCAAAAAAGAAACAGTTCAGCTTTTTCAATGAATCCTACAAAGAGACTACATCTCGTCCCTACAAAGTCGCTGTACAGTGGACTATTTTTGTTATTTTATTTTAGTTTTACTTAGTTAAATTTTAATTGTTATTTGCTTAGTTTTTATATTTGAGTTAATTTTAATTCTGTTCATATTTACCTTTTTATTTATTGGAGTTAATTTTATTACTTTTCTATCAAAGGAAAAATGCACTTTTGTAATCCTATAATTTCTATTAAAAAATTGCTAAATTTATAAACCACACAACTAATTAACATTATGCTACATTTTCAAATTTGTGATATTGCTGTCAAATATTTTCAATGATAAGTAGCTTAGATTATATGATGATTAGACCCTGCCTATTGTATGTTAAACAGGGTGTGCTTTAAGGCAAATTGTAAAACTAGAATACAAAAATAATAAAACACAATTAGAAAGGAGAAGCATCTTTGCTCGCTGCAGGATTTGAACATATATTTGTCTCTTAGTTCAGCGAACTTATAATGTACTGTACCAGCTGTTTCTGAAGCATGACTTTACGAATAGCTGGTCTATTAATAGACATATTGGCAAGTATTTTGATTAAACTAAAAAAACTCACTACGCGACAGCCCTAAGAGGGCCAAGGCCTACTTTGCCCATCTCATTTTTTTTAACCTTTGACTCTGGGGTTTAGAAGCAGACGTTTTGGTTGGGTGGTCAGCCGAACGTGGAATCCCGGAATCCCAGGGATTTAGTCCCCAAGCATGCTTGGTACCCTTTTTATTGACTCTGAAGGGATGAAAGGCTGAGTCAACCTTGTGAGAATCGAACCCAGGATCTGTGGCACGAGAACACGAAGCGATGACACTCAGAGTCTGGTTGTCAAGTATTTTAATTATCATTTGATTAAAAGTATGCATATATTTTTAAAATGATCTGGTTCAATAGGTTGAATATTTTTATAAATTGCTGCATAAAAATCAAATAAAAATTGCTGAAAATATGATTTCTTTTAATAGTTTATAATTTTGTTTTTCATTTAAAGTATTTTTATTATTTCTTAGCCTCAGCAATCTGATTTAGATTGGCCACTGATCACTAACACAGACTGTAACAGCGACAGCACAGATTCTTCTTCCAATTGTTCCGGCGGAAATAGTTCAGACATTTCACCTTCAGAAAACCCTTTTGCATGGGAAATTCATGAGGTATGGCATAATCTATTTTTTAAAAAAAATATCACAGATTTCATATTTCAAACAACAACACTGCTCATGTAACAGTTCAACAGTCCCAATAATTGTTCATAATATAGCACGAAAATCACCTTTTACCACCTTTTTATATGCTATTATTTATTCTATTTCATTTTACAATTAACTCTTTTTTATGATTTTTTTGAAATTAAAATTCTCATATTTAACTTGTAACCTGTTTTATTATTCTATTCGTATTATAAATTTGTGTCAAAACAGTTTCATAGATTTGTGAAGAATTATTTTCTGTTGTCTTATCCAAGAAAAACAATGAAAAGGTTTTAAAATATCAGAAATTGATTTTTGCAATAAGTATTGCAAGAAACTCTTCATGATTTAAATAAGTCTCTCATTTAATTGAAGGAATTTTTGTTGATTTTTTTAGATAAAATTTTAATTAAACTTATTGATAAAAGTGACCGTAATTTTTAGCCAAAATACAAATCTTTTTAACTAATTTTGACATTGCTTGTTCTTATTTTATATTAATAAATTTTTATACTATAGAGTATGCCTTTGACCACCCTAGGATAAGATTAGGTGGCCCTGACACTATTTCTTTACTCATAGATTATTCAAGATGTTTCATGTTTATTGAAATGCAAAATCAAAAGAAATGGAGACTTGCATTGAGTCTCTAAACCTTTCATCTATTAAAAATGTGTATTTTGAAAGTGCAAAAATGTTTTACACCTTTTTTTGGATTGGTTTTCTAGAAATTAAATAAAATGAAACAAAACTTTGGTTACTATATTGAAATGCCTAGTTCAATTAAGATGTTATTATAGGCATTTGAAACAAGATTGTGTCTATGAAATAGAAAGTGTGATTTTGTGCATCAGTTATTATGATGGAAGTATCACAGTAATGATAGGTTGTTGTAAAGAACGTAGGCAGTATTTCATATAATTTGCGTACTATTTGTATTTCATATAATTTAAAAGTTTGTTAATTATACATTTTATTATTTTTTTAAAATTTAAATGCTTTGGTTCTAAATTTTATTATGAATATTTTTTAGCCCTCAAAAAAAGTGCCAAGTGTGGGATATATTGGATTAGATAAAGGTATCATTCTTTTCCTCACTCTTTTTTTCCATAAAAAGAATTTTTAATGTTGCATGTATTCACTTTATGTAGTTCTTTTTTTCAATATTTGGTTTATGTTTTCATGCATTAGTTATTGCAAGCATTGTAGTTCTTAGTTCCTTTTTTTGATCCTTTTCCTTATCCTTTGTTTTTAGGTTACCGCCCAAGAGCAGGTGACTGTTCGATTTGCTCTGATATAAAATGTATAATATTTCATTTTATTTTATTACATTTCATTGTTATGATATTTTTGTAAATTTACCTTTAATTCTTAGCAGTGACTGATTTATTTTAAATACACAGCATTTTTTTTTTACTTGTTAGGAATTTTATATTCTTATAACATTTTGAATATTTTTAGCAGTTTTCACTTTTTAAACAAATTACAGTATTTATTTAAAAAAAAAACTGTACTGTAAAGTTATTTTTTAAAGGTATTTTTTCTGACTTATAATTTGGCAGCATGATATTAAGTTAGTTTAACACTGCTGCACTTAGATTTAAAATTTATTTCCCTTATTATATATGTGCATGAAGTATTTTTCATAATTTTTTTGAATGTGAAAAACATGTTTTTTTAAATATTTGGGGATACAAAACACAGTTCTTCAATACGAAAAATGAAAACATTAATTTGTTTTCATTTTACCCTTACTGTGATAAAAGTATTATGTTCATAGTTAAATGAATCTTGCTACTGATACGAACTATTTTAATGTTATATTGTTTTTCTCATTCAGGTAATTATTTGTAATCCCTCGTTTGGTTTGATGTTATTGAATTACACCTGAAAAACAAAATACTATCAGCTGCTATCCTATAATAACATAAAAAGTTAAAATTTTTATGTTATTATTTAGCAGTTTTTTATCCTTTATTATGTAGTAATTTTTTTTTTAATTCTTTTAAAAAGGAGGTGTAGTTTAGTTTTTAAAATTTTATCCTTAATTGGTAAGAACTTTTTTTTTTAATCCATAAAACTACCCAGATAGTATAGATTGTCACAGTGACATCATAAAGTCAAAAATAATCACAATCACTGGTGACCATTTTGAATTGTCACAAGGAAGTCATAATCTGACTTAAATGTTACTTTATCTTGAGATATCATATGATAGTTCCCCTGAATATTTATTGCGACTTTAGTCACTTGATAGTCACAGCTATACTTTCCTTAGGATTAAAGTCACTGAGGAAATTCATTGCCACTTTGATCCCTTCAAATTCATATGGAAACCATTTCATGACTTGTCTTTCTAAAGTCTGAGAGTTATTTTTCGCCAAATTTTTTTCGTTGAAGTCATATGTATGCTTTATGCAACTTGTTTCACTAAAATAATGATTCCACTATATTTTATTTTATAACCATCCTTGAGCAGCGGACCTAATATTTGAGTTTACGACTAGTGTTCAATTCCATAGCCTTGTAATTTTGAACCCAATTTAGAAGAAAAGGGAACTCCTGGATCAAGTGTTGGGAGACATTTTCTTTTATGGAGGACTAACCCACATTTGCGTTACAGGGAGAGGAAGACCATGAGAACCTTCTATGGCCAGCCTGATGGCAAAGAAACTCTAACCCATGATCCGTCTACCACTGAGGATAGTTCACATCAGCACTTTGGCTGGTGCAATGCAGATTCATAGTGACCAAGTAGTGTTGGGATTCGAACTTGGCTCACCTCATTAGAAGGCCAGCGTTTTATTCCCATTGCAATACCTTGCCATTGCGACTCATGATTCCACTATATGTTTTAAATTTTCATAACCTTCAATTTATTTTCCCTTCAAGGAGCTTCTTTTCTTTTTTTTAGATAAATTTGGTTTCTCAAAACCTGAGGTGCCCTAGTGAATTTTCCATCTTCGTATTTTCTCTTTTTTTTCACTTCACATAGTTTATAGCACTGTTTGATTTGAGTGCGCACTTTGGAATGCATTATTTCATAAATTTTATGCTTTGAGCTTGGTGCCCCATATCAATCAATCAAAGTATCAGTTATTGATGTTTCACTTATACAAAAAAAAGTTTTAGTTATTAATTAAAAAAACAATTAAATCTCCATATTCATTTTCTATGACTTTATTTTTACATGAATCCTTAGGGTTACCATAAAATTAACATGAAAAACATTTTTATTCCATTTCTTTAAGTATTTTATATGAGTGCTCAGTTTTATTGCAAACCTAATGTTAAAAAACATATAATTTAATTTTTTATGTATTTTTGTATGAGTGCTTAGTTTTACTATGAATGTAACATTTAATATATAGTATACTCTCGATATATCGAACTTCTATTTCTTGAAAACCTTGTTATGTCAAAAAAATATTTTTCCCTTTTGGCATAACATATCTACCTAATATTAATTTGAATTCCTATGTCTAAGAGTTTTTTTCTTAAAACCTTGTTATGTCTAATATTTCTCAAAACACAAAATTAATTTTTTCAGAAAAATCACACTGTAAGTTTATTGTAAACCAATTCTTTTCTATTTAATGCATAATTATTTTTGCCTTTTAAAAATTATCATTGCTGTATTTAGACTTATGGTCAACTATCATTATATACATAGTCGTTACATGCATAATTATTAGTAGTTATTCTTATGTTTCATGACTTTTTGGAGTACTATTGTAGAATATATTTTTCTACTTTTTAGAATATATTTTTCTACTTTTTAGAATATATTTAACTCCGAGTTTGTTATCTCAAAATTCTTCCCTTTCCTTAACTTTGTAATATCGAGAGTATACAGTATCCATTCTACCGTGCTAGAGAGTATACTGCATTCGTCTTAATTCCATTCTTATAAGTATATTATATGGGTTTTTAATTTAAGCGATACCATTAACCTAATTTAGTGGCTGGGTGGCGCAGTTGGTTTGTCGTCGGCCTTCTGAGCCCAAGTCTGCGGGTTCGATCGCTGGCCCAGACACCGGATTTTCGGGATGCAGGAAATCCTCAGCGGCCATGTCGCATGATTATGCGGCATGTAAAAGATCCTTGGAGTGCCTTATTGGCTTTTGGCATTTCCGGCAAAATTAAATTCCCAGTGCATTTTAGCATCCAAATAGAGTCTTGGTGCTGCCATCTAGTGTGGCAGAAACTAGACGTCCAAATTAACATGACCAACAGTATCTCACCCATTGTGGTGGTCCTGAAAGAGTGGATACCACCTCTGGAGAAGGCACTAGGTCTGCTCATCGGCAAGGCCGATTGTGCAGCTCATTGGAAATAAAAATATAAAAAAATTAACCTAATTTTAAAAATATTTTACTTCATTTCTATTTGCATTTTTTTTACGAGTGTTTACTTTTACTATGGGCCTAATGTTAAAAAACTTCTACTTGATTTCTTTATGTATTTTTCATATTTTCTTTATGTAACAAAAATCTCTATAATGTGGTTCTGCTCGATTAACTTTTTCTTAAAGTGAGCTGCACCATTTGGCAACTCAATGAATGCAAGAAAGTTGATTTGACTGCCCTGGATATCAGCTCTGCAATTATACACAAAGTGGACTCTTCCAAGCACCACTCAGAGTATTTATACATTGGTGTGCTTTGTGCGACACTTTTATCATTGCTTCCTCTACTTTTTCGTCTGCGGAATGGACTGTCTGTGTGTGATGTACCGACTGTTGCCACTGATATCTTGACTTTGAATGTTCCAACAACTGAAGAGGTTGTCAAAATTACCGATAGCTTCCTGGATATAGTATTAGGACCAAACTTAAAGTATGTTTTTGATTTTTTTGCTATTCTAGCATCACTAGTGGCTCATCCATGTCATTTAATTTATGTTACTCATTGTATAAAGTTGATTTCGTTTATTTATTTTATTTTTACTTCATGAAGAAGAGAAGAATTGAAAACATTGCATTGATTATTTTTTGTTAAACTTTTGTCTTTCTACAAGTAATGTAACTGTTGAACGAGTGTTTTTCTATTATTTTGTTTTATTCACTTAATTTCTGGGAAAAGAAAGAAATTTAATTAATTTTGACTTTGCAGTATCTTTTATTTTTAATTTCAATTTCTTTTAAGTGTATAATGTAATTATAATTTAAATATTCTAGATCAATGCCTTTTTATTACAAAGCATCTAAAATAATTTTATTCATGTGTATTTTAGAACATGAAAAATGAAATTTTATGGATAAAAAAACGACTCTAAATACTTTTTCTACTAAACAAACCTTGAAATTTAAAACTTAAATATTACTCTTATAAATAAATAATAAATTTTTTAATATTAAAAAACAGACACATTTTGTATAAACATTATTATTTTTATTTAGGGGAATTTTTCGTATTTCATGCATATACTTTCTAATGCAAAATTTGTCAGTGCTCAGCTGTATTCAGTCCAGTAGTTTGTTTAAAAATGGTGCCTCGTTTTTTTAAAACCAGAATTCATCATTGGATTACAAAAATTAAAAACTTTGCTTGGGATTTTTTAAATGTTTTGTTAAAAACAATTTTATTTATTGCTTGTTATTTTTCATCCAGTATTAGATTTAATTAATGATTATAGAATTGTTTTAATGTTATTTAAGCATTTCCACTTTAGAAATTTTTATTTATCATAATTCCTTCTTATAGCCCCGTCAAGAATAAATTGCTCTAAAAATGTATGTGTTTGTTATTCAGTAGTAAAGCATATAGTTTGGCAGAATGAGCATTGTATCAAAATTTAAAGCAAAGAGCGTTGCAAATATTGTTTAATTCTTTTTATGTGCATTTTCCATTTGAATAATCAATTGCTTAGGAGTTTTACCTTTTTCTGATAAAGGCAGAAGTTTCGTCAAAAACTTTTTTATTTTGTTTATTTGGTTCTCATTATTTTTTTTTCAGTATGTTTCTATGGCAGTCTACATGAATATCATATCATATAATTTATTATCTTTAATTATATGATATGATATTTATGATAATATTATAATATATGTGATATTGTCTTTAATTTGTTTATGGTAAAACTTGTGGTACTGATTATTTTGCTTGAAAGATTTGTACTTAGTCTAGGATGTTTCTTCTTAATATCAGTTATCGTTATATATGATAATATTATCTTTGCTAAGTTTAAGGTAAAGCTTGTGGTATTGATTATTATGCTTGAAAGATTTGTACTTTGTCTAGGATGTTTCTTTTTATTATCAGTTATCTTTATATATGATAATATTTTATCTTTAATTTGTTTAGGGTAAAACTTGTGGTAATGATTATTATGCTTGAAAGATTTGTACTTAGTCTAGGATGTTTCTTCTTATTATCAGTTGCTGAAAAAACCTTCACCCAGGTAATATGAAAACATATTTTTGAATTCTAATTTCTTAAAATTGAAATTGTGATTTTTAATAGTATATTTTTGCACTTCTTTCAGCGCTTTCTGTATGCCAAACACTTTTGTTATCTTACCTCTTCAAGGAGAGCTAAAAGATCTGATTTGCCTCATTTTCGTTTGAATAAAGTTAAGAATATTAAGATATGGTTATCAATAAGGTCTTATTTAAAGGTAAAAATTCTATCAGTTTAATTTCTTTTCAAATTTTATTCAGTTCCTGTTCTTAACACGAATGAAATTTTAATAAATCTAAAAATATTAAGGTATGTTTGTTAATCCAGTCTTATTTAAAAGAAAGAAGTCTGTTAAATTTTTGTTTTATGCAATTTATGTTAAGTTCATGTTTTTCACAATAATAGAGTTTGCATGAAGTTAGTAACGTTAAGATATGGTTATCAATAAGGTCTTATTTAAAGGTAAAAATTCTATCAGTTTAATTTCTTTTCAAATTTTATTCAGTTCATGTTCTTAACACGAATGAAATTTTAATAAACTTAAAAATATTAAGGTATGTTTGTTAATCCAGTCTTATTTAAAAGAAAGAACTCTGTTAAATTTTTGTTTTATGCAATTTATGTTAAGTTCATGTTTTTCATAATAACAGAGTTTGCATGAAGTTAGTAACGTTATGTAAAGTTTTGTTTCATGTAAATTATGTTCAGTTCATGTTTTTTACAAAAATAAAGATGTTAAAACATGGTTATCAACCCAGTCTTACTTGAAAGTAAGCTTTGTCAGTTTTTTTTGTGCAAATTCTGTTTGTTTACCTCAACAAATTGGTAAATTTGTTTAATTTATGATTTGCTTTTAATAACTGTATGAACGCTTTTACTCGTTTAAATTTAATGTAATTTTTAAAAATAAATATTAAAATCTTTCTTTTTTTCATGCTTTAAAAAATTTTATAGTTTCAGTAGTTTCTAATGGAGATAGCTTTTGATATAGTTTATAGTTGATTTGTATTTTGTCTTACTGTATTGAAATAAACAATAATGTTTTTAACCATATGCTAAAATATATTTAAAAAAAAAACAATTGCAAATTTTAGTGTGCTATAAAATTATAGATATATTCCCAGGGGAAAAGATCTCTAAAATATTGAATTTAATGTTCACCATTTATTCACCATTTTTTGGTTTTCGAAGCAAATATGTAGCAGGAGATCGTTAAATAATATTATACAGTATCAGCCACTGATAAAATCACTGGACTTGAAAATTGACCGTTTTTTAAAATCAAATTTGCAAGAATGGAATCATTACAATATCGAAGCATGCTAAAACAATTCTTTAATAAATTCATTATCATCGTTTTTTTGTTAGGCATATGTTTTAAAAATAAAAAACTCTTCTACCTGAATAATTATAATTTTTTAATTTTCACAAGTTTAGAGGGATGTGTAGCATAGAAATAACAAATTTAATTTTACTAACTATGAACAAAATGAAAGTTACAGATTCGGATAACACTTTTTAGAGAAATTGGTGGGTAAGAGTTTAAAAAATATATTAGAGGGGAGTGTTAAGGAATTGGGATGAAAACTGCTTATGAATGGTGAAAAGCTATGGGCCTATCATCATTCATTGTCAATAATCATCACTTACATAATTATTGAAGTAGGTGAATCTCTGAGCAGTGCTTGATATTTTAAATTAAACTTTAGAGCAAAAAAAAAAAAAGAACGAAATATTCAAAGTTACAAAAACTTTTATAATTTTTTATATCTTGCTGAATCTTCAAATTTTGCTGATCAAGCAAAATGTTAACATTTCACTTTTGTAAATTTATAATTGTACCTCGTGTACAACGAGTTATTTACCAAATTACTAAAACATTTTTATAAGTGTACTAAACTTTTTTGGCCCATGTGCCCTATTTTACTCTTTGACAGATATTTTTTTAATATTCCATATTATTTTCATAGTTTACATAAAATGTTTAATTTGGCACTTAGAGCACATTATAAAGATTAGGATAGCCTGGTTGACAGAATGCTGGACTCACATTCGTGAGAATGGGAGTTTGAATCCAACCTGCCGAAAACTTTCCGTGTAGTAAATAGTGACTGGTTCACGTTAAATCTGTTAGTTCATAAAGTCCTCCATGTTCCCTTAGCAAATTATACCTCTGGGGGTACTGAATTGGAGATTGATCGTTCTCTGGTTTTGGTCAAAATTACGATCTGGGGATGAATGAATGGGTCCATCCTATGAACAGATGTGACGTATGGGTGTGGCAGAAGTCGAATTCTTGGCTACAAGTGGCGTTACTGGTAAACAAGACCAATCGCACCCCTTGCTTTAATAGCCTACGAAGACAACAACACATTATAAAATTTTAATTATTGTTTAACATTTAATGTTTTTTTTTATAACTAGTTAAAAATGTGAATGAATAAAAAAAATATGAAAGACTTACTTGGAAAATTGTTTGAGATAAAAAGTTGAGATTTGAGGAATGAAATTGAGTAATCATAATATTGCACTCCCGAACAAAATAACAACTAAATAGTTCCCTAGTTCAACTTCACATAATTATGTGTTGTCAACTAGTAATGATAAAACAAAAAGTCTTATTACTGGGACAGATACATTTTGATAGTATATTTTATTCTGTCTCCATGCTGTATGGAAATAATATTAGTGGGACTTAAATGTCATGTCGGTACATAAAAGGCTAATTAAAATGTCAAATGTAAATTAAATGAAAATAAAATGTAGTAATCAATCTAACTTTTAGTTATTTTAAATTTGATGCATTTTTCCCTAAGTGTAGATTGGCTTTATAAAATTAAACATTTTCAGAAATGACATGATTTTAATATGAAGCAGGCAGTCGTCTGTTCATAAAATAGTAAATATTATGGTATCAAGAAAATTTTTTCATAATTTATCTGTGAAATAAGGTTTAAAAATTATAATATTTCTACCTTGCTTTCCTGTATTCATATTTAGAGTAGGTTTTCCTTAGGCTTTTTTATTTAAAATTTTCTGATAAAATTCTAAAAATGATTTATGTTGTTATAAACAGCTATTTTATTCCAAATTATGTACAAAAGTTTGAGTGCAGTAAAATAAATTTTCAATTCAGGACAAAAGTAATCATGAAAGTATTGTTTGTTAATATGGATCTTTTTAAACCTTTATTTTTGAAGTTTTACTCGGAAGTTTTTTTTATTTTTTTTATAAGTTCTTTGTTGCTAATTCGAGTTTATTATAATTAAAGTTGAAATAATACATTATTATTTTATCAAACGTATACTCAAACTTGATTTTTTATCTATTTAAGATTATTTATTAATTGACAATCTTTTTCAGAAATTAGGACCTCAACGTTCAGTTGATGTGATTGTGTCCATCACATTTATTATTGAAGTGTGCATAGTATCATTCCTTTGCATACAGGTAAACAATTTTTGTCAATCATTTTTTTTTTCTGAAATTTCATGTAACATATTGTGTTTGAACATGTTATATCAGTAGAAATTGAGATTTTATTTTGATTACTATTTGAAATTATTGTTAAATGCAAAAATGAGCAAAAAATAATTTTGTCAATTGGCAAATTTTTTTTTCTTATTAATTTTTTCTAATATTGTTCAAAATATCAATGTAGCAATTGTCAATGTAAATTTTTTACAATGTGGATTCCATATGAACAGTTTGGGTATACAGTGTGTCTTTCTATAAACTGTAAGAGAAATATTTGCAGACAGGAAAATCCCACACAATTCTTTGTAAAATGGTGATTATCTTGATTCTTTAGATGAATTACATTGCTCAAACAAACAACGAGATGCTTGCTTTTTTGTTTCAGTAAGTTGGACAGCAAGTTGGATAAAAACGATTTACTTTTCTCCTGCATATTGGAAAATATTAACATTCCTTCCAATATGGCAGATAAATGTGAATCGTTTTTCAGCTGCAACCTTTGTTTCACATAGTCTACAAAATAAAATTTCAATTTCGAGATTAGACGTTTTCAGCAAAAATCAAAAACGAAGTTCCGTAAAAAATGACCTAATAAAAAACCCACAAATGTCAAAAAAAGACCCTAAGTATTTAAAAATGAAATAAAAAAACAAAAAAGTCAAAAATGCAAAAAAAAAAAAAAAAAAAAAAAAAAAAAAAAAAAAAAAAAAAGAAAAAAAAATTATAGAAATTAAAAATGTCATCAAAATTTGAACTTTAATAATGTTGCAAGTAAAAAATGAATAGTATAAACTGTTATCCAATTTAGTGGTCTGTTTCTAAATTTTTTTAAAGAATAAATACTTATACAGTAACCATTGAATCTGTATTGTTGTGTTACAATAAACATTAAAATTAGTCATATTTTTTAACTTTCATTTCTCAAGAACTAATTGACTAATTCTGTTTCATTTTTGTATTTTGTCATTTAATATTACATAGCGTGAATTATTGTAAAACTGTAAAATATTGTAAAACTATTGTATACCGTATAATTAAAATTATTTTCTTTCTTTTTCAAACTAAAACAATAATAAATGATAAACTATCTTAAAATTTTTATTTTTTCGAGAATTTATCTTTGCATAAAAGAGTTTTATGGTTCTATAGTTAGTGAATTTATGATTGGTTGTAATCAGAGCCGGATTATACCTTTCGTAGGCCCTAGGCACAGCCGTTTTTGGGCCCTCCCCTCCTTCCCCCACTCCTCCCCTTTTTTCAAAATATATGCTAAAATTTTCTTGCACATTTTTTTTTACATTTTTATTAATATGGATTTTAATTTAAAAATTTGTTTATCGAACTTTATCTGCAATTCGACAGCATAATACAAGATTTCGTTGAATCCAAAAATCGCAAAAAAGTAATATCTTAGATCATAAGATTCTGCAAAATAATTTATTACCGAAAAATATTATATTTTTATTTGTATCTTCATAATTTTGTGCAAAATACACCTGTTGTTTTTAAAGCTAAATTATTTTTGCCAACAAATTTTTTTCTCCCAAGTTTTTCGTAGGCTCCTGAATTTCGTAGGCCCTAGGCATGTGCCTATAGGTTAATCCGGCCCTGGTTGTAATGCTTCCATAGATACTGTGTTAAGCGCGAAAGAATAAATTAACATTAAGGGGATTAAACTTTTAATTGAATTCCTGTCTAAACTATTAAGACAAGATTACAGCTGCTTTCCTTATTTTGAAGGTTAGGCATCCAATATTTTTGGGAAAAAAGGTATGTGCATTCAGAGAAAGTACATTTTTGTTTCAGATCTCATAACTTTTTTCTACTCTTATTTAATTAGCATGCTTAAGATAATCTCTTTAAAACATTAAGAATGCTTGTTAGTACATTATCTGATCATTAGATCAAAAAATTTTCTGACTCCCTGATCAGATCATGTACTAATATGCAATACTAATTATTAATTTGCTACTTATGATAATTTATTCAAAACATTAAGAATGAATGATAGTACATGATTTGATCATTAGATCAGAAATTTTTCAGACTTAATGATCAGATCATGTACTAATATGCATTATTAATTTGCATACTTATGATATTTTTTTCAAAATATTAAGAATGCATGTTAAATACATGATCTGATCATTAGATCAGAAATTTTCCAGTTGAATAGACATTGCGCAATGTCTATTCAGTTAAATACTACTCTTAAAAAGATATAGAAAAAGCTGATAAATTTTATGCAGATATAAAAAAGGACTGTTTAAATATTACTTTAGCAACTAAGGATTAAGAGCATGCGATTTGTTTATCTTTTATACAAGTTTGTTTATGCCATTAGGAAATATGAGCAATGTTTATCCAATTAAATTCTTTTTAACATCAGAGACTGTTAAAAGTCAAAAAACGTGAATAACATGTTTGGTAAAAAATCGAGTATTAAATACTTTTTTTGTTGCTGGTGTTTCTAAAAACGAAAATAATCTGAAAACGTGAAGAATTATGTTATGATAAATTACATAGATATTTAGGATAAATATATATCTTTAGGATAAATTTATCATTCTGTATTAATAATGTCGTTTAAGTAAGATTTTAATGAAATTTATGAGCATTTAATTTAAAAGCAATATGTTTTAATTAAATGTTCATAAATTTTGGAACCAAGAAATCATTTTGGCCTTTTTTTTATTTGTAGTTCTTAAAGGAAGAAGGGCAATTCACAGATCAGTTGTACTGCTGGGAGCTTTCGTTTTGGACAATGACACTTGGTCTTTATCTGCTGCGTTTTATGGTTATAGGAACTAAAATCAATAAAAAATACAGGAATTTATCTGTACTTATCACTGAACAGGTATGCTTTTAAATTTTATAAACTCCATTTTATGTGTTTATAGGTAAGATTATTGTATATCGTTTTAATATTAAACTCAAGCATCCATAATTAAAATTAAATAATTTTGTTCTTGTCGACAGCCCATTGCATTTTTATTAGAAAAATTCCTATTTGTAAAAATAATTTTTATTTTAAAGAATGATTATCAGGATTTTTAAATATGGTGTGATACACGTCTAGTTTTTACTAGGATATTATAAATTTATAAAGTTAAACAAAATGAGATTTGAAGGCATTTTTGCATATTATTGACAAACTAGCCCAACTCACAAGATTTTTAAATGTAAACAAATTGGTAGTAGAGCTAGAGAGTGCCTAAACCTTTATTGCCTGGAGTCCATTATAGCAGATTTAAAAACTGTTAGTGTATTGAACTGGCAAGATTGAGTCTGAGAAGACCAGTGGTGACTCTTGATTGTTGTATCAATGATGATGACAACGACATGTGAAGTTTGTACTGATAGAAGTAATGTAGATAAAATAACAAACAAAATTTTTTGTCAAAGGAATTAAACTTTAAAAATGGCATGGCAATATGCTGGCCATAAAGTTTGAGGAACTGTTGATCACTGAACTTGCAACATCTTAGGCTGATATTCTCATGACATCATCTGACTAAGAAAATAATCACAAACAAGATGGCCTTATAAAATTAGAAAAACAGGAAACTAGAGCGAAAATAACATCTTTTTTTAAAAAAAAGAAAAAAGTTCAGATAAGCCTTTTCAATTGATAATGGTTGTTGGTAATGGTGAAGAAAGTAAAATTTTATTATTAAATTTCAAGTGTATTAATTTATTTTGCTTTGTTAGATTTACTTATTTTACTGTATTTTTTCCCTTTCAGGTCAAAATTTGTTACGTTTTGTTGTTTTGTGTTTTTAAATTAAAGTTATGTTTCCTTTCAGGTCAAATTTTTTTTTGTTTTATTGCATTTTTAAATTGAAGTTGTTTTTAATTTCAGGTCAAAATTTGTTACATTTTGTTGTAGAGTGTTTTTAAATTTTATAACTTTATTAACAAAGTTTATCTATTTTTTATAGATAAATCTTTACTTGCATATGGAACAAAAGCCTCATAAAAAAGAAGAGTTAATATTGGCTAACAATGTTTTGAAGTTGGCTGCAGATTTATTAAAGGTATCATTATGGAAGTTAATGCTATGTTATACTGAAGTGTTTCATTACTGTTTTTAAAACTTATTATATGGATTTTTGAGAGTGATCAATTTTCTGTTTGTAAATTCTGCTTTTAATTAGTTTTATCTAATGAGGCCAAAGTACATTTTCAGATTTTAATTTCGGAAGTAGTAAATTAAAAACTTTTATATTTTCCCCCCTGCTTTAAGTTAATGTATATTTGTTTTGAAAACTGCATTAGATGTTTTTCTATTTAAATTGTTTGTAAAAATAAAATAATATCTGAAGAGATTTTAGACTGAAAAGAGAGGGAATTAATATAAATTTTAAGACTAGACTAATTGATCCCAAGTTTGAATATATAATCAAAATAATTCTCTTTGATTGTGGCAAATACTTCTGAAACAAGATGCTAGCTGATTTCAGCAATCACTTGCTCTCTGATTTTCTTGAGCATCGTAATTCTTGACAGATTTGTATCACTAACTATGCCATTCTCAAGTTATTCTTCTGTTTAATCAAAGTTCTCTTTGATTGTAGTAAATATTTCTGGAATAAGATGCTAACTGATTTCAGCATTCATTTGTTCGCGATGCGAATATGTTAGGGCTTTCTTTACGGTATGACTAAAAAATTCTGTATTAAAGGGTAGTTATATGAAGTACCCTGTATTTGCAAAAATATTTCACATGATTCTCGTATTAATAATATAATATTTTGTCTAAACTATAATCAAGAATTTCTATCTTTTTTAGGAACTCGAGAGTCCATTCAAAATATCTGGATTGTGTGCAAATTCATATCTTTACAACATTACCAAAGTTATAGTGCTATCAGCATTTTCAGCCATGCTAACTGATGTGCTAGGGTTTAAATTAAAGCTGTACAAGATCAAGATAAAATGATGATTGTAGAAGTTAGCTTAAATTTCAAGTACTGAAGCCTGGAATATTTGTAACCTAGAATGTTCTTTAGAATATTGCAACTTATCTCACTGGATTTCTCACGAATTTTATGATGTATTTTTAAATGAAATCACCTCATTCAGTTTTTGCTCAAGGAACATTAGTCGACGAATTATGTTATATACTTTTATTTATTTATTTTTATACTTTATTTATTTATTGAATATGGACTTATCTACTTATTTAGTTAAAATATCAGAATGTTGGTAGTGTTTTTCCACAGATTTGTTTGCCAAAAAAAAAGAAGAAAAAGTCTATTTTCTCTATAAGTCTTTTGTTTCCTAATGTCAAATTTATATTAAAAGTAACGTTTTAAAATACGTTGTACAATTAGAATCAAAAACTTTATCTGGGATAGTTTTCTGTCCAAAAAGTGTATTGTTTCTAATTCTATTAAAATAAAACAAAATCTATTAAAAATTGAAATTTAAAAATAGTGAATGATGAAAAAATCTGCCTTTTAATTCATTGAATTATTTCCTTTTCTAAGTATTAATCTCTAATCAAAAATGATATAGCAAAATCTTTGAGTCTCAAGTTATCTTGGGGCATGCAAAAGTCTGACCAGAATATTTTTGTGACATTTTTCAGCTTTTGCTGTTTAAATGAGGGAAAAAAATAATTTTTATTTTTTGTTATAACCAACTTCAAATAATATCAAATTATTACTTATTTATTATGAAGATACATAACCATAAATACTAAAATAATCTACGATACTTTTTGGTTCAAAAGTACGAGGCTAGATTATGATTTAACTTTAATAAATTTTTTTTTAATAAATCGAATCGAAAATTCAATATTAAAATTTTAAAAGGATCTACTGTTAATAGTTTGTAGCCTTGATTTTTGCAGCAAAAACACAGAACGACAATTACCTGGCATAGTCTCAATATAATGTTAATGATGCACATTTCTAGTTTTAGTTGCAAACATGGAAATGAAAGGTTTTTATTTGACTATTGATCCTATTTAATGTGACATTATATTGTTTCCCATAAATATATATATATATGGGATTAAGGTCGGTAAATTGCCTTGAACACTGTAAAGCATCAATATTGTTACATTAGTTTTAAATGTCCAAGTTAAGCAAAAAATACTAAATTGACTGGTCACTTTTGAGCACAAAAATAATGTAGCTTATTTTAGTTTCAATGATTACAATTGTTAATGCTCATAAAACTAATTTGATATTATTTAAATTTGTTAACATTAATAGATTAAAAGAAAATTATATGTTTTTCACTCATTTAAACAGTCAAAAGCCAAAAAAAAAAAAATTGTAAAACTGAAGCTTTTGAATGCCACTGTAGTTTATAAGTTATACAAACTTTGATAAGTTAGCTTTAACATGTTTCTCATAAATAAAAGGAATGCAAGTTTTCTTGTTCTTACACAATATAAAATAATTTTATTAGAATTATTATTCATATTTTACAATATTTATAGCCCAAAAAAGTATCTTAATATAAGATATTGTATAAAAAGCAATTTTCAAATTTAAAATTTTTAAAAAAAGGTTAACAAAATTTCAACTATCACTGAATTGATGTTCAAAAAATGGTGTACTTTAAAATATATTTAATTAAAGAAAGAAAAATTTGACATATCAAGGTTCTTTTTGAGTTTCATATTTTTCTGTGGCAAAACTTTGTAAGTTGTATAAAATTTGGAAGCTAATTTTAAGACATTTCTCATGGATTATGTCAATGCAGAGTTTCCTGCATTGGCATTACTTTCAGTCTTTAACTATAGAAAACAACAGCCTTAATGGTGTTTTCTAAAGTTAAATCGTAGGAAAGAATCCTACATTGATATTTTCTGAATAATTGGCTTAGAGAAAGCATTTGAATATTGCATCATTTGTTACCCAAATGTTTATTCTAATATTTTAAATACAAAAAGTTTAATATTCAATAATAATTTGTAATATAATGCTTAAAAAATATTCAAAAATGTGTCATTTACAAAATTATAGCACTCTGTTAGTTTAGAGAGCATGTTGTAGTTTAGAACTAGAAAACAAAGGTTTTGAAGAAGAAAATGATTAACTACTTTCATATGACTGCAGCTTTATTTTTGTGATATTTTAATGATCTACTTAACTTAAAAGTTATGAAGCTTTTCATAATTAAATGCTCAAAAATTTTAAGAATACAAGTATGTTGTGAAAGCAATATGAGATAATTATTTTTTTCTTGTGTGTTCAAATCAAATCTTTATTATTGGTTTTATATTATCAATTTATTTATTTTTTTGAGATGTTAATACTTATGAAAAAGAGTATTTTTCATATAAACTTTATATTTATTAGTTCTATTGTTAAATTTTTTATATTTATTAATTTTATTTTTTACTAATTTTTTACCCTAACATATATTTTGTTTTCATCTGTGAAAGGGTGAGTTTCTTTCTATTAACCTTTTTTTTTGTTGTTTGTTATAAATAAATTTTTTTTCTGCTCAAGTGTTAAAAATATTAAATCCCATGTCTAGTATATATTTTTAAATTCTTAAAAATTATTCAGGATCTTATTAAAATTCTATGAATTATAATAATTTTTTTTTAGATTACTTTTTAAATTTTATTTGATGACTATTTAAATCCGAAGAAACCATTGGAGAATAACATTAACTTCTTAAAAGTTAATTCTTTAAAAAGAAAAAAATGTAAGAGTATATAATTGTCAGTTTGTAGTTGTGTTTGATATTCATTATCCATATAACGCAACTTCGCACCAATAAATTAGTCTGTTTATTTTGATTTTGTCATAAATTGCTTGAAAAATTTGTATTTTTGCAATATTCTTCCAAAGTTTTTTCTTATTGAGTGTTATCAAGTAAGAGCTAGAAAAAAAGAAACAAAAAGAATAGGGTACAGCTGATAGTTTTTGTGTTTGATTTTCTTTTACCATTATCAAACAACTTCGCAATATCAGAATAAAAACTTTGTAGCGTGTTATGCTTCGCAATCTCTTTTTTATTTTATTGTTATTTTTTTTATTTTTGAAAGAAAAATTGGTATTAACAAAACACACAAAAAAAAAGCTAATCAGGCATCAAAATTGCTAAAAATGTTATTTTTGCTCTGTTTACCATGAATTCATTTATTTATTTTTTAAGAAAAGCTTACATATGATGTTGCTAGTAGTTAGGGGGGCATCATTCAAAAATTTCTTTTATAAACATAATTTTGTTTAGAGCTTATAATGAAAGCTAAAAAAACAAAAAGTACAAGAAATATTTTTATGATAATCTAAAAGAACACTTTTAAACTCATTTCATTTCTTAAAAAGTTAAATGAAATGGTGTTAAATTGCTCCTTTTGCGGTAATTTAAATATTTTTTAAAATCTAAACAGGTGAAATTTAAAATAATCAGGTAGAATTTTTTATATTAATTACTATTAAATTTCTCATCACTTTTTATTAGAAAGAATTGGATGGTTATTGATAACAGCTTTACAAGCTTACCCCTTATAAGTACTGTTTTTGTGTTTGTAGCTTTTAAAATATTTGAAGCAGCTTTAATTTATATCTTTTTAAATTAATTTTACGATTATTTTAATTTTTTGAATTTTCATTTTATGAATGATTTGTATTGGAGCTTTGTTGTTTGTAGTATATTTGTAAAGGTTTTGTCTAAATACAATTTTTAGAAATAGTAATTTACAAAAGCGTTGAGGCCTTGGCAATATTTTTAGAGACAAAAAGAAACAATTTTAAGATATTTGTAAAATTCAGAGAAAATGAGATTTTTTAAAAAATAATTATGTTTTTGAATGTTCGACTTCTATTTAAAGCAATTTCTCATTTTTAGAATTTACCATTAATTTGAAAGGAAAAATAACTATTCAAGTGCAATAATAAAATTTAAATTGCACAGTGTTAGGACCACCAGTTGTTTCAATTCAATCAGTTGTAGCTAATTTGAGGGCTTTACAAAAACTACAATTTTTAACTGTTGGAGTAAATCTCGCTATACATGAGTTAGTTTTTAACATTTCAGTTTTACACACATGCCCTATATTTAATGGTGTAACCCGTAATTGATAAGGATTGAATTAAAAAAGTTTTCCTAAAAAACTATAAAATTTTTCTTTTTTTAATTTCTTTTCACGTGATATAAACAATTGTATCAGGCATTTTTATGTCGATAAAACTTTTGTTTAAGTTGCTAAACATTTTTAAAACGTGAAATGCTTAGATAAATAATATTTCATTGTAATAAGTCATTATAATCAATCTTATAGTTCTCTATATTGATTAATTCCTAAGTATAAAACTAATAAATACTTGACTTTCTTTCATTTTATATTTCATTTCACATTATATATGATAAAAAATTCATATATACCAAGAAAAATTTGTGATAAAAATTAATTAATCTCATTTAAAAAGATTAAAAGAAAAAAGAACCCTCAGTTGTATGAGAAAAAATTGTTTTTGATGCGTTATTTTACATTATGCAATCTTTTATTAGGTAATAATTTTTTATTCTACAATTATGTATCATTATCATGTTTTCGTTGAATTAAAAAATTTCTTATTACTATATTTTATTTCTCAGCATATTGTTTTATCATTTCATATTGTGTTTAAAAAGTTCTCAAAAACAACAAATGATTTAAAAGATCAATTGAAGCATGGAGAAATATTTGGTGTACAGTATTCTGCTTAAAAAATTAGGCGATTAATTCTTTCTATGACCAATGGTTTAAAAAATCAATTGAAGGACAGAGAAATATGTGGTTTAATTCAATTGTTCAAACGCTTGCAAACACAGATGGCTCTGCTATCTAAAAATCTCTGAAACATATTTTTATTAAAGAAAATAAAAGAAAATTCATCATTTGCATCAATAAGGTGAGGGGTAGTTTTAGAACGAAATTAGCAGACGTCAATGCAAATATTTCGGTTGGAATAGTCTGACATATGGAAGGTGTTTTCAATATAAATGTAAACAATAACAATCTCAAGCTCAATACCTGCTTTAGTTCCGGCTAGAAAATTTGCAACTGCTTACTATAGCTTATTATGCGAGGCGATATTTTCAAACGGATAATTTTATTTTCAATAAAAGAAATAAATTAGATAATTTCTGACCTCAAATCTGCCGTATTTCATGAGATAATGTTATTAAATAATTCTGGTGAGTTTGAAGTGAAAATTTGTTTTAGTTATTTATAGATATATTGTTAAAAAAGGTGACATGGTTGCTAGATTTTGAATAACTCGCTTTTTTGGCAGTCCTGATTTCGCCTCTTTCCATTTGTTTATTACTGTTTGTTCTTGTTGCAAGCTGTGCACCATTTTACGTTAGTGTTAGCACCTTTAGCATTGTAAACACAAGTATTGTTAGCATTGTAAAAACAAGTAATAAGTAATCAAATACCACATTTGCAAGAATCTCATAACACAATGATCATATTGTGAGCCAAATAGCTTTAAAATGCACCACAAACTGTAACCTTCCCCTGATGTATAGGTGATATGGAGCTTGCAGCGTTCCCTAGCGTAGAAAACACCATCCATAGCAGAGAACATGGTTTTGTAGTTTTTCAGTCAGTGGCGCCATCTGGGGACGAACTTTGTACCTAATTTTTAAATTCAAAGAGAATAAATTATCTTGTATTCCAAAGCAAAATGCAATAAATGGACATTTCTACAGCCTTCCAATTTTCTTGAACTGATTTTTCAAATTGTCAACCGTTTTTGGAACAAATAATGGTTTATTTATTGTCAGTGTACTTTAATTGACCTAGTCTCTTTATCTCAAAATGGAATTTCTTTTATTTTCAGCTTTTAGACTAAAAATGGAGACAAAATAAGCATAATTACTGTTATTGCCATTTTATTTTAGTATCTTATCTTTTTTGTCAACACGGCTAGTTTAATTATTTATTTGTTTTTTTGAAAAAAAGGAGGTCCTTTAGATGTTTGTTTTATTACGAAGAATTTTAATGACTGTGATTCTGATATATACTTACTCTATATTTAGATTTGTAGATAAATGTACTATTTTTATAGTTTTTTCCTTTTTTTGCTTTAGACGTTCTAGTCTAAAGTTTTCTTAGTATATTACAGTAATATATAAAATTTTACATATTTATCTGTTTTGTTATTGTTGGTGATAGATTTTTGAAGTGATTTGTGAAACATTGTGACTGTGAAGTTGTGGATCAACTGTAATTGAAGTGTTTGCTATCGCACATAAATAAAAAAAGAATTAATAAGTAAACGTTGTTTTTCAGCCTCTTAAATACAACTGATTTCTTTCTTTTCTATTTTCGCCAGACTTACTCCGCTATAGCCCGAGCAACGAAATATATCGTACAGGGTATTTTATAATGACTACTAGTACTGGACCGTCGTTGAACAGCCAATTTTGGGTTTACAACTACTGATGTTCAGCTCCGTATCCTAGTGTTGTTGAATGTTGTAATGTAACTCCGTAATGTTGAACCCAATCCAGAAGATAAGGGAACTTCTGGATCAAGTATTGGGAGAAATTTTGTCTTCGTGGAGGATTTTTTGATGGAACTAACCCGCATTTGCATTACATGGAGAGGAAAACCACAAAGACTTTCCACCGTTACTCTGACTGTAAGGGGACTTTAACCCATGATCCGTCCACCACTGACGATATTTTACGTCTGCGCTGTGGTCGGTGCGAGCCGGGGGCGTAATTCGTATCGACCAGTCATCGCTAGGATTCGAACCCAGTTCACCTCATTGGAAGGAGAACGCTCTATCCCCTGAGTCACCATGACTTTATTAGTATTTATTTTCAAAATCCTTGGAAAGAGTGAATAAAAAAAAAGTATGCGCACTAGGGGTCACAAATTAATACCGTAATTTCGAAGATACGCCACCCTGTGATATACACAGCACAAAATTTTACTGCTTGCTCGATCGCAGAGATAACGCATCTGCTACAGACAAGTTATATATAAAATAAATGATTAAACTTTTAAATAATCATTAAAATAATTATGAAATACATTATAAATTAATATATGCTATCTTATTTAAAATCAGAAAGTACTTATTTCGATAATTTTCATCATAACTTTTCAAATGTATGTAAAATTTTACCATGTGCAATTGTACGCAATTCAAATGGAACACAATCGCAAAAGCATTACGTTCATATATACTAATTTAAAATACTCTAATTTTATGTAAACCAAGTGGTTAAGAGCCATGTAATAATGTATCAAAATACAATAAATTGATAAAAAAGAATATTACTAGGTTCGAAATTGTACCATATAAACAATTGCGATTGCATCACATCGGTTCGTGATTTTATTATTAAATCAAATAATTAAACAGCTGAAAATACTTACAATAATTCAAAAAAGTAATAATAATAATTAAATAAAATGAAATTAATCTTGTTTTGAGCAACATTGTACTACCAAAACAATGACAAACGCATCCCGTTTCCTTTTTACTAATTTTAAATTCCTAATATTTTAACATATCAAACTGTAAACAGCTCAAAACCTTTAAAATAATTATTAAAAATAGATGTAAGAAATAGACAAGTAATCTAGTTTTGTTCAAAATTGCCATTAAAGCATGAAATGATTACGAACGCATTTCTTTTATAATTGAATTAGAATATCCCAGTTATAAATAAATCCGATGATTAAAAAGCTGAAAATTGTTTAAAATAAACATTAAATATAGAATAAATAAAGCAGTTCACGCATTCTTTTATCCACGTGCTCATTATATTGCATAATTTTACTCGAACATCTCGAAACTTCCGAGAGTAAAAATAATAAAGTTGACCTTCATTTGTAAGTGGGGATAAACTTAACCTTCAAGAATGGTTTGTACATTTTTCTTCTTTTTTTTCTTTTCTTCATACCTACAGCCTACCTAGCTAGATGGTTATGAACCATGTAGATCAGGGGTGTCAAACTCAAAAGCTAACTTGGGCCAAATAAACAATGCTTAACTTGAGGTGGGCCGCAAAAAAAGAAAAAAAATCAGTGTTCATAGAAACAAATATTTTTATTTTGAATAGTACATTGTAATAAACATATATAAAGTTAAATTATTGTTTGATACTTGACATCTCTTCTCTGCTACTATCTTTCCTATTTCGGGAGAAATTTTATTGGCCGAGACTACTTTCAAAATTGACCCAACGTGAGCGTTATTAATACGGTTTCGGACAGGAGATTTATTTCCATTCATAACAGAAAATAATTGCTCGCACTGATAAGTACTTCCAAACATGGAAATAATTTCATATGCGAATTTTCGAGTATTTTCAAACCTTGCCGGTAAATATTTGTAAAATTCAGGCACACTCACTTCAATGAATTTTGCCTTCAAATTTGAGACGCACTGAATCTCAATCACTTCCATTTGCATATTACTGGGTACTGAGTCTATATTTATTGAGAAAATCGAAGAAAACAAACAAAATTTGTCTTCAAAGAATTAAAATCTTTAAACCTTTGTCCTTGTGGATGAACAGTACGGAGGAACAATCCCGCAGTGGACTGAACGTTAAGACACGGTTCCCAGCAGATCACCGAAGTCAAGCATCACTGGCTGCGGTCNAGAAAACAAACAAAATTTGTCTTCCAAAGAATTAAAATTTTTAAACCTTGTTTTAAATTTTGTTCTATGATTTGAAATTTTTTCTGCGTATTTTTGATGCGATGCAGTATTCCTGGAATGGCAGGTGCCGCAAGCCAATTAGAATTTTACATTTTCGTTAAACTGTGTTTCCGTGAAGTGCTCGAAGCGAGGGTGCCATCACCTCCACAGAGGATCAAAATTGTGATGGCATGTCTTCGGATCATCCTCCGGGATGTTTCCCAGACCGTCGCCAATAGCCCATTGTGCAGCTCTAGTGTGACGTAAATTAACAACAACAACAATTACATTTTCGCGCGTACAATTTAATATGATCCGTATAGTTTATATATAAAGTATATTGTAATTTTATATGCTACTTTCCTTTCTAATTAACATTTCTATTTTATTTTTACTTTTCGTCGGATATATTGACTGGGCCGCAAAAATATTAATCTCGGGCAGCGAGTTTGACACCTCTGATGTAGATGGTTGAGGGACAGGAATTCATCAACGGCTTCTTCGGATTAGGGTCTGTTGCGCTATTATTACATTTTCAAATTGTTGTTAACTTGCATTGTTAATTCTTTAAATTATTATTGAGACTAAGTTATTAAATTAGATCGCTGCAAAAGATAAAAAAGGGGAAGAGTAATATTGAAATTTTGGACAATCAATTCAACAAAATAGAATATTGAAGTAAAAAAAAAAAAAAGTATAGGTCGCCCCATCAGATACGCTGCACATACCGTAATTTAATGTTTAAAATCATAAACGCCGCTCCCGTATCTCCGCGAAATTACGGTATTTATTGAGAAAAAAGCAAAACTGCTACCGAAGTCTGATGATTACATTTCCGTAGAAAACGGAACTGAAAATATCAAAACCAGTTAGATTGCTTGATGGAACTCTGAGTTTGTTTCAGTTCCTCTGTTATTTTCAACAATAAAATAGATTATGATTTTTTTTTGTGTCTCAACTTCATTGGTAATGGTTTGTCAAATTGATAGTGTTTTTGCTTTATTTGAGACACTATAAATTTGAGATTTTTAATATTGCGTTTTTTACCTTATTCTGTACAAGGGAAATATATAAACCATCCCGTAGGGAATGACTAATATAAGCCGCTGTGGTATACTCGGTAGGGATTTTAAAAAAAATTACACAAGCTTTAACGTAATTAGCATGGTCAACATCCATAATTTCTGTCGTATGCATAGCTTGAAATTTTCGCTCTTCTCAAACATAAATTGCACATTATATTTAGACTGTTTCAAAAAATGGCTTTGGAATAAGTATAATACGCTAACACGTTGAATGCCATGGGGGTCACCGGTGACCAGCACTGAGTTTGTTCGTAGCACCACGGGGGTGACCGGTGAAGCCAAGATTATTAGAAACACAATTCGAGTAAATTTTTAATGCTTTTAAATTCTTTTATATTATTATCGTTACTAAAATGGTTTAATGAAATTAATGCAATACATAAAATCATTTTGGCCAGACGGGCAAGCCATGTAAAATTAGCGTGGCATTCAACGTGTTAACTAATGAATTAAAACTTGATTTTTTTTAACTTTTTCAGTTTGTTTCATATAAAAATTCGGTTAAGAAAAGAAACTTTGTCGATTATTTTTGTTGCTATTTTCGAGCTGTTCAGGGTCTTTTCCGTCTTGCTACATAAGGCCTTTCAGCCATGTTGCTGTTATGTGGTGCATACCTTCACATTGATATAATTCACTTTGTCTTGAAGAACAACGTATTTGAAAGAGAACTTAAACTTTTAGAGTGATAGTTTAAAATTTAATTGAAAATCTTGGTATTTACAATTGAAAGTAATATGTTATAGTAGTAGTTTTGTGATAATGTTGTATTTTAACTGCTTGGTCCCGCAGTGGACTGATCGTTAAGACACGGTTCCTACCGGATCACCGAAGTCAAGCATCACTGGTGGTCAGTGTGCAAGCGGGTGACCACTTGGATCAGTCTGTGTAGGGACTGAGGGTGTGCTGCATTGGTCCTCGTTCTATCGTAAAGAGCTCGACTTCGAATGCAGGTCGTCCCTTCTGCAGAGGATCAGAATTGTGATGGCATGTCTTCGGATCATCCTCAGGGATGTTTCCCAGACCGTCGCCAATAGCCCATTGTGCAGCTCTAGTACGACGTAAATGAACTACAACTAACTGCAGGTACTCAACTTTCGTTTTTTACCTCGGAAGATGCAGGTAGTGTTGTTCATTTAACGTTAATCCAGTTAAATGAGCAACGACGGTTTTACAAACATTTATTTTAAAGTGGTTGCGCAAATCGATGCATCCAGTTAAAAGAGCTAAAAAAGAAAAAAGAAAAATTAAAGTCTTAAAAATATACGTTATGCAACATCGCTTGATTAATTAGCATATAATATGCACTTTAAGTAAATTTCTAATTTCATACATATATTTTGTGAGTAGAACAATGCATAGGAAGTTTAATGGATTTAAAAAAAAATCAACATTAGCTAATCAGTTCGGGAGTAACTTGTATCAAAAAATACCATGCGGGTGGCTCTACAGGCTACAGAAATGAAACTACAGAGTTAAAATATAGCATGTCGATTGTTTATGAACTTAATATAAATTTTTCTTTTTTCGAAAATCAAATTTTTTTGTAGCAATTTTAAGCTTTTTTTTGTTTTATGTTGCATTTCGTTTTGTTGAGGCAAAATTATTGGAATTTTGAACTTGAAATTACGAAGTTGTATAAAAAATGTACAAAATAGTACGATGGAATCGTTCGCACCCATCTTATACATTTAAAATATACAAAGGTTTCTAGAGTTTTAAGATGCATATATTTGTCTCATCTCATATGAGTGCCTTCATGAAAACAATATTTATTTATTTAGAAATTAAGGCAATTTTTTTATCATGGCTTCTTTACATTTGCAGGTTTGTGTGCTCAACTAAGGTTTATGAATTTTTATTAAGTCTAATAACAAATAGCACAATACAGAAAAGGATAGCACGGAGATACATTCACTGTAACAGTGCGATTCGAACCTGCTACCTCCACGCTTACGCTCAGTGTTTGACGGAGCATACCACTTAGCCAAGGAGGCATTATAAGAGAGACAAAATATATTAGATATAATATATTAACGGCATTATAAGCGATGTTTTGTTTTCTAGTTAAAAATTTAAAACTGTTCTCTCTCTTAAAATAGAAAGGTTGTAATTCATACTAAAAACATTTTACTTTTAGATCAACATTTTTACCCAGAATGAGTATTAATTCAATACTTAGAATATCCCGAAATCATAACAATACAACACTTAAATGCACGCATTCATGTATCTTGTTTGTAAATACTTAAACAGGCAAGCATTGAAACAAACCTATGGATTTCAATGTCATAACGTCCAGCTGATCGTAAAGACATGATTCCTAGCAGATCACCAAAGTCAAGCATTAGAGGCTGCGGTCAGTGTGTGGGTGGGTGACCACTTTGATCATGACTGCTAAGGGACCGAGGGTGTGTGGTATTGGTCCTCGTTAAACTGTTCTACCGTAAAGTGCTCGATTTCGTGCGCAGGTCGTCGTTCTACAGAAGCGGAGGTGCCATCCCTTCTGCAGAGGATCGAAATTGGGATGGCATGTCTTAGGATCATCCTCAGGGATATTTTGCAGACCGTCGTCAATATGCTTCTACGCAGCCAATAGCATAGTGCGTTGTAAATAAACAACAACAATCCTTTCTTAGTCTTTCTTATAATTAAGTGCTTGCAATTGCTAAGGTTTTTCATTAACTTCAGGACAGAAATCTGAAACTTTTGTATCACTCCCGATTTTTAGTTCTTAGGATGGCTCACGGCTTACCAGTTTTCTTTTTTTAAATTTAACTACAAAGCGCTAATTTTCGGAGAAGCTGAGTCATTCACCTGATATCATGAAATAAGTTTAAAACCAACAAGTTCGAAGTCTTAGTAATTGGGCAGCCTGTTCTGTTATCATATCGAACCACAGCATTGTTCTAATATCACAATCAAACGGGCCGGGCTAGCCTGTCTGTTAGGGCATTGAGCCCATGTCCGATAAGTCGTGAGTTTGATCTTCGCTGACCGAAGACTCCCCGTGTATAAAATGGTGACTAGTGCAAGCCAAATTTGTCTAGGTCACAAAGTCCTACAAGTCTCCTTAACAAATCAATACTTCTGAGGGTACTGGATTGGAGATTGGTCGTGATCTGGTTCTGGTCTCAATTACGATCTGTCGGAGAGATGGATGGTATTTGTAAAATGGGATCATTCTCAGGTATGTTTCCTAGACCTTCGCCAATAGCCCATTGTAAAGCTCTAGTGCGACGTAAATGTATCCGTAAAAAGTACCTAGTGTTACCTAGTGTACCTAGTGCTAAAAGTACCTCCGACGTAAAAAGTACCTAGTGTTACAATTAAACACTTGTGTGCTTCTCGCTTATAAATAATGAGGTTCTTATGTGAGTTCGAAATACGAACCTATTACCTCTTTTGCCACCATCCGGGACATTAGTCGCTCGGCCACCTTGGCTGTTTTTATTACAGATTCGATACAAATTCAGAAAATTTCAGAATCATAATCAATGAATCATTCAAAACTGCCTCTGTTACAGTCACTGGTTTGCTGTTAGTTGTGGTGCGAGCAACTTGTGAAGCGGCGGTTTTTACCAGACCAGAAGCATTCTTTTAATTTTTTATTTTGGTTTTAATTCGATTTTAACTATGGCCCTCGGTCACGTGGACGCTCTCGCTTACATCTCCGCGAAAATTATGGCAGACGACGAAGAAAGAAAAAAACGTGCGGCCGCTGCCGAAAAGCGAGTTGCTAGTTATTACTTGAAAGAAAAATACAGTGACAGCGAGTCTTCTTCTAACAGAGAAGAATTACAGTACGTACTTAGTTGTCTGAAGTATACTGTCAAAGACTACAGGGACGAAGAGTGCGAGGAAGATTGGAAGGTGGTGTCAAACTGTGATTTGAAACCTCGCGTGGAGGATATTAAAGTTTTAGTGAAAAGAGCCATTTCTAACCATTATTCAGCAGTAAAAGACAATGTGGTAAGTCTCACTTTTACTCTAATTTGACTTGACAGAGTATTGTGGAAATATTTATAATTATAGGATTATGTTAAAATCACTAAATTTTTACTGTTTAAGAGTATATTTTTAGAGAGTATTGTGGAATAATTATAGGGTTATGTTAAAATCACTAAATTTGTTCTGTTTAAGAATATTTTCAGTGTCCTTTGCTTACAATGAGATACCTGTAAGTGACGTAGTGTGGGTATCTTGATCCGGATACGTTGTTGAAACGTGGTATTTGTTTACGTTAGTAACTGTTTTTTCCATTCTGTTTCGAGTAAGCCAAGCCCGTCAAATATTCTCTTAAGTGACACATTCTTAATTCTTTCAGATTCTTTCTCAAAGATTTCAATTTTTTGTCTATATTTACAGACTTAACAAAGACAGGCACGGAACCATGAGGAACATAAAAAAACTAATCGAAGTTTCCAGGTACACAAGACAAAAATATATTACTCTTACAATAAAATACATAAAATAATAAATCGAAGTTAAATTAAAGAAGTAGACGAGAAAGAATTATATTTCAACTAATTATATGTGCGATACTGCTTAATTAAATTATCGTTAATTAACAAACTTATGTAGAGAAACTTAGTACGCTATTTATAGTGCGCTATTTTGCTGCTGAAGAGTAGCTGGCGCAGACGTCATAGATCACATGTGTGGGTATGTAAGGTCTTCTTGAAGTGCTCGTACCCAATCGAATATTATGGTCGAAATTTTAAATGAAAAGCAATGGTGTATTTTATTATCAAGTTCATAAGAGAACGATTCATGTTTGACAAATATTTTTTCCACGACAGTAGATTTAAGTTAGAAGTTGAAATATACTTATGTGGTGTGTAATAAGCTGTGGGAAATCGTGGTTATAAAGAAGGGGGAAAAGTGAGAGTGGTTAAATCTCGTAACCGTGAGACGCCAACTTTCGAACTCTCTTTTAATCGATGAAATATCCTTTATCAAAAGTTGCTTCTCTCACTGCTGCCACACAGAAAAAGCAAATTTTGAAATTGAAAAAATTCGTCTACTTTAAGAAAGCGAGACTAAAACAGTTTGATATTAAATTGCATGCGAAACATGTACAATGAGTCTGTCAAATCGGATTTTCATTTGATTGGTAAAGAATTAACTTTCTGAGAAATACAAGCTCATGGCGCGCTCCTGTTTTCGTTGACATAGTAGTGTGTAGAAGCTTAATCTTGCTGTCAAACTGTGAATTAGCGAGTTTGATTTTTATTGCTTTAAACAATTTGATTCTTTTTGTCTTTGTATCAAAGATTTTGCTTTCCTTGTAGAAATTGTATATCATGCCTTTTGGTTTTTTAGCTTTCTACGGATTGTTTCTCCTTAGCAAGCAATACCTTTTATGCGTATTCCAAGATTTCAAAAATATTTTTTTATTTTGGATTTAATAATAGCGTTAGATTTCTTTGCTTTAAGCGTTATTTTAGCCCTGTTTCGGTGATTCAGACTGTTGACTTTTCGTCTGTCAACTCTGTCTACTGTAGAAAGCGCTTTTATTTCAGCGAAATTTAATTCAATTGCAGAACAAGTAAAATCAAAATATGAATTATTTTTTTGGGACGTTGGCGTTTTTTTTAATAAATTTCAAATTTGGGCTAGTGCGACCGTTTGCGAACACTTTAAAACTTTTCTGAATTTTTTTAAGAAACTTTCAGACCACAACTATACAAAACGTTTGACATTTTTAAATTTCGGCTCAAAAATTTTTGAACAACGCCTTTGTAATAAGCTAGTAGTATTCTTGAGTTTATAGTTGCAAAAATACTATGAAATTTCACAATATGAAATGTAAACATTTTGGATTATTCTTCTAAGCTTTTTAAAATCAGTGATTAATAAAATTGCGTTTGGTTAGAAAAGACTTTACTTTAGACTTTAGCTAACTAAAACGTATTATCACACAAAACTTCGCAACTTAATAAAACGAAAAACTTAACCTAATCACCATCCTTATTTAATTTTAATTCTTATGAAAAGCAAAGCATATGTAAGGGTTCGTAAATTAGTATTTAAGTGAAGAAAAAAAGTTTAATAAATTGTGTCTGAACACTGAAGAATAAGCGTCAAAACCAGTTTTTTTAAAAAAATATTTTCTAAGTCGTTGAGCAGCAAACCCAATTTTTTGGGTTTACGACTATTAATGTTAAACTCCATAGCATTGTAATTTTGAACCCAACCCAGAAGACAAGAGAACTCCTGAATCAAGTGTTGGGCGTTCGTGGAGGACTTTTTGATGGAACTAACCCGCATTTACGTTACACGGAGAAGACTATTAGAACCAGCCACGGTAGCCTGACGGCAAGAGGACTCTAACCCACGATACGTCTACCTCTGAGGATATTTCACGTCACTGTGGTCTGTGCAATCCTCTTACGGAATTCGTATCGACCAACCATCTCTGATTCGAACCTGGGCCAGAAGGTGAACGTTCTATTCCCCAAAACCAGTGATTTTATTTTATAACCGTCGTTAAACAGCCGACCCAATTTTGGGTTTACGACTAATAATATTTAACTCCGTAATTAGACTCCCAGAGGTTCGATTTGCTGTAAGAACATGGAGGACTTTGTAACCCGACAGATTTAACGCGCACCAGTCACAGTATACTACACGGGGAGTCTTCGGTCGGCGGGAAAAACCTGTGATTGTCTAATGAAACTTGGAGATATTTCTAACAATAAATTTAACTTTGTTTCCTCCGTTAAATAGATTTTGATGTTTCAAGTTTCGCCTTCGGTTGTGATTTGCAAGATTTCGAAAGTTTATTAAGAGACTTCATGGCTTTCTCCAGGTTTGGTTGAACTCACTCTATCTGTAATTTAAATTATGGAGATGAAAGAGAACTTGCGATGAAAAGTTTCTCCCATGGTATAGTGTCCTTTCAATTTGAAAATATGTATTCTTGTTTTTATTTCTATCAGATTCGAAAAGTATTATGAGTGGTTTTAACGGTGATATTTAGCTGTGTAAAATTGCGTAGCAAAAAATTATATAAATTTATAATAATCATACGATAGTGAGAGCTCCGACACAGACGTGGTGGCTCAGGATAAGCACTCTCCTCCGAATGAGGTAAACTAGGTTCCAGAGATGGCTGGTCAATACGGATTCGGTCCCCGGCTCTCATCTATCACAGAGCTCACTTATAAACATGCTCAGAGTGGTAGATAGATCATGGGTTATTCTCCTTGCCGATAGGCTAAACCTTGGGAGATTCCCGCGGTTTTCCTCTCCATTTAACGCAAATGCGGGTTAGTTTCCTCGAAGTTCTCGACGAAGACAAATTTCTCCTAATATTTGAGCCAGGAGTTCCTCGTCTTCTGAATTGGGTTCAAAACTAGAAGGTTTCGGAGGTGAACACTGGTTGTCGTTAACTCGAAATTGGGTGGTTGTTGAACGGCGGTTATAAAATATATATAAATTTTAATAAGCTCCAGTAAAAGTTTGAGACGTTTGCTCCCGTTTAACTATCTTTTGGATAAATTGTTCAAAAGAGCAAGTTACTTAGCAAGTTTGACTCTGCAGGCTTGACTGGGCAAGTTTGTAAAAATCGGTTCATTCACACAGGAGCAAAATTTATTTAAATATCAATGAATTTAAAATCACTCGCAAGAAGGTCGAATTATTTCGATACTATTGAATATTGCGGCAGATCTTAATTTCCCAGGTTTAGGTTTTGTTAAACTTATTCTTTTTGAAGCTCTTTAAATAGTTATGTAATACTCTTCGTAAATAAGCGGCTCAAGATTAAGCGATTTCCCCTACTAACCAAATTTTTCTTTTCTCAGTTACCATGGTTTCAGCAATTTGGCTTTATTTCTATGGCAGTATGTTTCAGTAAGAAATTAGAATTTTTTCACTTGGAGGGGAGAGCGACATTTTCCTAAAGCAGAAGCATGTTAAGGGGAAAAGTGGAGGAAATCTCTGACATTGAAACTCTTTATTTACGAAAAGTATAAGCATTTCACTTTTAAACCTGATTTTTAGACACCTCGAATCTCTATGGGTTTCCAACTTATAAGTGCCCGATCGCCACAATCGAAAACACTTGTACTCCGTAGTAAGTTAAGACCATAGTGTTATAGGATTTAAGTATTCATCAGCGACTGCATATAGCTCAGTTTTAATTCGTTGTCAAATTATGCAAATATGCTTTCGAAAACAATATAAAAAGCGATTAAAGGTTAAACACGTTGGATAGAAACTTAATTCAAGCAATCTTACAATATATATCATAGAAATATTCAAAAAAGGTTAGTTTCTTATTCTTGCTGGAATCCTAGACGTGGCGGCATATTTCGATAAATAAGTAAAACTTTCGCTTTTGAAAAGAAAACAATTATATGACGTTGCAAGAGGATTTGATGTGATTGGCCACTAAAAATGTCGCATCCTCTGACACGCTCTTAACAAATCAAACGCGAGACAACTAATTTTTACTTTTGGTTTGCTGTAGAAAAAAAATCGTCTGCAAGAAACAATATTCTTTTATCAATTTCATTAAATTCGAGCAAGACATTTGTTACGATTTTTAGATATCCTTGTTAATTGATTATTCAATAAGTTTTTTGTTTGTTTTTTCTTTTTAGGAGCTATATCACAACATAAATACGTAACAATATATGATTTTGATAGTATTATAAATAAAAATGCTATCTACTTACAAAACATAATTAAGCGTATTCAAAATGTGCTTTTAGTGGTATCGAACGGCGATGGTACATGCAGACCGTCACCATAATGTATTGAAAGTCTATGTAATTTGCAATGCGGCTTTATATCGTGGTTTTTGATTAAAATTCTAAGCAGAAAAATCACACACTTTTGCAAAAGTACGTCCTCCCGAACATGAAGGTGAACTTCCGGCTAAATTCTTGCTGATTTGGAAATTTTTTGTTCATGAATTTGAAGAAATTTTCTTACTTTGATTTAGTGAATGGAGGAAAAACTGGAATGAAAGAAGTAGTTTTCAAGGAAACTGCGAAAATGGAATTTATTCAGCAATGAAAAGTTTGTAAAACAGACCATCAATTGAACTCTTTAGAAACTAAAATCATTAATAAACATATTTTCTCACGAGCCGCTAAGAGATTAGCCCAAAAGATTAGTTAGAAATCAGTTCTGTATCCAAATATTCATGAAACTGTTTTTATACTCCAGAAGTGTAACTTAATATCTTAATCTTGTTGAAAATTTCATTAAATATTCCGAATTTATTTTAGAAATAACTTTTTTAATCTGTGACGGTCAAAATCTTAGGAATCTCCTTTCACCATATTGAATTTTAGGTTATATTTTTGATTTTCTTTTCGATGTTGGTTATTTTTAATGAGACTATTTATTCCATATTACCTTAAAAAAAAAAAAATCAAGACCTTTCTAAGTTATATAAGGTTGAAAATTTTTAGTGAAGCTGCTATGGGTTTTTTCTAAAATTTAAAACAAATTACGCTGTTAATAGTTTTGAGTGAATTGTTTAATACTGTTCATTCATATGTATTTAAAATTAAAATAAATTTAGTTTTAATAAAACTGAAGAAAACCGATTTGAATGTTGAAAATTTCTTTTAACGTAAATAACGCGAAAACGATATTTATCATAATTCTAATATCATACAGGACCAGTGCTAAAGATTTCAAATTATTACCCAGTAAATTAGCCAAATATCAAAAAAGTATTCGCAAATTTTGGAAATTCTTCGCGAAATGCAAATTTAACAAACTATTTTACGGTAGTTTTTTACAGGCTTATTTTATTTGAACCCAATTCTAATTGGTTATGCGGCGCATCTACGAAGATTACAGTAATCTAATAAAAAATACTGATTTGTTTAGAAAAATTCAGTTTGACGTAATTTTGAGGTTAGTTAAATATATTTCTTTTCTGTGGAAAAAAATCATTCGCCAATATTTTCGCCAAAACTCAATTTTATTCGCTGAATTTACGATTTTATCGAATTTTTTGGTGAGGTGACGAATGTTCTCTGTATCACGTTAAAAATCTTTCAAAAATGATTTCAGAGTTATATTGATGTTATTTTTCATGAATAGTGAATCTTATATAAATCATGTTATAAATCAATATCAAATTAATTTATATTAGAAATCTACGGCTATAAAATGTTAATTCCCCACTAAAAATACTATATGTAACAAAATTTAGTTAAATATTCTTATTTTGAAGAACTTTAAATAGATTGTCTCCAAATATTTTAAATGATGTCTTCATTATAACTTTGGACCATGTGAATTGTAAAGGAACTCGCCTTCATTAATCTTTCTATCACTAATTCATGGACTCTGAAAGATTCAAAATTTTGATTGGAGAAATTGAACATTTTAATGGAAATTCTGTTTTTTAGTTTTCTGCGTTGGCGTACTTTTACGACTTAAAATATTTAAAAAAAAAAAAAAAAAAAAAAAAAAAAAAAAAAAAAAAAAAAAAACGAAGCGACCGGTTGTTTATTTTAGATTTTTCTTATTGACTCTCTTTGGAATGGTTATTCTCAGTTCTACAGTGTGCTATATCTTATTGGGTGACTGACTACCTAGTCTTTTACAATGCTTCGAACGATAAAACCCAATAAAATATCTAACCGAAGTAGAAGAAAATGAGAGAATAACTTTATTACCAAGATCTAATCAAGGAAAAGTTTGAAAATAACAGCAGTAATTTTTGAGAGGACTAAAAATATGTCTAAAAATTATTTTTACGTACAAAATATATTGTTTTATTTAATATATTTGTAATGACTATATTCCATGCAAATAATTACACCAGATTTTCATAACAATAAACTTAACTTTATTTTGAAATTAAAAGAAACTAGTCATTATACTTTATACTCAGAGCCTCCAGCTCTTAAACAACCAAGGGAGAACCTCTATAAACATACCCAATATAAACATACATCTACCTCGATTTCTAGCATGCCCCCGAAGGGGTGACACAATGCGCCAAGTGCGCCTGAACGATTGCCAAACAGTTGCCAAACATTACAATATTTTCAATTTTCTTGTATTAATTATAACTTGTTTTAGAATTTATATTTTTATTTTCTTAGGATGATGCCAACATCTATGCCAATTGCCTTCATTTATTTTCAAAGGATTATAAATGCGAGGTAAATCAGTTTTCATTCAGTTTTTATTAAACTAGAAAAATTTCCCTTCAATTAAAAAAGACTAAGCCTTACTTAAGTAAAAAAAATTTCAAATTTATGATTCTACACTATAGCAAATTTTGCGAGTAAGAGTGCTTTTTGATTATCAAACTTTTCACATGTATTATCAGAAACTAATTTTCTGAACGACGCTATTCGTGTTCATAATGTATGAAGTAAAAGCATAGTGAAAATTAAAGGTAAACTTCAGATAGGCTTAGTGTTTATTTTTTATGTGAAATAAAAATGGAACATTTATTAATTAGCATGTATTTAAAATTTTTTGCTTTATCTGATCCAGTTTAAATTTTAGTTTTCTCTCTTTCCATCTGTAACAGATATGTTTATTTTTACTATACATAAACTTGTTAAATGTTTTTGATGTTCTGTCAAACACCCATTAATATGATTTTTTTAGAATAATTAAAATAAATGAAGTGAAAATAGTTTATACATTTGGGATATTAAATATATAAACTAGAGAAAAAGAACTAATCAATCTGTTAGATCATTACTGATAGTTGAGACTTGAAACAACACGACGATTATTACAAACGCCTGCAAAGTATCAAGCAAAACTCTTTATGATTTTCATCTACACAGATGTTGATAGTGCTTTGTTTTTTATATTTTGTTTACTTTAATATTAATTTAATACCTAATGTGTATATTAAGATTCTGTATTAGAAAACATCACGCTTTTCATTGCCTATTCACTAAAAAGCTTTCGTTAAAAAACTCATCCGCAGAATTTGAAATTGTGGCTTATTATCAAATAGTTTAATTTTCTTCATTGCTATTATTTTCTTCAAATATTTGGTCTTTTTTTCTTTTTAAACATTCTTTCCGAAGACGCATGTTTAACTGTACCTTAAATGTTTAAATTGTAGATAGATTTGTCAACTTCATAACCCCTCTTGCTGCTGCTTTCATGCATTCGAAATTCTGCGAATCTTTAATTGGATAAATATGCTCAAAGTAATTGCTCAAAAGATCTTCCGCCACCTGCTATGTACCTGCGGCGCAGGTAATGAAGTACATTTGAGATAACAGCAACTTTGAGTATCTATTCGAGGCCGAACAATTCTTTCTAAATAAATTACCATCTCTTGTCCTTGAGCAGTGGTAGTTCAGGGAATAGAGCGTTCGCCTTGCAATGAAGTGAATCGGGTTCGAATCCCAGCGATTGCAGGTCGATACGAATTCCGCACCCGGCTCGCACCGAGCACAGTACTGACGCAAAAAATATACCCAGTGGGTTAGTCCCCTTGCTGTTAGGCTAACCGTGGGAGGTTTTAGTGGTTTTTCTCTCCGTGTAATGCGGGTTAGTTCCATCAAAAATTCCCTCCACGGAGGCAATTTTCTCCCAATACTTGATCCGAGAGTTCCCTTGTCTTTTGGATTGTGTTCTAAATTACAAGGCTATGGTGTTGAACATTAATAGTCATGAACCTATAAAATTGGATCGGCTATTCAACGACAGTCCCGGATCGTTGCGGTTTGACTTAATTTTAGCGGTGCGAGGTGGTGACATTAAATATGCTAATTAGTGCAGTCTATATTTTAGGTTACAAAATCAGACACAAAAACCTACTTTCTCAGAATGAACATACCTTTTATTCAACGGATTCGGATTTGACCCCCAAAACCGCAATCTGAAAAATATGGCCCCCATAGTTTGGTCAGGTGAACGGTTCAAAATTTGAACCCCCTAATTTTAATTTTACTATTTTCATATTTCGCCGTATCTCAAACTTTTTAAGCGAATTGAAGAAATTTTTTTTTCGCGCAATTGTAAAATTCGTTTATCCTAAGACAATTCCATTCAAAAAATATTTCTTAGTAAATATTTATTTTATTAAATAATAGTCGAAAATATTTTGAAATGTAAGGTATACATTTTTTATATCTCAAAGTATGCAATTTTACATGGCAAAGTACATAATTTGAGCAAAATCGTTTGAATAATTCCTGAGAAATCTACTTTTAACAAAACGACTTTAAAATTTGATTTCTCAAACTATTCAACCGATATTTAACTCAAATTTTGCATTTTGCCACGTAAACTTACGTACGTTAAATGCAAGAAAGATGTAAAAAAATTTACATTTTTACAATTCAAAAATTTTCGATTAACAAACAAAATAATAAAAAATATTTACGAAAATTTATTTTTTGAATGGGATTATCTTTGAACAAGCTAATTTTATAATTGTGCGCAAACACATCTCAATTCGCTTAAAAAGTTCTCGAGATATAGCTCAGATATTTCCCAGATTGCTGCTATTCCTATATTGCCTGGGTCAGAAATCCGAATTCATTCAAAAAAAAGGGTAGGTATTTTTATTCAGAAAAAGTGCGTTTTTGTGTCCGATTTCGTGACTTAAAATATAGTTTGTACTAATTAGCAAATCACAATCTCGAACTTTTGAAATTGAATCATAGAACGTGAAGATCTGATCATTAGATCAAAAGTTACTCAGTGGTCCTTTTTTCCCGCACTGTGCACCATGTCTATTCCCGCGAATAAAGTTTTCTGAAGCATATTTTCTCATTCCTGTTTTAATTCTTTAAATGCGACAGTGGGAAACTACCTTTTAACTGCTCACTGCTAGTGTTCCTCATCATACATTCCATGACTATTGCTCCAGTGAATGTTTCTTATCACCCAGTAAAATTTTGCAGTCTTATTCAGAGTCATCCTTTATATATAATTGTGCATAGTTTTTGTTGATTCTCCCTGCATATACAATTGAGTTAGAAAATTACATAAATTATGCAAGTTATTGAATTAGCATGACTATTATTGCTTCTGTGAATGTTCCTTATCACCCAGTAAAATTTCGCAATCTTATTCAGAGTCATCCTGTATATATAATTATGCATAGTGTTTGTTGATTCTCCCTGCATATACAAGTTATTGAATTAGCAAATTATTGACTTAGTAAATTTAACTTATTCAAATTTTATTTTAGATAATAGAAAATCCAGGAGGCGCTTTGTCTTGGAATTATCCTGTAAATATAATCGTCCCAATGGGCCTCCCAGAAAATCCAAATCAATTGGACAGGTAAATAAAGCTCTTGGTATAAAATTTTTACATGATACTCTTTAATGATGGATTGATAGTCTTAAATATGAACAAGCAAATTTGAACATTTGATTGCAGCAAATTTGCTAATTTTAGAGAATAAGCCGCTGCAGACGGGGATATGAAAGATTACTTCAATTCTGTATCTCGGGCAATTTTCGTAAAGCAATAAAATAACTACTGAATAACATTACAAATATTTACCATAAATTAATGCTACTGTGGCGAATGCATACTGTTTGCAACCAAAATGGAAAATGTTACTTATCCGTTATAACTTATATAATTAAGACACAAATATTAAAAGCCGGCGAGGTGTCCGAGCTGTTAGCGTGCATGACTGCGAAGGCAATGGTTGCGAGTCCGAATCCCACTCAGAGCATGAATGTTTCTCTCTGTGTTCTCTAGTCCCGCAGTGGACTGATCGTTAAGACACGGTTCCCAGCAGATCACCGAAGTTAAGCATCGCTGACTACGGTCAGTGTGCGGGTGGGTGACCACTTGGATCAGTCTGCGTAGGGACCTCGTAAAGTGCTAGACTTCGCGCGCAGGTCGTCGAGCTACCGAAGCGGGGGCGCCATCCACAGAGGATCCAAATTGTGATGGCAGGTCTTCGGATCATCCTCCGGGATGTTTCCCAGACCGACGCCAATAGCCCATTGTGCAGTTCCAGTGCGACGTAAATTAACAACAACAACAACTCTGTGTTCTCTATGTGAATGTGGCTCACCCTATAAACGGGTATCTGTGGCAGTGTGGCGTGGGTAATGCTGGTCGCCTCCGTGACTTAAGTGCTCAGGTTCCCACCGGGGAATGTTAAATGAACAGCACTTTCAGTCTGTTCAATACCTGAATTTAAAAAAAAAATCTTTAAAATTCTTTATTTTCCTTTCCTTTTTTTTTAAAGTTTTTTGTTAAACGTTTTTAAACTTCATAAGAATGATCTGTTAAAATTATTAATTTTAAGTAATAAATTCGCTTTAAGTTAATTCAATTTGAAGTCGTTAATTAGCCAAAAATATGTCACTGAGCATCTAAAACTTAATTTCTTTCTAGTTATAGTTGGGAGCCAGAAGTCTTCAGAGACGGAAAATTTCAAGAATACAAAGAGATGCTGAGTCAAGCGCCCATAGCTAGGTGTCGCAACAGATTTCCTGTACCTGTCATCTTGTGTGGTGAAAAGGTGAATAAATGTTTCACGCATTACCAAAGTTAAAATTTTTTATGGTTTTCCATTGCTGGAACAACGTAGTCTTGATGGGAACTGTTAATTCCATCGTGATCTTTTTGATTGTAACCAACATAAGTAACAATCACCCCAATGTAGGAATTCGGACTGATTTACGATGGTCCAACATAAAAATAGGAACTTGTTTTGATGGTTTGTTCATTTAGAATGAATCATCAGAAATTTTCTTCATAGTTTCATAGAAACAAAATGTTAGAACGATCTTGAACCACCATCGCCCCAATATTGGAATTCGGACTGATTTATGATGGCCCATCATAAAACGCAAATATTTTTGATTGTATATTCCGCACAACCAAAAAGAATTATACCATGGAAATGTATAGTTGGAACAATCGTGGACTATCACTTATCATTATGGACTATTGGTCAATGAGAATCAAACTTCTATTGATAGTTAACCATCATTGTATCAAAGTAGCATTTTCCATCATGGTTAAGGTGGAAGTTTGTTGGCATGTCTAACACCATTAACGCATAATGGAAAATATTGGATCATCATGAATCTCACTGAAATCAACATAAACCATCAAAATGTTTTGACTTTGGAAGGGTTAAACTAGATTTTATATTTGGAGTCTCGTTTTTAAGAGTTAAGACATATTGAGCTTACCAACCCATTGTATAATGCATAGTTGAAACTACCAAGCGGATTAATGAAAGCAAGGTTCCATATGGATTCCACATTCATGGTATTTAAACTAACATTTATTTCTACGAGTAATTTCCGCGCAGGATAGGATTGGGAGTTAGGGGCCCTTGTGAAAGAATGAAATGTCCTCAATTTTTTGGAAATATTAATAAAGCGTTAATTTCGCTTAGTACATAACTTGATTTGCAAAATTCATAAATTTTAAGCATTCTTTAGTGAGCTAAATATTTTATATTTAATTTTAAAGCGTTTTTTTGTCGACGTAGTTTATTTTAGAATTTATTGTAAAAAATTTCAGTTTGTTAGACCTTAATTTTATCGATAAAGTGTGTGACAGCGAATTTGTTTGGTTTTCAAAAATCTTTTATTTTTTCCTCAACCTTAGATTGCTGAAACAGTTTCAAACTTCGCTTAAACTAGTGTAACCCAAAAAATTTCTTACGCGTTTCGTTTTTCTCAATCAATATTTAGATTTCCTGAAACAAATATTTGTCATAAATTTTTGTAAATGTTTCTCATTTCCTTTTTTCTCTTCCTATTTGAAAAGTCGGTAGTTACCAAAACATAGGAAGAAAAGAAGGAACTACAAAATTTATTGCTTAAATTTTCTAAAGATTTTAATTTTAAACATTATGTTGGCTTTAAAGTTTTTAAAAATACATATTGGGGAAAAAGACCTACACTGTGCGCTCATCAATGAATTACGCAAAATTGGCTGTGAATGGCGTATTTTTTTACCCAAGCAGTTCAAGCTTTCAATTCTTAAATTAATGTTAGCAGGCTATATAAATTTTATAATATACAACTTAGTTTTTTTTATTATTGGGAGTTAAAATAAGTTTCCTCCATTTTCTATCAAAAATTAGCAGTTTATTGTGAAAAAACGGCAAATTTTTTTAATTCAAAGTATTCTCCATTACTGGACACTACTTTTCCTTATATTTCTGGGAGCATTCGAACACCACGTCGGAAGAACTTCATCTTTCGAGGATATCAGCGCATCGCCCCATTCCTTTGTTTCTTCAAATGATGTCAATTTCAGCTCAGGCAGACCATGCGCCATCTACCGGATTAGGTGATAATCTGTAGAGGCAAGGTCTGGGGTAGGACTTCCCATTGAAGAGTTTCCAAATAGCAAACTTTTCACACAAAATCTAGATTCAGTTTCTTAGCTTCAGTTCGTATGGAACCCTACTTCCTTGTTTTTGGATCGTTCCCAATGATTTTAAACAATGTGAAATTGCTTGGTGAGTCACTTGGAATGTAAGAACAAATTCTTTTCTTTTTTTTTGAGACGAATCTTCCAATAATTCTTCCAATTCCTTGTCTTCGTACAATTTTATCCTTCCAATGTGTTCTTTGTCTTCCACATCAAAACTCAGTTTCTAAACTTCTGAAACCACTCACAACAATTTCTATCTCTTAAAGCAGCAGGCTTCTCCAAGCAATCAATGCTCCTCAGCTGCAGATTTCTTAAAATTAAAGAAATTACTCAAAAGTTCCCATAAATGACGCTTATTTGTCGCAAAACTCGACATATTTGCACGAAAACAATTACGCAATGATAATACGAAATCACTAATCAAGGTTATGTTACCAGATGAACAAACTTACAATAAGACGTTTAACAACAATCAATTTACATAACCTTCTGGGAGTGCCATCTTGTGACGAACGACGGGAACTTATTTGTACACCGAATATTAAAATATAAAGCAAATTAATAATCGCCATTAAAGTGTTAAATAGAAATAATTGTGCCGCATTAGTATGTTTTTTGTTTCGTTCTTCATTGCGAAGTTGGAAGTATTTTTCCTCTTTCCGGTTTTAGCGTGGGCGGCTGATTTTAGGATCTCCTTGGTTTCGAACAGTTTATAGGTAGGGCTCCGATTGGAACAACGAAAGACTTTCTAATTCAGAATTTAATGCGCATTATCATGCCGCAATATTAAGTATGTTTTTGTTTTATAATTCATTACTGTAAATCTGTATCATTTAGGGTAGCAGTGTTTTCTTTCTTCCATTTTTAGGGAAGAAATTTCTAAAGCCCCGTGGTTCCAAGCATTTTGAAGGTGGAGCCGGTTTTTACAATAAAGTTTAACTCAGAATTTAATGCGCAATATTAAGTATATGCTTAATAATTTATTGAAGTTGAAATATCATTTTGCGCAGAAATATCTTCAGTTTTTTTTCTTCCATTTTTTGAGGGGAAGATGTTCTAAGCCCCATAAGTGTAAAACATTTCGTAGGTGAGGCCTGGGTTTGTACAAGTCTCAATTTAACTCATAATTTTATGTAAAATATGCGGCAATTGTAAGCACGTTTTCTTGTTTCATAATTCTTCCTCTCAAAGATGAAAGTATCAATTCGCGTAGAAGCATTTCTACTTATTTTTAGAAGGGAGGGGAGCTGATCTGTAAGGTACTTCTTGGTTTCAACATTTTATAGGTGAGGCCCTAGCTTTTACACAAAAGTTTGTAAACTCCATTTTATGCACATGCATTAGGCTGAAGATACAGTTCCCTATAGTTATTTAAATTGTGTTTATGACGCACTTACGTTCAGACATATCTATTAATCAAATAAAATTCTAAATAAATATTTTATTCATAATGCTAATAATAAAACAAATTACGACAAAGTGTATTTTAAAACTATGTTTTCTTAAATGCTTTTTTTGTTCAAAAAACATGCCAACAGAGGGCTCCACTCATAAAGAGGGCACTTTAAGACACCTTTTTGGCTGAGAGCTATTACTTTCACGTTTATGGCCACTTCGATCCTGGCCGCGATCCGGAGTTTTTGGAGCATTCTCAAAATGTCTTAATATTAGTTTTACGGTTAACGGTTGATTAAAAAAAAATTTTTTTTTTTAGATTGATTAAAGTCATAATCTTTATGCGACTTTATTAGATTTTTCAGTAATATTTTAAATAATTTTTATCAGAAAAATGAACTAAAATTTAAACGCTAAGCTCTTAAAGAATAATAAAATGAAATTCACGAATTTTACTAAAGGAATATTCAATCTGAATAAAGATTGACCGTTCTACTTGAAATGTCCCAATCAAATTCTGTTTCTTAAATTTTTATTTTGATGCAAGTGACGAAATATTCTCGGTGCGTCATCTGGAAATATTTCCTATTAAAATGAAAAACTTGTGTTTAAAACATTTGACTTCTTCACAAAAGCGTTTATTTATAACAAAGAGGTGGAAAACTTCCCAATCTTATCTTAAAATTAAAACAGTTTAAAATTTTCAATCTATTTTCAAACGACATTGTCAGAACAAATTGAAGCGAATTCGAAAAGTTTCGTGACGCTTCCGTGTTTTTTTGGTTTTCTCATTTTATTTTTTCATAGTTTCTAGGGCTTCTTAATTTTGTATATTGTATTAAGTATTTAATAACTTCGATATTATTATAGCCGTCTAATATTTCTTCTAGACTTTAGAAACCTTTCTATGGCATATTACCAAATTCGGTTTACTACCGTACTTTTTGTCCAAACATGACTAAGATAAAAGTATATTAAAATTTTTCATGCTTAGATCATGCAACCTAATTACTTGAACTTCTTAATATATCTTTAATTTTCCAACAATGTAAATGTGGCTCTTTAAATTAATCATTGGTTATAGAAAGAAATTTTGATTTTTTCCCCAATCTCTATATATTTATTTTAGGAAGTTCTAAAATTTCCATCTGAAAAAAAGTTTTCTTTTTAATCTAGCTGTATTAGCGAGGAAACAATTTATATATTTTAATAAATTCGATTACTTAGTTATTTCAGTCCTTAATATTTTCTAGTATATTTGTCGATCTGGAACTCTAGCTGTTCGTAAAAGTGCTGCTTATGAAGCCCTCACACAAACAAGGGAGCCAGAAAGTAAGTTCGAAATTAAATATTTGCTTTAAGCTTACCTTTTCTGTTAGTGGTTCACAGTGAGTGACGAAGTCAACGTTTCAGCTTACTGCGTCCTCTGCGAAAGAGGTCACAGTTAGATAGTTGAAAATATGCATCCTGAGCTTGCGCACTGATCGCAATACGCTTAGACGTTGATATCGTTGACTATGAGAACCCACCATATTTACAAATTCTATTCAATTGTTTCTTCTGACCCTTGTAGGTAAAGAAGTTCCCGAAGGTGCTTTATCACAATTTTGGGATGGCGTCAAGTATGTACTTTAATAATTTAACATTCCTATAAAAACCTCTAAAATCTGGTTTAAAAGGTTTATTTTTGAGGTTTCAGTTAAAAAATTCATTTCGGGACTTAAGTATCCCAGTGGTTGGAGAGTCAAACTCCAGTCAGGAGGATCAGTTGTTCGATCATTGACTCCACTGAGACCAGAGTATATGCTGGAGCTCGTAAAATCCGTGGAATTGAAAATCCTGTCACTGAGCTGTACGATGGTTACAGGATATAAGGAAAAAAATTTCCTTTCCCTTCAGAGGTATGTCTAAATTAAAGTGGCCATACGAAAAAGTGGTGCTGCCATCTATCCGTGGGGTTCTGAGCTAAGACTTACTTTCACCCTTGCGGTGCTCTATTATTAAACGAAAGACGGACCTTCCAGACTAAATTTTCAAAAGGCCAATGGCCGATGAGCTTGGCTTGTTCAAATGTCAAAAAGCAATAACAAAGCTCATTGCTTTTTACCAAGTTATAAACTTATTAAATAAAAGTTTAGTTTTAAAAAATTCTATATCACAAATGGAAAATTATTTTAAAGGATATCATTTATAAAAATTACTGCTCTTTTTAACTGCGTTTTTAACTGTTTTTAACTGAGTTTTTCATTAAATATCGGCTCTTAAGGCCTGGTTTCTTAGGACAGGACGCCGTCAGCTGGAAATCAGCGCTAACCTCTGATTGGTCCATTTGTGAGTTTGATAGTATACGTCATCGAACGCTCATCTTGAACTACAATTGCCGTCCAACTCACCTGCAGTTGGATTACAACGTGACGCTAACCACAGGAGCAATGGCGGACAACATCCAACAGCACATTGAAATCAGCCAAGATTTTGATTTTGACATTAAACATAGCTTCTTCATTAAACATAGCACTCTTCATTTAGCCCAGCTATAATGTGTTTTTTCTTGGACAAAGTCATTATTTGTTCTCTAATACACTGGTCGACAATAATAAATCAGTACAAATTCGAAATAAATATTTGTTTACGTTATTAATGCATGCGTAATGAGAGAGAATGTCTGCGTTGGACCGACTACTCACGCTGAGCTAACAAAGAAGTATTTTTTTGGCGTTAGCTCTACGTCAACTTTCTGCTGACGCCCGGATAAGGCACTAGTTCTTAGAAACCAGGCCTTGAGCTAACAAACCAGTATTTTGTTGGCGTCAGCGCGACGTTGACGTCCCGCTGACGCCCAGATAAGGAGCTTGTCCTAAGAAACCAGACCTTAAGAACTAACTTCAAATTTGGTAATTACTGAACTTCAAAAAAGAATTCTTTTTTTTTTTAAAGATTTATTAGTGCATTACAAATTTTTCAAATTATTTAGTTTGCACAAAGTTACCATAGCAACAATATTTACAGTATTAGCAAAGAAAATGTTTCCTTTATAGTGAAGCCTATTTAAGTTTATTACGCTAAGCAGTCATTCTATAATTGAGAATATTCATTCATGAATTTATTAGCTCTATAGATAATTGGAATGTGAAATTGAATGCTTGCCATTTAATAACATTTTAGAGTTATTTAATAAGTTGTAGTCCTTTTACGATTTTAAAATTGTCAGTGTTTTGTAAAGATGGTTTGCGCTGCAACTATAAAACCTTAATCAATTGTGATATGTTCTTTAGGCTTTGGTGATAAAAATAGAAAATTTCAAACTGTTTAAGTTTGAGAGATTTTTAAAGTTCTACAAAATGCCATTTTATTACTGATTTTTTTCTTTAAATTTTAGGACTGTGGCTAAGCGAAGCAAAGCATCCATTGTAAACTTTTACAATGCTTTGGATATGTTATTGTAAGTATTTAAATTATAATCCTCTTTTCGTTTCCCCAACCAACTACACTTCAGTTTCCACCAATACTTAATGTATGAATTAAAAACAGTATATTAAAGCCAGATACTGTAACTTTCTTTAACCCAGAGGTCGCCAAAGTGGTCTATATAGACCCCCAGGGGTCTATTTAACAAAAGCGGGGGTCGATCTGAGACAAGGGGGTGAATGGGGGTCGATCCGAATCGGAAGGGTCGATTGTGGGTCGAAAAAAAAAAAGTTCTCAATACGCAAATCACACATACCTAATTAAGTATGTAAAATTTGTGAATTTTTTTTATAATTGACTCAATATCAGTTTCTTTATAAAACATAAATTAATAAACGTATATTTATTGGGGTGAAACAAGTATTTACGTACCACCGCGCAGTGGCACGAACTCAGCGCAGTTTATAAGTCATATGCATATGTGCGCTTGTCCAAATGTCACGTGTGACGAGCATTGACGTTACAAATGCAAATATCATACGCAGTTTCAGCTATCTTTGCAAACTGTGTTGAATATTTGCAGTGTCATTATTAAAACTTTTATAGTTTTGGATAATTAGTTATTGTTTCGATAAAACCATTCGTTTGGTTTAGATATCAATTTTAATTATCAATGCACAAAAAAGAAGGTAAGCATTAATGATATGGATTAGTACAGCCCGCGACAAAACTATAGCACACTTTGTATTTTTTTTACGAAAATTACAAAATTGACCAATTTTGACGAAAATTAAAATTGACCAATTTTGAACCCAATATAGCGAACCTTGCAAAAAAAAAACAGGCACACCCATCTCATTGATCAAGAAGCAGTAAATCTTTAGTTACTTTACTTATTATATCTACTTATGCATAATTACTTATTATTTAATAATAAGGTAGTATTTAAATTTCAATATTAATATATTTTTCATAAAACTATTGTTACACAATGTACTATTACTTTAATAAATGTTTAAAATCATAAAATAAATGTACAAACACAGTATCTAATAGAGTTTTATTTTAATTAACAGAAAATTACTTTTGTGGGGGTCGATGTAGATTTCGAAAAATTATCTAGGGGTCGATGATCAAAAAAGTTTGGCGATCCCTGCTTTAACCTGTTCGCTTGATAGAAATTTAGCAGCAGCCATGGATCAATTGATATTTTGTCACCGCTAATTAACTATTAACAAACCGTATCTAGCGAATGTTTTGCATTTAATCTTTAATTCCATAATTTTGTAATTTTAACTCTCTTCTGAAGGCAAGTTGACTTATCAACGCAGATGACTTTTTAAAAATCAGAACTTAAAATTACACTGGTTGTAAATCAAACACCTATTTCCACTGGAAAATTTTTTTTAAATGTATTTTTCTTCGGTCGGTTGACGATTGTTCCAGTGGGTCGGTTGACGATTGTTTCAAATAAATTTAGTTTCGAGTTTTGTGATCAATAGTTCATATAAATAAAATTTTGCAACTATAATGCATCAATGCCAGGTCCATGATTGTTTCTTTTCCGTCATTTTCAGCAGTCACAAGTACTAGTCTAACCCCTTTACTTGTCGATCTACCCTAATGTGACTCATGTTTTTAGAGCAGCAGCCAAAATTCATCTTTCATAAATTGCAATTTCCATTATTTATATTGAAAGTAGCATTAATTTCTTTTCTGGCTCAATACAAACAAATTATTTTAATAAAATAGTTGAATTTATAGTATGTTACTAAAATATTTTGATACGAGTGAGCAATCTATTTATAAATTGAGCGCGAAAGTTCACTTGTTCATATTTGCCGCGATACGCCATGAAAATTTCGCTACGTTATTTTTGCGAAAATCAATTCAAAATTTTGGTAAATAATCTTGAGGATAAAATATCAAAATTTTTAAATTTTTTGAAAAGTTTACTGTTTTTAGACTGTTTATGCATTTAATTCAATCTATCAGTGGAGTTTGGAATTTTGATATCACCGAATAAATCGTCGAAATGTAACAATAAAGAGGACTTTAAACAGTATTCTCTTATTTTATTAACATAACAGTTGGGCTGAAAAGTTCGCAAGCTAACATAGAAAAAAAAATTTTTTTTGATAAGATTTTATTTTATTATTCAATATAGTTGCCTTCAAGGGCGATACAACGGTTATAGCGGTCATATAATTTTTCGATACCATTTTTATAGTATGATTTGTCTTTCGCCTCAAAATAGGCCTCAGTTTCGGCGATTACTTCTTCATTGGCGCTAAATTTCTTTCCAGCGAGCATTCTCTTAAGGTATGAGAACAGGAAAAAGTCGCTGGGTGCCAGATCTGGAGAATATGGTGGATGCGTAAGCAATTCGAAGCCAATTCATATAATTTTGCCATCGTTTTCATTCACTTGTGACACGGTGCATTGTCTTGATGAAACAGCTTTTTCTTCTTCAAATGAGGCTGTTTTTCTGCGATTTCGTCCTTCAAACGCGCCAATGACGTTATGTAATAGTCGCTATTGATGGTTTTTCCCTTTTCAAGATAGTCAATGAATATTATACCATGCGCATCCCAAAATACTGATGCCATAACTTTGCCAGCTGATTGTTGCGTCTTTCCACGCTTTGGAGTTGATTCATCTCGTGCAGTCCACTCGGCTGACTATCGATTGGACTCTGGTGTGAAATGATGGAGCCATGTTTCATACATTGTCACATATCGACGCATAAATTCGGGTTTATTACGATTAAACAGTTTCAAACACAGCTCAGAATCATGAATTCGTTGTTGTTTTTGGTCGATTGTGAGCCCGCGTGGCACCCACTTTGCATGGAGCTTTCGCATACCCAAATATTCATTCACGATATGTCCTACACGTTGATTTGATAACTTTAGAGTCTCAGATATCCATATCAACTTCACTTTACGGTTATCTAAAATTATTTTGTGGACTTTTTTGATGTTTTCGTGGGTAACAGCCTCTTTGGGGCGTCCACTGCGAGCATCGTCGTCGGTGCTCATTTCGCCTCGTTTAAACTTAGCAAACCACTTCTCAACTGTTGATTTTCCTGGTGCAGAGTCCGAATAATGTGTATCAAGCCAAGTCTTGGCTTCAGCAGTATTTTTTTTCGCTAAAAGGCAATGCTTTATTAACACGCGAAATTCCTTTTTATCCATTGTTTTTAAACTAACAGTAGTTGCTTCACTAAAAATACTATATCTCACAAACTAATAGTCCGACAGCTGTCAAATTTAAACACGTGTCTTTCGAAAATTAGAACTAACTAAACATCCTATGGATTTAAAAATAGTAGCACCCTCTATGTGTCAGCCTACGAACTTTTCAGCCCACCTGTTATACACTAAAAATTTTACTTAAACGTTTATGAAAAATAATGATTAATAAGAAAACTAATTTTGTTGTAAAATGTGCTAATTAAGTTACTATAAAATCATATAGCTAAAGTATTAACCTTACTCCTGACTGAGGTTCTCTCTATTATGAGTAGATGGCAGTGCAATAAGAGGCATTTATAACTTCCACTTGGTGGCATGAATGTATTAATTTACACTTAACTAATCTAAGCTGCTATGACGTCATACGAGGACTGTAAGACTTACGGTTGGATTTATTTTTTAGGATACTGTGTGAATAATAGATTTTATCTTTTCAGAAATGTTGAAATGGATGACATTAAAGAGTTAGATGTTAGAGTTCTGGAGCTCCTGAGTATTGAATTCATTTGTGATTTGATGGTGGAAAACAGGAAAATTCATACTGGATTAAGGTAACATAAGGCATACAAAAAATGTTTTGCTTAAGGCATGCAAAAATTGTACAATGCACACTAAATTGTTCTGGACTGTCCTCACTATACGCTAAAAAATTCAGGAAAGTTTCGTAGTAAATATTACTGTTAAATGTCAGTTTTTTTTAAAGACCCTTATGAAATGATTCTTTTTGTGAATAATAAGCAATTTTCATAACTTCTGTGAGTTTGCTATAGTTACTCGTGATTGTTAGAACAAGTTTAGTCAATTTAAAGCCAGCGCCATCTATGCTTATTCTTAGAATGGCTCAAAACGTCAATATGGAGAAAAACGTTAACGGTCTAATTTTCTGACATTTAAAAACTTATTCCAATGCTACATTATCTGGGTTCATAAAAATTTGCAAAAGCTAAGAATAAGGCCGTGGTTTTGATAATTTTCCTCCAGGTGGGAAAATGTCGCCAAATTGGCTATTTTTTAAAAAAGTTAAGCTTTTAAAATATTTAAGTCATTTGTCCGTTCTAAAGCCCAGATGATTCTTCACACCAAGAGGATACATTTAAAATCATCGCCTTCTTTTAAGTGCTGTAAAACTGGATTTTTAATTTTCCTTGGTGGCAGAGCTTCGAAAAACCTTGTTTTTTCTTACGAATTAACATCTGCGGCAGAAACTTTATTTGAAGACGAAATAAACTAATATATAGCTATATAACAATTCCACATACAACTTAGGATATGGAAAATCTGGCTGGTTAAAGGTTAATGTGAACTATGTTTTAAACATTCAAACATTTTTAAACATCTATTCTACATTTGATGTAAATTAAGAGGACAAAATAGTCCAGATCATTTTCAGTAGAGCTAATGTAGCTTTTCTCATGTTGCTAAGACAAGATTTCCAGTGAAATTTGTCAGATTTTAAAATTGTTCACCTTTTATGAAGGGGTATTCAGTTTGATAGTTTTGAATTAAGGGTGTTTGCTTGTTAGGGAGAACCATGGACTATTTTGTCGTAAAACTATCTGGGCGTTAGAACAGTCAAATATCTCAATTTATTAAAATTCGAAAATTTGGTTTTTTTTTCCTCCCAATTTGAGTCCAATTAAAATCATAATAATCAATGGATAATTCTCACTTTGTTGCGAATTTTTATGAGCACAGACTTATACAACGTTAAAATAACTTCACATAATGTAGTAGCTCGCAAACGTTTTATTTTCCAAGACTATGTTTTTTTTTTTAATCTTGACATTTGGAGCAATTTCCATTATCAACATAAGGTGCTGACTTACAAAACTAAAGTCATAAGCTGCTATAAACTAGCAATTTCTAAAAATAAAATGTTATTAACGTTATCTCGTGGAATGGCAGAGCTAATACGAATTTCCGCCTGACCTACAGAGGGCGCTGTAATCATGCCTAATTATGATTGTTTCATTGTGGCAGGCAACTGATTGGAATGAAAGGCTTATGGGGAAGCCTTAAAATCACTTTTTTTTTGTTTATAAAATTAGTAAATTTTTTAAAATATTAAATATGGCCTGTTTATTCATTGCACAATTCTACACTGGACCGTTTTGCAATACGAGACTTCGAAAACCTGCCTTGATGAGCTTTCCAGAGTTTGATTTTTGGGGCTGACCGATCATGCTTAGTACTACCCTGATCTTTTATGAAAAATATTAAATATAGAGCCGGTGGCTCAAGGAATAGAGCTTTCGTTTTCCTATGAACTAGACCGGGGACCACTCAGCTTCAGCACCAGACTCTCACTGACCGCAATGCTGACGTAAAAATATTCTCAGTGGTAGATGGATTATGGGTTAATTCCCTTACAGTCAGGTTAACCTTGGGCGGTTTTCGTGGTTTTCTTTAACTCAAATGCATGTTCGTTCCATCGAAAAGTCCTCGACGAAGGCAAATTTATCCCAATACTTAATTCGGCAGTTTCCTTGTGTTTTGGATTGCACTCAAAATTACAAGGTATGAAGTTGAACGTTAGTAGACTAAAACCCGAATTTGGGTCGGCTGTTCAACGATGGTTATAAAATAAAATATTGAATGTAATGACAGCCTGATTGCCAGTAGTTTTTACCGTAAATTTTCAGGATTTTTTTTTAATAAAGTTTAATATTAAATACTCTGTATTTGTAACGTTTCTCCTGTTTCAATTTCGGTGTATTTTTTCGATAGCTGGAAACTTGTAAAATAGGTTTTGCTTAATGTTTTCTTTCTCTTAACCATAGTTTTTACCTAATTTTTCTTTCCCACAGTGATGCTGCTATTTGTAGGGAAATTTTACCCATTCGCTGCGAAGAACAAATAACTTTAGCGGGAAACGTAACGCTACGGAAAGTGTAATTTGTACTTATTTGCGGTTGGGTGTGTGATTATTTAATTTAGTAGTTTCTTAAAATATGAAAATTTGTTTTACATTAAAATTTCATTTTTTTTGCAGTGTTGGTTCATCTGAAAAAATAAACCTGAGAAAATATGGAAAATTTAAAATACTGAAAATTCCCTATCCAGGTAATTTTGGAACAAATTGTAGCTATTTATTCTGTAGTCACCTACTCTTAATATATATTCAGAATCCTTGACTAAAATGAACTTTAAAAAATTATACACATTGGGGAACCTTAACTGATATTTTAAAGGAGAAAAACGTCTGCCAATCTGCCAGATGATTAATGAAGAAAGCAGGATAATTAATATCAGTCTAATTGCAGAGGGAAACGTCGAGTGTCTAATAATCTTCTTTAAATTCCAGTTTTTCCGGCAATCTAGCAAGTTTTTATATTTTCATATCCTTAAGTCATAGTTTTTGCTTATTTCTAGGCTTGATTGGCGTTGTCCCATGTAAATTTGAGAAGGATTCTAAATATATTAAGGACACAGTTTACGGAACACCGTGCATAAATTCCATACGCAATACTTTATAACTCAATCATGAATTTAATGTCATATAATATCTGTATGCAAAATACTTATTTGTATTTTCCGACCAAGAAAGTAAAAGTGCTTCAAAATATTTTAACAGAAGTTTTACGTCATTTGAATAATTCCAAAAAATTATCAAATTTGAAGGAAACTTTAAAATACATTTAATGCACAATTCTAAATTTGAGCTTAAAATAGTAGCATTCACGTGATTTGAAATTAATGAACTATAGTAGCGGCTGTGTATATCGTACTTAATAACTTCCGAGCAGTACGACGATCGAAACTGCCTTTTGTGGCATTTTTACAGCGCACAAAATAAAAAAACAGGAATAAACTGATATTCTTAAGCTCTGTTATTCCAGTAAATGTAAGTGGTATTTCAATATAAAAAATAACACATTCTGTCGGCGAATGCATGCAACTCTTTTGGTCTTTTGATCCTTAAAATATGATGAGGAATAGATGCTGTCCAGAAAAATAAGATTTGAATATCTAGATCAAAAGCTATCTAGCTTTTTCCGAATTTCATTTTGCTCACTAACTATATATAAATGTCAAAGAAAATTTTTGTTTATACAATTATTCTTGAAAGACTAACAGTTTTCGAAGTCTGCAAGTCCTTAATGTCTCAAAAGGTGTTGATATTGAAACTAAATGTCTAAATCTTAAAATTTTTAGTAGTAGCTTGTTTGCTGAAGTAAACATTTTGACTTCCTATGTTTTATTTTCAGGTTGTGGGTTTTTCGCTCGGTACAGTGAAGCTGGACGAAATGGCAAAAATCTTGTATATGACTGGGATATGGTATGCTTAATATTCTGTAATTTACTTTAATTTTAAAAATAATATAAGGCCAATATAAGGCCAAAACGTTCATTAAAATTGGGTGTTTTTGATGGTCATTTTGAGCCTACAGCTAACTCTACTAAGTAATTGAATATACTAATTCATTTCAAATACTTCAGTTTCTTCTTGGAAATCTCAAATGACACGATATGATTAGTATAATATTGTATTGGCGTATAACTTTACCATTTTTTTTCGAACTTATATATAGGCTTTGCACATAAAACAATTCTTCAAAAGTGAGGCCAAAACTTTAAATTTAGTTAGTACTTCATGAGTGACTTTTACTTTAAAATTTTGAAACTTTGCAGGTAAGTTTGCAGGTAAACTAGTAAGTTCAATATAAGCATGAAACTCAGAGGTACTGTCAACATACTTTGGCAGTATCAGAGAATTATCGAAGATTATTTTTAATTACCTCAGACCGGCTCTGTGTAGGATCTGTAAAAATATAAAAAGCATGCAAGCAAATAACTTTTGTGTGCTCATTGTTGATGCGGTTCAAATTTTTTGATACTAATTTTCTTGTTTATTTAAAAAATGTGGCACCTCACCCACGTAAGTTTTTTCATCAGTATACAATTTGTGATAGATGGCCTTGCATCAGAAAGGTGGAGTTCGAATCCCGGACAAGGCATGAATGTTTCTTTGTCTGTGCTTTCTGTCCATACTGTGGGAGCAACATTGGCCCACCTAATATGGTGCCCCAGAAAGAGCTGCCAACAAATCTGCCCTAACTGAAGAGGCAATCGGGTGGGCATTCGAAAAGAAATTTATAAGAATTACAAACAATTCTAAGACTTTCCTCATTACAAAAATTAGATGCTAGACGAAAATAGATTTGGTAGCAAATATTTCTGTTTCTATATTGTTTAAAACCATTTAAAATTTCCCTTGGTTTTGTGTTATCCAAAATTTACCTACTCTTTATTTCAAATATGGGGTGCTTGGGTGCAACTGGCATCTTATATGGGGTGCTTGGGAGTAGCCGACTTTGTATAAATATACGCATTATATTATCTGTTAATTTCTATTTCAGCCAGAAGTCGATGCATCCCTTGGAATGGCAGCCGATGAAGAAGAGAACTTTAAGCTCATAGAAGATGTTAATTGGCAACTTTACGTGGTAAATTTAAGCTTTTAAAATGCATAAACAGCAATCCTATGTTTCTTAAAAAAAACCTAAAGATAATTTATATTCATGTTGTGCAAATGCATTTCTACTCTTTGATATCGTTCTTAGATGCAATCTAACGCCTTGTTTTATTTTGTAACCAACATAACTTATAACTGTTTAGTTTTGAGCTGTGTGTGTGTTACGACGATTTGTTGAAATTCATACTTCGTTATGTTGCTGAGAGAATAAACATTTCGAACTTTTCTTTTCTGGTGTTTTAGGTAGTGAACAGGCAGATTTTTACTTTAAAGAAATGGTACGAATTTATTACAACATCCAAATATAGCAACTTTCTTTTAGAAAATTAAATTTCCTTCGAAAAAATCTATGTAAAACTAATTCTTTGCTGGATCTTCGGATTCACAAAGACCTAAAAAATTGTAGTAGGATAAGCCATTCTTCAATATCCTAATAATCTAAGCGGGATGCAGTTGCCTTTCATTTATCTACGAGCCATGATTGTCTCTGCTAATCGACATCGTATGGATGGGTGATCGTGTAAAGCTAAGGGTGGTGGCGCTAGTGGTAAAATTGCTCTTTCAAGACTTCCGGGTTACTGCTTCCGATATATTTTTACGACGCAGATTGAAAAAACGCGCCATCATATTATTGTATCATATCTTTTGCAGTATTTCACATGTACCGAGTTCTTCCTTTGAGCCTTTAAACTTCAACATTATCATATTAATATTATAATCATTTCAATATTTTCTAATTAGGCTAACTTAAAAAGATATTTTTATCGACATTTTGTTCAAATGTAGCCAAATAAGGGATAAAATACAAAACATGGCAAACCTTAAGAATTATTCACAATGAGATATTAACTTTCCAAAATTTTTTTTGGCCTTGCGATCTCTTAGAATCAATACATTTCTGAAAGCTCTTATGAATGGTACAATTATGTTTAGATTTGAACCCAAATTACNATGTAAAACTAATTCTTTGCTGGATCTTCGGATTCACAAAGACCTAAAAAATTGTAGTAGGATAAGCCATTCTTCAATATCCTACAAATCTAAGCGGGATGCAGTTGCCTTTCATTTATCTACGAGCCTAATCGACATCGTATAGGCCTTTCTGCCATGCCTTTTAATCCACTTTGAAGAAACTGGAGAAGAAATTGGCAGGGACCACTTGCTTCGATGTGGGGCTGTTAGTGGACACACTAATAAGTTCTCAAGGTTTTGGGAAGCCAAAGAACTTTAAAATCAATGACAGTTTTGTCATCTCTTGTACATATTGAGACTTTTTACTTTTATCTTTTTTAAATATTTGTTCTTTTTGCCCTGTCATTGGGAATAAGAAATCTACTGAAATCATTTGACACTTTATCTTTCATTAAATTTTTAGAACTGGGACCTTTTAGAGTTGACAAAAAACTACATGAAATTGTTGCTGAGTTATGCTACAGATAATCGTAAGGAAGCCTTATGTTTTTTTGCTAGTATTTCATTTTATGTGTATTTATATATTTATATCTATGTAACTGAAAATGTTTAAGCAAGCATTTAGTTTAATAACTGCACCAGCTTTTTTTAAAGATGCTTTACAGAAAAGCTTAATATAGTTGATCCTAAAAACTTTAATTTTGGTAAAGATTTTTGGTGAAAAGAAATGTTTCTAAGTTAAGATCATTTTTTAAGCTTGTATATTTGTTTTTAAAAAGCTGTCTGTATATGTATTTCATAACATCTAAATTACTTTTGCTTTTGAAAAAGTTTTTAAAAATAAAGGAAGAAAACTGAGTTAAAAGAAATTAAATCGTAGATTATAGATAAAATTTTAAACAGAAAACTGGTTTTGTAAGCAAAATCTTCTGTTTTAGTATTCTTGTTGTTTTTTGTAAGGTTCGTACTGTAAAATTCTTTTGGACAATCGTTAGGCAAAACATTGGTACGTGAAATTGCGATATTTCTATTAAATCAGTTTTAGAATGCATGAGAACGTCAGACGATTCTTTTATAAAAACATTTTCAAATTTAAAACTTAATTGAGCAGTCAAAGTTGAAAACAGTGAAAGTTTAACCTAATCGCAGAAGTACTACAATTACTAATACAGATTAGCATTTACTAAAACAGATTCAATTTTTTTTAAATTCTGCTTGTTCTAAAGTTTACAAGGCAATTCTAAAAAAAAAAATCGGTAAAGATGAAAATGAAGAGTTTGATGTATTTCACATTAAACCCAAGCATTCATTCTCTAATTACCGAATTAGTTACTAAGTTCTTTAACAGATAGAGCTATTAACTAGCTAAGTTACATAAAATTTTCTACTGTGTCAGGCCATTTTAACTGAAATAATTGCTGATGAGCTTTTGTTCTCAGATTTCACCACGTCTTTGTAAATCTTTATTGTTTTGAAAACATTGCCTAACGGTTTATTCAGTCAGATGTGCCATCTGGTGGCAATTTTTTAGGGGGGGGGGTAAGAATAACTGGGTTAATGAATTCATTTTGGGGGTGGGGCTGATCAACTTCTTAAACATGACGAAACCGGTACGTTTATTTTTAGTTTTTATTTCATATTATAGGTCATTTTTGAGATACCTAGTTAAGAATTAAAAAACAGGATAATGAACATTATAAAATTTGGTTTTGAATGAATATACCATATTGTGTAGGTTCTGATGGCCTCCTTGTTCATTGCATTTCCGGATGGGATCGAACACCACTTTTCATATGCTTGCTTCGTCTCTCTCTGTGGGCTGATGGATTCATCCACACCAGTCTGGATGCCGTGGAGATGGCCTACCTCACGCTTGGATATGATTGGTATTTATTTGGGTGAGTTTTGTTTAACTATTTTGAGAAGTATTTCGATGAAAGTTGTAAATAAAGATATGGCAACATACCAGTGAAATATTTTCTAAATGAACGTACAAGCTAAATTACATTTCTTCGGTATAATGAATGTAATCACAAGCAGTCCTGTGCCGTTTGCCAGGATACCATTGACAAGGTATTTGGTTGCTGTCAGCGACAAAGCGCTTTCTACTTCTCTGAATCAGAAGACATGTCTGTTACCTCGAAGGGGTTCTTTTAACTTATGTATGAGGTTGCATATATCAAAACTAGTGTCGTTTGACTATAGTGTTATAGCTCCTCCCAAGACTCCTTGCAGCATGACAACTAGCATTATCGTGTAGCACGATATTATCATCAATATCATCGTATCATCATATCATCGTAATAAACGTGGATATTAGCGTCCCTAGAACCGAGCACATATGATGCTATAGAGATCTGCTCCGTTGAGATTTTGAATAACTGGTGGTTTGACTTTTGTCTAGTCTCAGTCCAACCAGCTCATAGTGTCATACGAAAGCTATTTTCACTGGACGTGAAAAATTCGCTTGAGAAGGAGATATTGCTAGGTTAAATATTTTTCAAAAACCAGGTTCTCATTTGCATGCGAAAAAAATTGCATGCTCTGTGAACTGCTCTATAAGGTAACAAATTCTTGTCGCAGATTTCAGCTAATTCTTGATAACATAGCTGTCATCTCAAGTATTTTTATTGCTAGCATGACCCCAGATCTGTACTAAAGGAAGTCTCCGCCACCCCTTGGTGCAGTGGGGCGTATGCTTATTGGTCAAGAAAATAATAAAAAAATAAAGTTAGCGTGACTTGATTGAATTTAACGAAGAGGCACACAAATCTAAATACACTAGATATTTAGATAATTTTAAGTTATTAATCAGAACTTTAGTACAAAGCACGCAGGAAGTTTTAAGGATATTTAATAACATCAGCAAAATCTTGATAGCTACAATCTGTGATTCAAAAATTTGCGGACAATTTGCAAATAATTATAAAAGTTTTAACTCTACAGTAAAATGCGCTCGAAATCTAGATTAATCATAAAACTTAATTGCAATACTTTCACTGCTTGAAAAATAAATATGCATTTATTACTTTGGATTGAATTAGCTTGGATGGAATTGTGGGATATAAATGAAATCTCAATCTAAAAATATAGACTAAATTTGTCGGTATTTGAAGTAGTGCCAGTGATCTTCAATTCAGATATAATTAAACCTCCAATTTTATTTTATAAAGTTGAAATCATCGCACATAGGAAATAAGATGTTGAATTGTATATACAAATGTGAATCATGAATATTCTAATGTAGTTGGTAGAACTTTTTATGGGCAGACATCTATCGTACTACAGCTGTTATTGTCCTTTTCTTCTGAAAGGGAAATAATTTCAACAGGAATAGAGCACTAATCTCCTAATGAGGTGACCCAGGTACGAATACCAAAGATAGCCGGCTGATACGAAATCTACTCCTGGCCTGCACCGGCCAGTGCTGGACATAAAAAATATCTTCAGCGGTAGACAAATTATGGGTAACTGTCCCCTTACCTTCGGAACAACAAAGGGAGGGTGTTTTCTCACCATGTAACGCAAATCCTGGTTAGTTCCATCATAAAACCATTCATGCGGTCGAGAACCCGATTGGAAAATATTTAAACTGTGAAAACTTTCCTATTAGGTTCTTATTCAAGTATGAAAAATCTCACCCAGTGAGATTAACCCTATAAAGACTAGTTTGTTCGAATGTCATCAGGTAGTTTCCTTGTCTGGATTGACGTAGTTAAACATTGATGCTCATGAAGTCAAAATTGGGTCTGCAAATTAACGTCTGTTATAAAAATGTTTGCGAAATAAATTTTTCTAAATTACCTTATGTATGAGGGCATATGTTAACATGGGTTTATAAGTGCATGTAGCTATTTTTTTTTTTTTTTACTTTTAATATATTTTAATGCACATTAATTTTAATTTTAGACATGATCTTCCAGCTAGATTGAAAAATAGCGAAGAGGTATGTTTATATCTTTTATATTAAAATCGAATTTTTGTTTTTGAAATTTTAATAACCATAACGTTATTTTCTAGATACTTCATTTCTGCTTCAATTTTATTCCCGAACTTGCATCACAAGAATATTGCATGAGGTAAATCAATATAAAATAAAGTAAATACATGTTGTATAATATAAGAAAGCTCCAAAATTTCATGAACAAGTAATGTTCTAATGACTGGAATTTCACGTCTTAAAAATAAATCTTAATGGTTTTATAAGTACTATATTATGGTTTCATTCACTATTGTGATTGTAAAACAAATTTCTTGAAATAAGTGTTAGATTTAAATGTATTTTTAACTGAAAGGTTAAGCAATTAATGTTCTAAAATTATTCTTCAGCTTTTCAGTGCCAACGCGAGAAAAGAAATTTAATAGATTTTGGAACAAATTACTAATTAAGGGCCATTCTCACTAGATATGATTTGAGAAAAAAAATCTAATGTTAAACAGGATCACAGTGGAATTTTCCAAGAGTAAATTGTTTCGACCACTGGTTATCATGCACAAGCAAATTTTTTTTCGCTTGCGAAGAAATAGCAGACACTAGGAATGGCCCTTTAGTGTTTCATATAATAGAAGTTATTTTGTAGTTCTATATCTTTACATATATCAATTTTCATTTAGGAAAGGTTCTGCCAAAGATAAGCATAATCTGGTGAAACGTAGGGATCTTCTGTGTGAGGTTAGCAGCTTGGTTTTAAAGTTTTATGAAGACAGAATTAGAATGGAACGAGGCACCCCTGACCGTGCTGTTAGCAGGAAATAAACATGCACCATTACATCTAAATTTTACATAAAGATAACCTTAAACTGAATTCTCTTTTATGCGGCAACTAAATTGTTTTAAATATACATCTGTTTTTAATACTAGTATACAGCAGATATTGATATCTGTTTTATTTTACTTTGTTTTAAGTGTATATTTGTTATAATAAACTTTATTATTTTAGTGTTACTTTGAGTATTGATTCTTTATACCGATTTTTTTTAAATGAATTAAGCGCAATATCAAACGATTAATTCCATGTATAATAAATCAATAATAAATAGTTCATTCACTTGAAATTTGCGTTTGAAACTAAAAATTCATGTTTCTAACAAAATGAAAGAGCTTGGATACTGTAAGCCACACTTTTTCCCAAGATGACATTAAAAATCTTAGTATTGTTTCCTGATAGGTATAGAACTTCCGGAATCACCACTACATGGAAGTAAAATACACAAATTTAACTTAAATGGAAGTCTGTTTTTTAACGAAAGTATTCTTAACAATTTGAAAGATATATAGCTTATATTGCGTAGTTTCTTTCGATTTTCAACCCACAGAAATTCCTGAATTACATATGTCAACTATTTTTGTAAAGGGCTTTTCTTTAGTAAAAATATCCGGAATCTTTTACTTTTATGTGAAAGTATGTCGACATATAAGTCATAAACTAAGAATCTTACAATCTCATTAAAGAATAAAGGTAAAACGTCTCTAAAAGTTTTTAAAGTATCTTATTTGGTCAAAATTTTTATTTTTCAATCTACTAGAAAAAAAGGCTAGCAGGAGCCTGGTATTTCTACGCGAATCTCTTTCTTCTGTATTTCAAAATTGTTAGCCTACGCAAATTTTCATTATTGAAAAACTTGTAAAGAAAAGTTTAAAAAAATATTTAAAAAAATTTTAAGATTGAATTCATTGATTAATTTTGAACAAATTAAAAGTTCATGGAAGGAAGAACTGGAGGTTGTCTACTATGTTTTTTAACACATTCCTAGATTGTGTAACCCAATATTAGTCTTTTATTCAGATGTACACTATGGAGGGATGCATTTCTGCGTATAAATCATTCTAAGAATTTAGGAAATTCATAAGTTATGTTTTAAAAAGCTCTAACGAATGTAATTTCCTGACAGCAATAAAAAGTTGCTTGTTACGTTAAAAGAAAAATTGTTTGTAATTGCATTCATAATGATTGCTTGGAAATTTAAGTTTAATCCTAGGGTTCATTCCTACGAATACTAGGTTAACTTTCGCTACATTTCGATCAATCACTGCACATTTTGCAAGTGTATGCTTATCTAGACTACGGGAGGACTGTTTCTACTGTATCCGATTTTGCTTCTCTCATGAGCGAATATGGGGAAACTACATACGTGATTCCTAAACAGTGGAGGAGGGCCATTCTCACTATGCGAGATTAGCCACAGGCGAATGACAACCAAATTCAAGAACCATTCACACTGCATGTAAAAAAGTTGCTGATCGGTGAAAAATATCCTGTGAAAAAATATCCTAATTAGTGAAAAATATTTACAACTAGAATCTAGCCTTTTCTCGTTTCTCGAGCATGTATGTAAATTTTTTGCATTCAGTGAGAATAGCCCTTGAGCGCTCACACAGTAAAATCACCAATCACATTTTCTTTCTCCATCAACGAGAGTGGCATGCGGTGAAAACAATCTACCATCACCTCTTATGCGCTTACAATTGCACATGCGAATAAGATGAGACGAAGACTGTCGAAGACTTGTGGATGAACAGTACGGAGAAACAATCCCGCAGTGGACTGATCGTTAAGACACGGTTCCCAGCAGATCACCGAAGTCAAGCATCACTGGCTACGATCAGTGTGCGGGTGGGTGACCACTTGGATCAGTCTGCGTAGGGACCGAGGGTGTGCGGTATTGGTCCTCGTTAAACTGTGCTACCGTAAAGTGCTCGACTTCGCGCGCAGGTCGTCGGGCTACCGAAGCGGGGGTGCCATCCCCTCCGGACAATATCAAAATTGTGATGGCATGTCTTCGGATCATCCTCCGGGATGTTTACCAGACCGTCACCAATAGCCCATTGTGCAGCTCTAGTGCGACGTAAAGTAACAACAACAACAATCGGATCATCCTCCGGGATGTTTCCCAGACCGTCGCCAATAGCCCATTGTGCAGCTCTAGTGCGACGTAAATTAACAACAACAGTAACAAGTACGGAGAAACAAGACCTTTTCATTGCATGGGAAGATTTCGGAGATGTAAATGATAGCCTTATTTAAAAAAAAAATTATCAGTGAAAAACTCTTCAATCAGATCCTCCCGCAGTGGACTAATCGTTAGGACACGGTTTCCAGCAGATCATCGAAGTCGAGCATCACTGGCTGCGGTCAGTGTGCGGGGGGTGACCAATTGGATCAGTATGCGTTGGAACCGAGGGTGTGCGGTATTAGTCTTCGTTAAACTGTTCTACCGTAAAGTACTCGACTTCGAGTGCAGATCGTCGGGCTAATGAAGCGGGGGTGCCACCCCCTCTACAGAGGATCAAAATTGTGATGCCGTGTCTTCGGATCATCCTCAGGGATGTTTCCAAGACCGTCGCCAATAGCCCATTGTGCAGCTCTAGTGCGACGTAAATTAACAACAACAACAAGTAAATATGTGTATAATTTCGTGAATAATTCGTAATAAGGCTAAAATATCTCTGATGAAGCCTAAAAAAACAGTTCAATCAGAAAAATTGCTCGTAAGCCGCGTAATTCTAACGAAATTTATGGAGAAAATAACGCCGAATGAATTTCTTACGGAAGATTCGATTAACCAAATATTTCTGACTTGACGATTATCTTGTCGACTTGGCAGCTCTTGTGCGACGTAAATGAACTACAACAACTTCAATCAGATCCGTGTTCAACTTCATAATTCTTTTGCTTGCAGTGAGAATGTTTCTGAAGCTATCTGAACACTGATTTTCAGGCACTTTTATCCTGTAAATCAAGCAGTGAAAACTTAGCAAAAGATTATAAAAAATTAGAATTAAACTTCTTTTCTTGAGATTTTCGTTACACAATGACATTTCTAATAGTCTACAATGATCGATTGAATTTTAAACAACTTAAAAGTATGTTTTTATACCAAAAGAAAAGTTTAAAAATTTACTAAGGAAGGGAAGAAGAACATAAAATTTCGTCTGCTTATCGTCCTGCCAGATATCATACGCGAAGTAGATGTCCAAAACAACATCTGGTCTGAAACTTCTGCGCAGCACAGCGAAGCAAATTTTCTCTCAGATGTGTGTGAAGAAATTGATTGAATTATCATTTAGAAACTATTTTTCAACAATTTTACTTTATATCTTCTGTAGACTTCAGCGGAATGATTTCGGGTACTGATCACAAATCTGTGTTGTGTATATTTCCTTACTGATTTTCTAATTTTTAAAGGTGAGTAAATTTTCTGCATCATGCTTAATATTTCCCGTTATCTTGCTCTTTCTTATATTTTTCAATATGGATTTTATAATGCATAATATTTAATTTGTATTGATCATCGTATGGGATTTCATTTTATTAATTTGTTATTGGTTTTACAAACTTGGGAAATTATTGATTTTGAAACACTGGGTTTTAGAGACAAACTTCATTAGTCATGATAGATAATAAAATATTTTTGTTTAAAAAAGAATTATTTTGCTCTAAAATTTATTTAAATACTTTCGTTTATTTTATGGTAAAAGCGATCTCTGAAATTAGAGTATAAGAACAAAGCATTTAGAGTTGACTAGTTGCATTAAAAGTAAAAGTATGTATACTATATATCAATAAATGGGTATTTATTTTTTTGTTAAGGTATTGTAACAATTATAAGATGTTTTTATTGATTATTTTGTGGTCGCATTTTTTATTGACCACTATGAGTTATTTGATAGAATTGATTTAAACTCAGGGTTTGCAAAATAAGTTTTTCACTTGGTTATTTATATATTTGTGTTAGGTAACACAAAATTCTTTTCAAATTTATTTGTTACTAAGTTGTAAAAGAATTGTTTTGTGTTTGGTTTGCACTAAGGGTTTACAAAATTACATTTATTTATTATAGCAAAATGCTCATTAAATTATTTTGTTACAAAGGTCTTGGTGGGTTATTACATATGGTTAACACTTTAGGTTTACAAAATTACATTGTTTGCTTTGCTACTTAATTCTCTATTGTGGTAGATATCACAAAATGGTCTGATTTCTATATCATATACTTTTAAAAAGTGGAATTCAGTCAGTTTCTATATTTAGTGATTTCTTTATGCTTAATTGAAGATATTGTCGAAGAACGTATTAACATTTAGGAAAATTATTTACTTAGCTTAATATGTTGGTAGTAAAAAATGTCAGGGGAAATTTCCATATCATGATCTACGGCAGAATAATCGCCAAATCTTGGCAACTTCCAAGCGAGGATTTTTGAGAAACATCATTGAGGGATACTAACTTAAAGGTTAGTACTCATAGCAACCCTTGAATGAACCTTACATGTTTTTTATTTATTAAAAAAAAAACTATTTGCAAGTTAAAAATCCACTTAGCACCTTTGCAATTGTAGTTGGCTCAGCAGATCACGTTACAGAAAGATCCCCAAATGTTAGGAATCTGTGTAAAAAAAATTTATTTTTGATAACTGATTTATTTATTAATTCAGTTACCTGTATGAATATTCTGTACTTGTTGTCTCAAGCGTACATAATTATAGTTGCTTTATGATTTTCACTTAATTTGTTTTTTCATAAAGTTCTTTCAAGAAGAATTTGATCAATTGCTATATGTATTTTGCTATCAAACTATTTTGAACATGTTTTTGTTCAAAATGTAACAGGGTGCGTAGCGTTTTGTAAAAGTGCTTATTTTTGATTTATGGTTTTTAAAAGCCCTTAAAGGTGCTTTTTTTATTCGGGGTTTGTAAAAAGTGCTTAATTTTGTAAAAATGATTTTTTCTTTACCCTATCGAGTGTCATTCTAAAATACCAATAAATGCATGATTTTTCTCAATTTTCTCTGCAATATTTATCAGACTAGTTATTTTATCATGATAATGTAAAGTTTTTGAATTTTATTGATTTTATGTTTAAAAAATTTCTATTGTTTTAAAGTTCTTAATTTATAATTTTTTATTGCTGCACAGATCTTAATTAAGATTTTTTTTTAGAAAGTGATTAAAAGTATTTATTGAGTGCTTAAAAAGTACTTAAAATGGGCTTATTTTTTATTGAAAAATCTGACTACGCCTGTGTAACCTTTTCAATTTCTTTTTTAAATTGAGCAATCATGTGGCTCTGTTACAATATTTGGGATAAAGAGGTATAATTTTTTATCTTAAAAAATTTGGGGGACTTTGTCCCTCACTGGCCTTGAAAATAAGATACCCAGTGCCAAGCGGAAGTTAAGAACAATGTCCCCAGGCATCAATCGAGCATTCAATCTACGCTTAATTTTTTACGATAAAATTGTTATATCAATTATACCTAGAATATTTTATCATAAAATAATATAGATTTAAGTCATTATGAATACACATCTTTTCAATATGATTTTATTTTAACTAAATATGTTTCTTTTGCCTCCTTTTTTGAGCAATTTCCATTTGACACCCTTATTTTTCAAGGTCGTTTAAGCCAAGAGTATATCCCAGGTGTCCACACACCTCCCTCTTTTATTATAGGTGCTCAGAATGAAAATGGCAGTCTAGGTGACATGGAATTTTAAAATAAATATATGATAGTATTCTCTTGCAATCTATATTTCATACGTTGAAGTATCTAGTGAATCGGGATAGGTTAATACTTCCATATTTCTTTCTTTTAAGTTTGTCTGAAGTGAATATTAAGATATTCTTAGTCTTTTGAGAAAATTCTAACCCGGTTAGAATTATGAGCCATTCATGTAATGAAGATCTCAGCTGTTTCATATGGTTTTATTTTAATTTCTTTCAAAATTGTTTAAAAAAAGATGTACAGTAGAGAACCGATTATCCGAAACGATCGGGACCATCGCTATTCCGGATAACTGATTTTTCCGGTTTTCTGAATCGCTACAAAAAGCCGTTTTTTTATTGTTAAACCCAACTAAAAAAAAATAAATTGGAAATAATCTTAAAAAGAGGAAAAACCGATGAGGTAATACACTAATGATTATTTCCAAAATGATGGTAAGGTAAACATCTTTCAAAAAAGAAAGAAAAATCCTAAAATCTTATGAGGAAATTTTTTTTTTTTAAAAATGGGGGGGAAATTTATCGAATTTCGTTCCGGTTTTTTGGTTTTCCGGTTTTCTGAATTCCGGATAACGGGTTCTGTACTGTAGTTTAAAATGCTTATTAAAGGTTATTCGCTTGTTTCTTGATCGTACGATCATTAATAATGCATTTTATTTTTTCTCTTTGCATTCTTGTCCCCAGTGCCATTTTCACTGCTTTTGATTTTGTTGGAAGCAAGAGTGTGAGAACAGCTACCTGTAGTTTCGATAGCAAAACAAGCACGGCAGGGTGCCCTGAAGATTTATTTTGACTGTGAGGACAAAAATAAACTAAGTACTGACAAAATTAAGTTAAACTTGAACTAATAATCTATCTTAAAATATGCCCTTGAATTTCATCCCAGTAAAACTGTTAATTTATCATATATTTCAATATTAGACATTCTTTTCTTTTTAAACTCTTGAATTTATCAAATGAAACATTTGAGTTCAGATATTTTATTTTGTGTTGTAGATCAATACAGAAGTTTCTACTACTGGGTCTATGATACAGTTTACAATATGTAATACTGCCCTGCTTGAAATCTTGATGTCTTTGCATCGTAACTCCTAACATTAATGCAAATGATTTTTATGCCAATTTTGAAATCTTTCCAAACAATTTTTCCACTGAGTTTATTGCAAGTTTTAGACCAAGTGCTATTCATCTTTAAATAATGAGATCCCTTTTATAAACTTCCGATCAATTGTAGGGAGGGCTGCGGTTTTTTAATTTACTTTTATTTTTTATAAAGCACCTTTTTGCAACTTAAAATTTTGTGGATTTCTGATTTCTTAAAATTTCTAATGTAAACTTACTTTATACTTAGCCTTATACTTTTACCTCCAAACATATAAGAAATTTAATACAAATTTTATAATTTTTTGTATGCAGTGGCGTGAGAAGAGGCATAGTCCCTGGCATTAATGAACGACCAAAGGCACAAAATTTTTAATAAAGTTATTATTGATATTTTATTGTGTAATTGATTTGCTTATGAGATAAATATTTGGCTCTTAGAAAAGATTTTATGAAGACTAACAATGATTTTTTTTCTTCACTTATAAGTTAAATCAAAGATCACTTATAAGTTAAAAGGTTCTTTACATTAACAGAAAAAACAAAATAAATTAGGAATATTTTTACTACCATAAAATTTCCCCGTACAAAATAAACTATGAATTTAGAATTTTAAAAATTTATATAATTAAAATCCCCCCCTCATTAAATAGGTTTTTTTCTGTTGCTCCCTCCAGTGAAAGCAATCGTTCCAGGATTCATCTAATCAAGAAATTTACGTCTGCGAAACTTACGAAATTTCGAAACTGCATTTTTGTTTCTTAACCGAAAATAATTAATCATAAATATATGTTTGATAAAATTATAAATTAGTTATTGAATTTTAGTATTATTGGACAACACAAAGTAAATATCACACTCTGTTCACAATTACGCAAATTATCATATCTCTAATATTTCTTTTTTTTTTCTGATAGTGATAATTTATTTAACTTAATGATAGATGAAGGGCTTATGTATAGAATGTATTTCTTTTTTACTGAATTTGAGGTAATCAGTTTTAAAATGTTCTGTGCGCAAAATAAAAAACAGACGACCCTGATTTTGATTTTTAACACCCAAAATATAGTGGGTAGCCACAATCTAGGAAATACGGTTCTAAATTCATTTATCCAAAGATAATTTTAAGCAAAAACTAACTTTCAGTACTAAATATTTATCATTGTTTTATTTTTTTATTTATTAATAGTAAAAAAAAAAATTGTCTTGTAAGATATACAATTTTTTACTCTGTTTCAAAAAATGTGACTTTACATGGCGAAATACAAAATTTGAGCGAAGTCGGTCGTGAGAAATCAAATTTTAAATGATTTTTTAAAAGATTTGATTTCTCAAGAACTATTCGACCGATTTGTCTAAAGATTTTTATTTTGCCATGCAAAAATAAATTTTTTAAAATGATGTAAGAAATTGTACAACTTACAATACAATTTTTTTCAACTATTATAAATTAAAAAATAATAAATATTTAATAATAGTTTTTCGCATGGAATTAATTTTGGATAAACGATTTTTATAATTGCGTGCAAAAAGTTTTCAATTCGTTTAAAAATTTCTCGAGATACGGCGAAATACGCAAAAA